TAAACTGTGCTATACATAAAAACTGGCCTTGCCTTTCTTACAGAAATAGGATTGAAACGTCTCTTGGTTTGAATATAGTCTGAAGGTTTTGTTTTGTTGTCGGGAAGAAGCATCTTTTTCATAACATATACAAGTAATCAATGTAGGACAGGGGTCTCCAACCTGTAGCTCGGGAGCCACCAGTAGCTCGCCACCCCCTTCCAGGTACAGTAGCTTATTTATGATTGTAAATGCATTAACGTTGTGCACTAGTAATAAATATACAATGATAAATCATGACTGTACCCAATATTAGGCGCGTTCACACAAATATATCAAAAATATTTTCCCAGGGCTGCTTAAAGGAGTAGCTCTCTGCTTTTATTGTTCTGGGGAAGTAGCTCTCCGAGTGAAAAAGGTTGGAGACACCTGATGTAGGAGTTTTGCGACAAGAGATGAGAACGACTTCATACATGCACGTTTATGTAATTAACTTTAAAAAATGTTTGGGCATTGCTTGAGGTCTCTTGAAGTTGAAAATTGCATCACAATCGTATGTTGGGCACAGAAATCGCATATAGATATATTGCCAATAGTGTGCAGCCCCGTGTGAGAAGTCTTTCACACGGTTCTTTTAACTCGGTGAGAGAAAGATTACTACGGAAAGTTAACTATTGACTATTGTCTGTGTCTGCAAAGCTGAGTTTGTGCTTCGTGGTCAATGGAAACACAGGTCATCTACAGGTCTACTCTACACACACTGTATCTGTCCAAATAAAACTAAATCCATGAATAGTGATCCATTATCAACATTAAGACAGATATCTTTTTATCTTATTCCCAGTCTGTTATAAAATTGGCAGTAGTAATGGTGGTAGTAGTATATTAGTGGTAGTGGTAGTTTCTGTTTCTTAAGTCATTATATACATTAGAACTTAGGTCACATGTTTCCAAAGATCAAATATATTTTTACAATAAAGAAATAGATCATTAAAATGTGTACGTTTGTTTGGGGCGACAGTTGGTAGAGCAACTCCCACTGATGACTGCTGTCGTTGTCCTTGGGCAAGACACTTAACCCCACTTTGCCTGAAGCCCCCACTGAAAGATCAAGGCCCCTGTGGACTCACCACCTGCAGGAGGATCAGTGAGGGGCTGGTGGTCTGTGAACTGAGTGCAGCTCTGACTGCCACCCCCCTGACCCAGAAACAAGTAATACCAGACTGAAACAAGTTAAGTAAGTAATGTTTATTTATATAGCGCCTTTCCCAGCACTTAAAAATGTTGTGGGCATTTGTCTCTCAGTCCACACAGAGATGGGAGCGGGGTCGTCTCGGTACATGCTGGACCTATTATACATGTTTTTAGTGGTATGGAAAATTGGAGCACCCGGAGGAAACCTACACAGACATGAGGAGAACATGCAAACTCCACACAGAAAGGCCTGGAGGTGGAATCGAACCAAGCACTAACCACTGAGCCACCCAACTAAATAGACAATACACATTTCTTAGTAAAACAAAAGTAGATTTCCAATACAAATTTCTATATTTTTTGTTGTTGATAGTTAAAAATGCCGTCGTACGCAGCGTGGCATCGAAATAACGTCCGAATCCGCGGTGTTCAACAGACGGCGTTCCTGTTAGAGTGTGTGTATAGTTGGCTTTACACCTCGGACTCCGGCATCAGACAGATTAAACCGCTCGGCTCCTCGGTGAACCCATGAACTCGGACTGTTTATAAACGGAACAGACAGTCCTTTTCACGCTCCGCCATCACATGTTACTGCCAAGTGGTGTCATGCACATTAACATACAGCTCGTCTCAAGCTGTGTACGCAGTTTGACTGCGTTGGAAACCGACCTGTGTGAGAGGAGTGTGGTACGTGCAGCTGCAGATTTAATGCAGGTTGACAGAAAAAATGATGACATAATAGTTAAGCTTCATCGCTGCTTCATGCACAAGACATAAGCTCATGGAGTAGACAGTGAGTGAGGGTAAAAAGTCTATACCAGAAATGCTAGTGCCCTTGTATATGCTAGTAATTTGAAGAAATGTGTGTAGATTTGTATTTATGCATGCCTTATTCCCCCAAAGGATTTAGAATTTACACATTACACATATTTTAAGTAAAGACATGGGGTTATACAGTGTTATGGTATTTATATATGTTTTCCTTGTTTTGTCATAGTCATTACATAGATTTTGATTATGACAGAAAAGAGAAGTAGCTCTCTGCCTCTTCTGTTGTATAAAAGTAGCTCTCCGATTGAAAAAGGTTGGAGACCCCTGCCTTATTTTATTCTCTTGTTCTACTTGTTTGTCAAAGAAATTTACTAGTTGGTGACTTCTTTTTTTTAATTCTTTTTTTTTAATTAAGTGATACATAGACATACAAGAGTGACACATAGACATACAAAAGTGATACACAGACATACAAAAGTGATACATAGACATACAAGAGTGACACATAGACATACAAAAGTGACACAAAGACATACAAAAGTGACACATAGACATACAAAAGTGATACACAGACATACAAGAGTGAAACATAGACATACAAGAGTGACACATAGACATAAAAGAGTGACACATAGACATACAAAAGTGACACATAGACATACAAAAGTGACACAAAGACATAAAAGAGTGACACATAGACATACAAGAGTGACACATAGACATAAAAGAGTGACACATAGACATACAAAAGTGACACATAGACATACAAAAGTGACACAAAGACATAAAAGAGTGACACATAGACATACAAGAGTGACACATAGACATACAAAAGTGACACATAGACATACAAAAGTGACACATAGACATACAAAAGTGATACACAGACATACAAGAGTGACACATAGACATACAAAAGTGACACATAGACATACAAGAGTGTCACATAGACATACAAAAGTGACACAAAGACATACAAGAGTGACACATAGACATACACATAGTCTTGGGCCTTCTTATCTTTCAGATTTGCTTTTATCCTATGAGCCTTCCCGGCCCCTGCGCTCCTCCGGCAACAGACTCCTAACCATCCCCAAAGTCAGGACACACACTCACGGCGAGGCATCTTTCCAGCACTACGGCCCCCGTCTCTGGAACAGTCTGCCGGAGGAGCTCAGGGCCGCAGAGAACGTTCATATTTTTAAGAGTAGGCTCAAGACGCACCTTTTTAGAGCAGCTTTTGATTAGTATTTATTATCTATTATTGCTTTTTAGTACATCTATTTATGTTTTTAGACGGATTATATTTTTATTTATTTTTATTATTTGCTATTTTTAATTATTTATTGTATCTACCCATTTACTATTGTTATTATATTAGGCAGCTGCCATTTTTCTTTTTATTTTCACATTCTATTGTTCTACTTTCTATTGTATTATTGTATTGTTTTAGTGTCCCCAGTGTTTCCTCTGGAGGAGCCCTCTGCACTGAGAGCTGGGGTCTGCTGTGGCTTCGGGGGACTGGCTCTTGGATCCGGTGGGGGTCTGGGGCCTCCTCTCTCCTCTGGGTCCTATGGGGTCTGAGTCCTGGGCCTGGTGGGGTCTGGGGCCCCTCTCTCCTCTGGGTCCTGTGTCGTTGCCTGTGGCTGCAGCCGGCTCTCTGCTCCTGGTGCAGATGGCTCCTTGGATGACGCTTCTTCAGCCGGTTACATCTGCTCCCAGCCCCATTTCTTTTTATTGTTTTACCTATTTTACCTGATATGACTTTATACTTGTGTATATGTGTGTGTGTGTGTGTGTGTGTGTGTGTGTGTGTGTGTGGGTGTGTGTATTGTATATATAATTATAAATGTGATTTTGGGGGGTCTGTGGGGAGGAGGGTTTAGGGCTGGGCATGTTGGATTGTTTTTAACTAAACTGTAAAGCACTTTGTGTTACACTTTTTGTATGAAAAGCGCTTTATAAATAAAATTTGATTGATTGATTGATTGATACAAAAGTGACACATAGACATACAAAAGTGATACACAGACATACAAAAGTGACACATAGACATACAAAAGTGATACATAGACATATAAGAGTGATACATAGACATACCAAAGTGAAAATGATTGGTACAACAGCAAAAAGAATGTTGAAGCAGCGACAAAACATGGGGACATACAAAGAGATACAAATATTGAGACAATATGAAACATTACATAATGGGCGGTGTGTGGAGGTGTGTAGGTGTGTGTGTAAAAACATTGAAGCAGCGACAAAACATGGGGACATACAAAGCGACACAAATATCGAGAGAACATGAAACAATACCATATGGGAGGGAGGGAGATGTGTGTGTGTGTGTATGTGTGTGTGCGTGCAAGCGTGCGTGCTAGAAAATAAAAATAAAAATCCTAGTTCGACTTCTTGTCGCTCACATGGCGATAAAATGATTCTGATTTTGAAAACCTGTACGAAAATGGCTGCTGCTCCCGGTATCAGTGTCAAAAACAAATAGTCTTTTCTTCTTTTGTGGCTCACTCTAAACACGTGGCTTATTGAGTGCATATATATCTGGAGTATACTCAAAATACAGATATTTTCAGGTATTTGTGGAACTAAAAAAAAAAACTAGCTTTATCATTGCCTTGTCTAGAATATTTCTTGTCAACATTGGGATTTGATCACTATAGCAGCGTCGCATGGAGCTCAGGGTATAAGCCAAAACTGCAGCTGACCCTTGGCGGAGGATTGCTACAAATATTTTATGACGACTCTAAAAATGACAGACGGCCGTAAACGTCGAGCATAAATCACTTAGTCGCTGCATATAAAGATTCCTGAAGAAAATGCCCTTTTTACCCCATTTACTCATTGCACAAGGCCTGTATGTGTGAGCTAATATCCCACACGGAGCAGATGGGTCCAGGACAGCCCCGGCCTGGAGCTTGGCACGGGAGTATCTGGGGGGCGGGCAGCGTGGGCAGGGGACAGAGACATGCAGCCTCTTCTTTTCGTCTCTCGGTATGGTTTTTGACACGTTTGGTTTTGTCTTTTCTCTTGCCCTGCAGCCCAGCACTCTGCCCCAGGGCACCATCAACATGAACCAGTGCTCGGACGTGGTGGATGGAGAGTCCAGGACGGGGCAGAAGAACTCCCTCTGCATCCTGACCCCGGACAGAGAGCATTTCATTCGGGCCGAGTGCAAAGAAATTATCAACGGGTATGATACGGTGTCATCACATGCTCTTGTTTACTGTCGTGCTGATGGAACTAGCAGAGGGAGTGACTAATGGCTACTGCGCTGCCCCCTGGTGTCTGATCGAGGGAGCGCGCCCACATGACTTGTATTCCAGTGACTCTGCACATTCTTTGGCCGTCGCTTCCAATTCTCCTTTTTCCTTCCAGGAGCAAACCTGCACTCACAGGGCTGAGCTGTTAAAAAACAGGGTCGGATTTGAAAATATATCACAATTAGGAAATGGTAAAGAGGCAAATCTTGGAAGGCCGAGTTTATAAGTTCTTAAGTAGTATGTCTGTGATATGTTCAGTTGTCAAGTTGTGAAAAGAATCAGTAGTTTAAGAAAAAGCTTTTTATTTTAGCTAAATACAAATATTCAGCTTGTTTCACCTTTTCACAAGTATAAAAAAAGAGTTTTCCTAATGCAACATGACTAAGTATCTTTTCTTATCAGTGCTCCTGGAGGTATTTGCGATCAGCACCAAATTAAAAGCAAATATCATATTTTTCAGAACAATTAGAGCCATTGCACTTATCCTTAACTTTTGTCACAAGAGACAAGAGAGTACATTTTGATTTTTCATAGTTTATTGTGGGAACAGTTATCCAGTGGTGGACCCTCGAGGCCTTCTCTGCTGGCCTGAACATAATCAAGAATAGATACATTTTTAAACACATACACTACCGTTCAAAGGTTTGGGGTCACCCAAGTGTTTTCCATGAAAAGTCACACTTATTCACCACCATACTTTGTGAAATGAATAGAAAATAGAGTCAAGACATTGACAAGGTTAGAAATAATGATTTGTATTTGAAATAAGATTTGTTTTACATCCAACTTTGCTTTCGTCAAAGAATCCTCCATTTGCAGCAATTACAACATTGCACCAAAAACCAGACATTTTCAGCTAGAATAGTCATTTACCACATAAGCAATGTACAGAGTGTATTTCTTTACAGTTAAGACTAGTTTTAAGTTATCTACAGCTTTTCCTTCAAAAATAAGGACATTTCAATGTGACCCCAAACTTTGGAACAGTAGTGTATATTTTCTATACTCTATACTATATAGTCTATACTCTTCATTTCATAGTTTTCCTACTTTGGTTGTGCAGATTCCAGCCCCAGGTCAATATTTGGAGAACTGAGCTGGACGGCGGCTTAAAGTGAATTCACGTGCAGCAGCAGAGTGTGCACGTCTTTCGATTGTATCTGCAGGATAGAGATGTCAATGCAGACGTCAATGTGATGAACAGTAACAAATAAAATAGATAATTTTAACTAAACTTCTAACTGTTTTAGTTTTTCGACCCCCAACGTTTGAACGAGGCGAAGAATTGAACTTGGTCGCAGATAAAGTTACGTCATTCTCAAGAAAAAAACCTTTCAAAAAACGTTATATGCTGTGAGGCCGACTTGGTCATGTGACACGATAGCTCTGAAATGCAAACAAAACGTTGGAGAGAAAGTGGTGGAGCGAGGCTAACACAACATGAAGACAGGGCGCCATGTCCTGGTGTGAGCAGCACATTTCAGCACATTAAAACAAAGTCAACCGCTCGACTCCAGAGACCCTGAGCTTCACAACGAGGTCCACATTGGCGGAGCTGAAGTTGGCTGACTATGTGAACTTTTGTATATGATTACTTTGTGTTGGCAAGGCAGAGGGCCATTAAATTACTCAGAGGGCCGCAATTGGCCCGTGGGCCTTAGTTTGGACATGCTTGTATTATTTAGTATTGTAGTCATTTCTTACTATTATTGTGTTTTTTTTTACTGCTGGATGCACCTGAATAAATCGAATATGAAAATATAGTGGAATAACAATAATAATTTGTGCTGCCCTAAAACTATGGGGCTCTGATTCTTCTGAAAAACAGTAGATTGACTTTTATTTTGGTCCAGTGTGCAGGTCGCAAACACCTCCAGGAGCACTGATAAGAAAGATACTTTGTCATGTGGCTATAAAAAAACTTTTTTTTTTTTTTTGACAGTGTAAAAAGGTACAAAATGGAACAAGCTGAACATTTGTTTTTAGCTGAAATAAGTAAAATAAGAAGCATTTCCTGATTATCCACAACTTGTATTTTAACTGAACATATTGTCTCTCTCTGTGCTGATGCTGTGGCTATAGTTAGCCTCACTCTGACTCACGCTGCCCACTGCACCTGCCTCGTCTCTTCGTCTCTCGCCTCATGTGGCCCCCGCATGTGTGGCCCCCGCGTGCCCCTGACCCCCCCTCCCTTGCTCTGCTCTCGTCCCAGCATTACAGCAGTTTCATTTGTGGTAAACCCGTGTATGTTTTTGTTGGGCGTATTGGTAAACTGGCCGCACATTCGCTCAACACTCAGCTCTCAGCCCTCGTCATCCGCCACAAGTGTAGCGTCTGCGTGGGAGGAGAAGAAGAAGAAGAGTGTAGGTCAGAGCTGGTCCAACAGCGCGTCACTGCAGACGTCAGTCGCAGGAGACTCAATGAGGAAGGATTTATATCTTTAGTGCATAATGAAGGTTTTAACTGATAACAGAAAGTCCACTACTCTTATCTAGCTTAAGCTTAGTGGGATATTTAGTAAGATTTTGCTTGGCATGGTAATGTCAAGTTTATTTGTGTATCACAGTTTATACACGAATAATCTCAAAGTACTGAACAAGATAGAATAAATCACACAAGGCTTTAAATCATAGATATGATTGTACATTAAAAACAGTGAAGATACAGTCCCTTAGTTGTAGCCATAGACTGAATATATTAACGGACGTAGTCACGCCAATCTCTGCCGTTCTAACTAATGGGCCAAAAAAATGGGCTTTCATGGAGTGATTCAAAATGACCGCGGGGGCTGGAAAATGTGAAAAAACGTATCTGCGCATGCGTCAGCTGCATGAGCCCCATTCATTTAAACAAGTGACTTCAAAAAGCATTGACACACATGTGGAACTGAGCTTTGGGCCAAGAGCCAACTTCTGGACCATCCTGTAAAGATGTTTTTGAGAGGCAAGAAGATGCTATATCTTTGGCATTGGCTAATTCCTATTCCGGGTCCAGCCCCAGTGGCCTGGGGCGGTATTGCAAGCATGTCAGCGCACATCATTTTGGCCACTTTTGAGCTGTGACCCGCCCCCACTGGTTGTAGCACAGCGAAATAAAACTGTCTAACCTGGATTTGAACATTGTCAGAGAGGAAGTCTGTCTCACATCTTCATTAAGACTGTTGCAGATTATAGCTTCCTAAATCTGAACGCTGCTTCCCACATGTTTAGTTCTGACTCTGGGTCCCAGCAGGAGGCCAGTCCCTGTGCTCCTCAGAGTCCCAGCAGGAGGCCAGTCCCTGTGCTCCTCAGAGTCCCAGCAGGAGGCCAGTCCCTGTAACTTTCTTCACAAACCGACAGTGATGAGAACAAGGCAGAATCTGTAACTACTATGCCACAAGTTTCAACAAAACATATTCAGAGACAAGCCTCAAATAAAACACACAGAATCCCCACAAAACAGAATACTTTATCAGCAGCGTGAGTGAATGTTCTGTTTCTTACCGTGACGCAGGTGAAAGCGCATGTACGTCAAGGCACATTTAGCAGTAGTAGTGTTTGGAGAGATCTGGTCATTTATCAAACTTAGATTCTTTCCTCAGTGGTCCGGTGAATTACCAGGTGTTTGGGTCCACTGTCAAACACAACATATGGGCCTCGGAGGCTTCCGTAGTGTTGGTGGTAGAATTAGACTTGCAATATATGATCTCAACGCCAGATGGAAGTCAAAATTTCACGGTGCACCTTTAAGTTGTGCAGTCTGAGCGTAGTGTTACACAACATTCCATCATTGGGAGATAACTTGATATTTTTCTTAATTAATGGTGCATTATGTTTGTCCTAACAGAAAGAGTCTTGTATTTGTAAGTTTGTGAACAAATCAGAACACACCGTATAGTCTCCGTGTTATTAGAAAACAACTTATCCCAGAAATAACCATATGAGTCTCTTTGGGCTCAGAGCTGAGTGGCCCTCTCTTTCAGACTTTTCTGTTTCAATCTCAGTCTCAAATGTCAAATGACTTTTTTGGAATTGGGGATACGTATAAACACAATATAACGTGGCAATTACGGACGGTCCCCGCTCAAAGACGCTCCTCCGTCAGTCGCCACCACAGTGACAGAGTTTGGAAAAGCTGATTTAAAAATGTGACGAGGCCAAAAGAAATATGCAAAAACTTGTTCTGAGAGCGAGGAACCAGTTTGGTGGATTTTACATTGTATCATTTGTTGTGGTGTGAAAGTTAAGTACCCCAGCTTTATATAAACTATTGGTTCATCACATGAGCCTAGTAGAACTTCGTAGCACATACACATTTGAAGATGGGCAGAGGTTTTGTTGCTCTAAAATAAAGCATTAGTCAGAGACAAAGTGGATTTAGCTTCACTTATATTTAATATTTGCGTGTGGTAAATAAGGATGGACTTTTGCAGGTGGCAGGAGGCTCTGACCGTCTACCCCAGGACCAACAAACAAAACCAGAAGAAGAAGCGAAAAGTGGATCCTCCAAATCAGCAGGTAAAATAGTTTGATTGTTTATCTATACATTTCTTTCAACTTTTCATTACTTTGGGAACTTAACATTACATTACTGCATCATAGAAAAGAGAATATACATATTTGTCCGGTCGAATTCATACAAAAAAACCCGCTACTATGTCCTAGCTCATAACAACAACAAAATCGACCATATTTTTGCTGTCAACTCGCACGTTTTAAAGTATCCTGGATGATATTTTGGAAAGTTGAATCTGCCGGTGTACGGACCACCCAGCTCCGTGGACCGTTTCGATACTTTTGCGTGGATCTTTTTGGGTTGTATCTGAAGTTCATTGTCCTCTAATGACTGCGTCCCGGGACAGAGCGGAGCCCGGACAAAGAGGCTGGCACCGCGATGACCTCTGGGTGTCCATGACGGTCACCTTTGTTGTCGAGGATTCCTTTGTTTTTCAGCAACTTCGACAGTGGAGCCTGCAGCGAGTACATACACTGGAAAAAAAAAAAATATGGAAAACATATCTAGAAAATAAGGGAAAAAAATATCTAGAAAATAAGGAAAAAATATCTAGAAAATAAGAAAAAAAAAAAAATCAAAATAAGGAAAAAATATTTATAAAAATAAGGAAAATACTGCTTATTATAAGAGAAATTATCTGCCATTAGAACAAGAAAGTATGATTTGATAAGAATTCTGAAAATAAGAACATATTACTGGCCCCAAATGACTTGATTCTAGTACATACATTTAAAGTATTATTCACTTATTTATGAAACGTTTTTGAGAAATGTTTTATTAAAATTTTGCATAACATACTGATTTTATTTAAACAAGAAAATTAATAATAATAACAGTTAATATTATAAGAAAAATACTTTAAACAAGCATTAAAAACTCGCTGCTCTGACTTTTTTTTCTCTAATACGATTATGAACTATTATTATTTTAAAACTAGTTAAATAATTTCACATGACAAACTACCATCAAGCAAAAAAAACAAATTAATGTTATTTTCAGTAAATACATTTTCAGTGTAACCGCATAGATAGACGTTGCATCAGAATAATGTGCAGCTAAATGTGGATCATCCAAAAAGGCAGTTTTAACTAATTATTGGAGAATGCACAGTGTGGATGAGGATTCTAGTCAGACACTTGGGCTCCCTCATATTTTCCACATCTGTCAAGACCACATTGAGCTGTCCTCCCACTTTTACTTATCCATAGAGACATACGCCTGGAAACTCCTCCGACTGCACGGGTTCAGAAGCAGATGTTTGTGTTTTGGGCCGTGCCTTTAAACTTAACCATGTGATGAGGAATGACAACAAAATGGCTTGACAGGATCTTTCTGTCTCGTGTTGCAAAACGTATGCATTTGGGAGTGAAAGAAACTGGTCCGACTGCTGTCATTTCAGGTTTCTGCGACAACTTTTAGCATCTGACAAATGTAGCAAAAGTGATTGTTTAATGACTCTTCATGAAAAGCATACGATGACATCACAGACTTTGTGATTGACAGGATGGACTAACGCCAAACCCGTGTTTTTCCATTGAAGACATGAATGGTCATCCAGTGAGTGCTTCTCAGACAAACCATTTGAATCTGCTGCAAAAAGCTTTGAACTCTGAGCTGCAATCATATTTTTGACATTAGCAAAATTGACCCAGGCTAAAAAGAATGTAGCGTTCTGTTTATTTCTAGCTCCGCTGCATGTTTGGTTAGCGTCTGTCCTTTTGGGCTTTAATCTTCTTTGTGCTTGGTGTGTGATGACAATGATTTCAAAACGTTGAAGCACAATCTTGGTTTTTCTAATCATCATGATTTTCTAATCTCAAATCACAAATGAAAGGAACATAATTCCATTAATTTATCTACTTGTGTTCATGGTTCCAGTCTAACGTTCAGGTGCACGTGTGTTCTATGTGTTCTATGTGCACCAGTACCAGTTCACATAGATCCTCTTGATTTTATAATATTATCAAAACCATAAATATAGAAATACAGCTGGGCAGAGAAACAGGTGAACTGGTGAACGTAGAGAGGCTCCGCCCACACTGCACTTTGGAGCCTTGTGTGTCATATGATACATTGAATGTATAATATCCACCTCATTTCAACCTTTTCTCCTCGATACATTCCTCTGTAGCCCCTCTCTGCGCTCACGTCCCCTTGTGTCCTTCCCTCTCATGTACTGATCCTGACACACACCCCTGCCCAGGAGCCAGGCCCAGCCAAAGTGACGGTGACCAGCAGCAGTGTGGGCAGTGTCCCCTGTGTTCCCAGCAGCATCGCTGGAGCAGAGCGAGTCCCGACGAGCCGCGCCTCCCTGTGGCAGGAGGAGAGCCGCTGGAGCCGCAGCCCCATCCCCTGCAGCCGCAGCGCCTCCTGCATCAGTCAGATGAGCCAGAGCCAGCCGGACCCTCGGACCACCACGCAGGACGGTGGGAAGCATAGACAACACACAGAACATGATATAACAGAACATATATTTATATCTATGTATACCCATACATATATATATGTATATATATATATATATATACATACATATATATTTATGCTATAATGTTCAGTATACAGTATGTGTGGGTTTGACTGCTGCTACTGCTGTGTTTCAGACGCTGGTTCCATGATCACTGGGCGCAAGGTACGAGTGGAGAGCGGCTACTTTTCGCTGGAGAAAAACAAATCTGAGCCTTGTCCTCCACCTCCCCAGAACCTGCCCCTGTCTTCGTCAGCGTCCTCTTCCTCTTTAGGAGGTCTCAGCCCCAGGTACTTCTCTGAGCCAGACCCCCTAACCCCCCAAGACTCTCTCCCTTCTCCAGGTGCCCTAGTTTCCCCTAGCTACTCTACCATCAGCTCCTCTCAGAGTTCTCTGGACTCTGAGCCATGCAGCAGCGCCCCCATGTGGGAGGGCCAGAGTGGTGCGGTTAGCAGTGGGACAGGCAGAGTGGGCAGGACGGGCAGAGAGTATGCTGTCCTGTCAGACGTGCCCCGGGCGCGGAGGTTCACCTACAGGGAGGCTTTCCGCTCTGACCAGAAGCAGCAGGAGATCAGGGCGCGCACTCGGAGCCCCGGCAGAGAGGAAGTGGCCCGCCTGTTTGGGGAGGAGCGCAGGTACGGGCCGGCCAGCCTCCACCCGCTTGTGATAGAGGGATTGGGGTTAGGGTACTCATACAATCATTAGTAAGCCACTGGTTGTAGATCCATGCCACTCAAAAATCTTACCATGTTAGATTCTTAAACATTGTAGTCTTCCAGTGGTTTACAATAATGATTCATAATAATAAGTTGCATGTGTTACTTTAACGCCGCTGACCTCCTTTACGCTTACTACTTTGCAGCATTTGAAATCATTTGGTTTTTATTTCAGGGGCTTCTGATAAGAGCTTCTCTGAGCTTTCCAACCCCTCCTACCTTGTCCCACTGCTGCCCCCTGCTGGTCATCGCTGACTCCTGCTTTCTATCATTTCATCTCTGCTGCCTGGAGATGCCTTTGAGTACAAGGCTGAGTAGTAGATCGTTCCACTCTGTGTTTTAAAACATGTGACGTGGTAAAACATTCAGGTAACACAGATTGTAATCTACATCTACATCTGTCTAATCCATAATCCAGCCTACGACCGTTTTCCCTGAGTTTCAACCCTCCATCATCGACAATAACTCTGCTCGTCCAATTGTTGCGCGGTGTTTCTTTGGGGATTTTTGTCTTTTAACGCTGCTTTTATTAAGACAATTCTGTTAAATGCTATAAAATATTTGGCTGTTTTGTTTTACTGTATGCTTTTATGATGCATTTAAGATCACTCTAAGCTTAACCTAAACAATTTAGTAACGCAGCCTTTGTCATTTCATTCTTAAATCAGTTCTAATGTAGTTTTTCTTTTTCTTTTTTAAGGCGAATCATTGAACATTTTGAAGAGAATCAGCAGGTGGAGCGTATGGACACCAGCAGCACCAACGACCCGTCCTCCACGCCCCTGACCCAGAGACATGGCCGCAGCGAGAGACGCCTCATCGTGAACAAACATGTACGCTAACCCCCAGAACTCCCACACAGCCCATATGACGGCTGTTTTCGTTTTCATAGTGTCAATACTCTCGCTTACGTACGTCTTTCGTCTTCATTACTGTGACTTTTTCTGTTTCTATCTGTAGTTTATTGTATGTAGTTTATCTCGACGACTCCCGCACTGATTCAGAGCCATCTCAGGTTGGAGCAAGTGCGAGTTACCATAGCAACACTGTGTTTAGCTGTTAGCATTCACTTTTGCTATATTTCATTTATATTAACCACGTTTTTTTACTTTTTATAATAGTTATTGGAAGCATTAAGAACAAAAGTGACAATTTGCATTATACAGAAACAATGAAAATCAATATTTACATGAAGTTCATACAGATAAGGAATAAGTGTGTGTGTGTGTGTGCGTGTGTGTCACTGTCATTGCTGGATATTAGCGTGCTAGCTTCCCCTAACAAACCAGCAAATTCTCGACTGCCGTTGCATTACAGAGCCCTGGCTTCATCCCGAGTCTTCTTCCACAACACCTTTTCTCCATCTGATGTTCTCTTCATTGCCACAACAGCGTGAAATTAGCACTTTGGAGGTTTTTGGATTTTGGTTCAGCCATTGTAGGTGTTTCAGAAAGTCCGACCCTCAGAACCCATTGGTTTTGTTTCTTCCGCTTCATCCGTTGCCGGGTCGCGGGGGCAGCAGTCTAAGCAGAGACGCCCCTATCCACACACACTTCCTCCAGCTCGTCCGGGGGGAGTTTCAAAATATTTATGATTTATTTTTTGAGGCTTCAGTTATCTGTCTGTGGTCTTTCCTATTTGAAAACACATCGTAACTTGACTATTTTGGGGGTTGAGGGACGTATCCCCACAGTATTTTAAATATTGCATCTGGATATATCAATGACTGCAGCGTTAATTCTAATCATTTCAATTTAACCTAAAAACTGTAGTTCTTCTTCTTCTATAGAGTTGTGGGAGTGTAAAGTACAAGTATATAAGTATAAGTTTATTACATCTGCTTCACCTTCTTTCCAGGACGTGTCGCTGGATGCAGGAAAAGTGCCTGACATTTCCAACTCGACTTATGGCAACTTGAGAAGAGCCAAGTCTCTGGACCGGAGAGTCACAGAGTCATCGATGACGGTGAGTTCGACGCCAAACTCAATCCAAACTCTGCTCTTTTAATTAGCTAGCGTATCTTTTAAACCAGGGCTCTCCCACCTTTTCGATCGGATAGCTACTTTTGAGAGCTACTCCTTATAGCAGTTGTTATTTATCTAACGTTTATTCAGTTAATCATCGATTTCACATAATTATGACTATTTCAGGCACTTGAAAAAAATTATCTAAATCTCATAGACGCCGAGCCTTTAATACACATGCTAAACTTAAAGAGCTGCTGCACAGTGGCTATCGTTAGCATTCTCACTTCTCAGCAAGGAAGATCATAGGGTCAGATCCCGGTCGGAGCAGGGTCTCTCTGAATGGAGTTTGCAATGGTCTCCCTGTGTCTGCGTGGGTTTCCTCGCAGAGAATGGAACAATATCTGAACTCTGAACATTGTAAAGTGCTTTGGGTGACGTTGATCCGTAAAAATGCGCTACATAAATAAACATTACTTAATCTAATACAATTGTAGTCTTTATGATAACTTCAGACACACATGCAGAATATACCATTTTACTTCTGCATTCATGAACAGAGATTTATAGTCAAAATAGATGTAGTGACTCAAAAGAATGGGTGCTCCTGGTAGCTCCTGAGCCACAGGTTGAAGACCCCTGGTTTAACTTCTGCTTGCATTTGGTTTGACAAGTGAAAGTGGTGAATGTGAGGATACAGGAAGTTATTTCAGCTGACGTGAGATCAGTTTGGCCGCCCTCCTTGTTGCTGTTTCGTTGGTGCAGCTGCCCCTTTACTCCCTCCCACACACACACACACACACACACACACACACACACACACACACACACACACACACGCGCACAGCAGTGTTACGGCCGATTATAAATAGTAGCTCAGAGGCAGCCGCGGCGGTGTGTATGTCTCCCAGAGCGCACAGAGGAGCCCGATTGTGAGTGTGTGAAGCGAAGGCAGGTGAACCATCGCAATGACCCTGTGCCAAACCGTGACGCCGCTCCGCTTGAAGCTGACCAAGGCCAAGGTATTCTGTCAGGACGCCGGTGGGTTTTTGGCGTTGAATGGGCGAGTTTGGAGTCTATAAACAGGCCGCGAGGGGAGGGGGGGCGCTTGGTTTCAGCAGTTTGTGTTTCAGTGTCAGCCCAGCTCCCGCCAGTCGGTCTCCGCAGACGGGAGCACGGGAGTTCAGGATGTGTCTGAAGGAGAGGACGAGTGTGCATCTGCGGTTAGGGGCAAAGGCAGGTCCAGGCAGGTCCAGGCAGGTCCAGGCTGGTCCAGACAGGTTCAGGTGCAGAGAAATTCATCAGGAATCCAAAGAAGCGGCTTTAATGCAAAAAGATACAAGAAATGTCTCCCTTGGAATGAGAAAATGAAGCAACAGTTCTTGAAATAAGGCTAAATGGTTTTGTCCCATTGGAGAATCTTGTTTTAACAGTCAGAATGTGCTCGAATGAATATAAAATCCACTCGATTCAAGCATTACTAACCTCACAATTTCATTACACGTTCCAAATGCCATGGGACGAGACATTAGGTTCAGTTCACATATATTTGCCTTTTGTATGCCGTGTCCTGTCATTGCAAAGTAACTCAGTAAAAATGTGGGAAAGTCTCATATCACTGAAAAAAGTGATTAAGTATAAGGTAATACATGTTTTTTTATTTTTTTTTATCTTGACTTGAGTAAATGGGACCAGCTCAGTATAACTTCATGTACAGCTGCAATTTATTTCTTATTCTAAGTCAACATTTTCTTTAAGTTTAAACGTATTTCTCTGGTTTAAAACTTTGCCTTTTTCGCTTGTCTCCTTTTGTCCCTAATGTTTTTCAGTCAATGTTTGGTGGAATTCAATTTTTTTTTTAGACATAGTTCTAGTAACTTTTTGCAGTGATATCGTGGCATTTTTTTCCCTTCTCACTTTATTATAGAATTATTTTGGTTGATAGATAGAGAGAGTGATGGATGAATATTTAGTTATACACATACTATACTTATCCCACAGGGGGCGATCATCAGGGGCTGGTACAGACAAAACAGACAATAGACGGATGCATACAAACATAAATAGTCACATCTAATCCAGACCTATCCCAGGAGTGGCCATCATCTGACAGCAGCAGAGGTCCTGGGTTCTAATCCCGGTCAGAAGGGGGCCTTTCTGAGTGGAGTTTGCATGTTCTCCCCGTGTCTGCGTAGGTTTTCTCCGGATGCTCTGGTTTTCCCTACCTCTAAAAACATGTACTATAGGTCTGGCTTGTGCCTCGTGACCTCACTCCCATCCCCGTGTGGAGTGAGAGACATAATTCCTTAAAAAATACCCGACAATTGTGAAAGTAAAAGTGCGCTATATAAATAAACATTACTTACTTACTTACTAGATTGAAGCTGTGCGTTATATTCCCGTTTGCTGATAGATTGTTTCCATTGTTTTCCATTTCCAGCCAGATCTGCTGAACTTTAAGAAGGGATGGATGACAAAGCTGTACGAAGACGGAATGGTAACGTGGCCTTCGTTCGCTTCCATTAAAAGTGAAAAGAATTGTGAACAGTGTGTGTTTTTGTGTTCTGCAGTGGAAGAAGCATTGGTTCGTCCTCACCGATCAGAGTTTGCGGTACTACAAGGACTCCATCGCAGAGGAGGTTTGTACAACTTTTTTTCTTATCATTTTGCATGTCCCCATTGGTCAAATCTGGTTTTAAAACGGTAAAATAGTGCTTGAATTACCTAACCCTAACCTTATTTTTCATCATTTTTTGCAGTATAGCATATTATCCACTGCTTTGACCATAGACTGTATAATGCACTGTAAAAGGGGATAAAAAAAAAGTCAAATATTGCTAAAATTGGGCAAAATGTATCTTCATTTTCGCACATTCTGACAAGGCCAGTGGGTCAAAGCAAAAGTAGCTAGTTTTAAAAAGATACAAGAAATATCTCCCTTGGATTAAAAAATATAGCAACTGTTCTTGAATTAGGAAAAATGGCTTGTTTTAAGACAGTCAAAAAGTGCTCAAATTAAGATTAATATTTAAGGTATATAATAGGATTTTCCACTTCAGCATCAAGACTATTGGTCCTCCCCTCCTCTGGTGATACATGCTCAACCAGATTTTTTTTTTTTTGGAGTGGAGAGGGCGGTTTTTTCCTAAATTTTGGGGAAATCCTCCTTTAAACTTTTAGTATTAAGCCAAATTTGAGGACGTTTTGACATTATTTTTCATCACGTTTTGCGTAGTTTCAACTGATTTGAAACGGCTGTGTACAAGGAGTGGACTGAGCGAGTGCGACATCACCTCAGTGTCGGCCTTTTGCTTGGACTCCTAAAAACACGTGTGAGTCTTTGCAGGCTTCCGATGCGGACGGCGAGATCGACCTGTCCACTTGTTACGACGTCAAAGAGTTCCCGGTGCAGAGGAACTACGGTTTTCAAATCCTGGTGAGTGCGACATCACATTCATCACAGAGACAGATGAAACTCTTACGTCTGCAACGCCACGGCCGCGAATAGCTTCAGATTCTAGAACACACACACACACACGACGGCGCCGAGTGTCGGGTTGCGGCATTTCTCTGTTTTGAAAGCGTTGTTCTGTCATAAAGGATGTCGCTGTCATCCTCCAAGGTCTCGCTCCTGATCTGCTGCAGCTGGTTCTCCCTCACTGGAATAAAACCCTTGAAAAAAATAAGAAAAAAACATATGAATATAAGTAAAATACTGCTTATAAAAAGAACAAGAACAAGAAAAAATGACTTAAGATTTCTGAAAATAACACTAGCCCCAAATGAGGATTACGAAGTATCTTAAAACTAGTAAAATTATCTCACACGACAAACTTCTTTCAAGCAAAAAATTAGCACAACACTGCAAAAAATGACAAAATATAAGTTCATAAATGCTTGAATCAAGGGGTTTTAGCTTAATTTGAGAACATTTCGACAGTCTAAAAACAAGATTTGCCACTGGGACTAGCAAAAATTTCTAAATGATACAAGAAAAATCAAGAATAGTCTTCCTCAGAATGATAAATAAATTGTAGCAGCACTTGAAATAACACTAAATGGCATGTTACAGTGGCAAATCTTGTTTTTAGACAGCCAGAATATTCTCAAATTAAGATAAAAACCCTTGATTCAAGCATTTATGACCTTATATTTTGTCATTTTTTTGTTGTTTTACCTAAATTTCTACCTAATCTTACCTTACTTTAAGATGTTGCTTATTTTTGCAGCGCTCTGAGCCGACTGAATGCTTCATATAACATGTTTACTGTTTACTCGATAACACTCGGATATCAAGATAGATTTACACCCGGTTATAACAACTCCTGAGCTCTGCCATCCTCCTCAATGTCGCGTCTAATCATAAATACTTTTAGCGCTTGTTGCTGGACACATATAGATGCTTGCAATGTCAACATTAGTCATTTGATGTCATCAGGGGTTAGTTGCTAGCTGCTTATAGATGTCAGGCTGCGTGAAGAGTATAGGCACAAGGTCAGCCTCTTTTGTCCGTATTTTCTCGCAGAAGCATCCCCTCGGGTTTCTGCGGGAGGCCAAAATAGTAGTGGATGCTCCGGTTGTTTGGCTGTGAACTGCATGGGATCGGGGGAACGGAAATTAGCAACAGCGGTATTTATATCTGCGTCACCTCTGGTACAGACCTGACGGAGTTGTCGTTTCCAGATTCAATTCAATTCAGTGTATTTTTGTGTAGGCCTAAATCACAACAGTAGGTATCTGGGAGGACTTTACAAGACCATTGGACTCGCAGATCAGAGAATCAAACTGTTCAAACTCAAGAAATGCAATGCATTAAAAACACATAGAGCCATTGGTCCATAAAGGGCAGATGACAAATGTCCATAAATCACCACTGTCCTTAGACCAGGCATGTCCAAACTCAGGCTTGGGAGCCAAATGCGGCCCTCAGTGTCATTTTATGTGGCCCTCTGCCTCGCTAACCCACAGTAGTCTTTGAGATCATAAACACAAGTTCACTGTGTCATCCATCCAACTTCAGCTCAGCCAATATAGACCTGGTTTTAAAGCCCAGTATGTTGTTGACTTTATTTGCACAAACTGTACTCACATGGTTTTTGATGGTGTCCGTTAATGGTTCTACTGTAGCTGTGAGAGGGTAAACATGAGTCATTCATCCAACTTCAGCTCTGTTATAGATCATTTCAAAGCTCAGAACAGTCAAGACAGTTTTTCAGTCCGTGATGTCGGCCCCTGGACTAGTCTGCTGAGCTAAAGTGGCCCTCTTACTAAAAAGTTTGGACACCCCTGCCTTAGACACTCCTGCATCAGCCAACCCAGTGGGGGGGAAATCCCTGAAACCCCTGGATGAATCCTTAGCATAGTCTCAACTGATTTGACCACAGACTGTATATTAGGAGCAGACTGACATCCACCAAAGTGTCAGCCTCAATGGGGACGAGGCTGATTTGAGCATAAGCTGGAGCCAATTTCCTTATATAGTGATTTTTTTTCCCGTTGTATTAGCTTCTCGCCAAAACAGGGGCAAATGTGTTGCTAAGACGGTTGCTAAGCTGATCTTTGTATGGCTCCTATCTGAGTTGATTTACAAAAGCCAACATCAAAATATAAACACCAGGATTACAGAGAGAGCTAAAACACAGATAACGGTTACTGTGCGAGAGGCGTTTAGTTTTCAATGTAAGTCAATTGGAGCCAGTTATATATGTATATGGGTATGTATGTACTGTATGTATGTATGTGTGTATGTATGTATGTGTATGTATGTGCATGTAATGTACATGTGTATGTATGTATGTGTATATATGTATGTATACATATATAGAGCGATATATAGGGCCATGAGCACTTCCCTATTGGCCCTCACACTGCAAAAAGTGATGAGAAAAAAATGTGACTGCCAATTGGACAAGCAAAATCATCTTATATTAAAAATATACAAGAAATTAAATGATAATAAATGGCTTTGTCCCATTGACATATTTAATTCTTTGTAGACAAACAAAATGTACTCAAATTAAATTAATTATATAAAAACCACTTGATTTAAACATTACCTCATATTCTATCATGTTTTGCAGTGTATATATAGTCTCATGGCTTCGACGTATCTTACTACAGCGACACATGTCAACAGCGTGCTCCGAACAACACAGAAGTTCATCATACTGCCATGTGGCATTTAAGCTCGTCAACAAATAGACCCGCGGTGACATCTGCCCGGTGTCTCGATGACGACGCGGGGATGAGTAATTGTGTCTGGGTTTTAAAACAGCCACCCGTTCTCCCTTCGCCTTTACGTGTCCGGGCGGTATTTTGAGCTGCCGCATTATCTCACTCCCGTCGTGTACTTGTCTGTTTTCCAGTGTAAAGAGGGCGCGTGCACCCTGTCAGCCATGACCTCCGGAATCCGCCGCAACTGGATTCAGGCCATCATGAAGAATGTGAGGCCCACCATCGCCCCTGATGTCACACGGTAACAGAGGATCCGCCGCACTGCAAAGACTGATGGGAAACGAGTCTAAAACAGCTACAAATTTGGCAAAATGTATCTTCATTTGAGCGCATTGTGACTGTCTTAAAGGGATATAGGAGGGTTTTCTACTTCCAGGTGGATCATCAAGACTATTGGTCCTCCCAACTGTCAATCATTCTGGTGATACGTGCTCGTCCAATAAGATCAGAGTTTTGTTCAAAAAGTGGAGAAGGTGGTTCTTTTCCTAAAATTTGGGAAAATCCTCCTATATACCTTTAAAACAAGATTGAATGGGACAAAGCACAATTATCTTGTTTTTTTAATTGTGGTTTTAATTTCTACACACACACACCCACACACACACTCATACAAAAAGACAATAAACAGAATAATAAAAGGAAGTATTGTATTTTTCACAATTTAAGTTGCAGTTTTTGTCATGGTTTAGCCAGAGTGTGATGTGTAAAATGTTTAATTAATTATGAATTTTAAGGTTTATCACCGTAAAATTTCAAATAATAGCTATTAAATTGAACGATTTCTCCAAACAATGCAACTTAAATATGTTTTTTTCTTCTTTATTATGCATTTTCGGCTGGTGCGACTTATACTCCTAAAAATACGGTAAATCCAATCATGACCAATCGAACAAACAAAGATGGGCCTGACAAACAGTAGAATGTTTCACTTCAAAATCCAAATGCCCGTTTAACAATAACATATATCTCCAGTCCGACATACATTAAGAAAAGCTCCCACGTCCTTCGACAGACCTCGTCCCTGTGATTCGATCGACAAGTCAAAGGGTCAAGGGAAATGTAGCCGAGGATGTACTTCTGTGCCACAAATTCGATACTGATTCTTATGCCATTTGTTGTTGAAAACAGGCTCAGTTAATACACGCAATAAAAACAAAGGGTTACATTATATTTTTTTCCATTTCCCGTCCAACCATTTGCCAAAAACGTTGTGCAAAAGCAGTGTGTAAAGGCACCAATCTCAACTTTACACTTCAAGCACTTTGGAATTTGGCCTAAATTGGTGACATAGATATTGAGAAATGATCTTGTTTTGAAAAGATACAAGAAATGTCTCCCTTGGAATGAGACAATAAAGCAACAGTTCCTGGAGAAAGACTAAATGGCTTTGTCCCGTTTGTTTTGATACAGTCAGAATGTGCTCGGATTCAGAAAAACTCATAATTTATCATTTTTTTGCAGCGTACACACTGATAATGCGCTAATGTCTCTCCTCCGCTGCATTTCTCTCTCTCTCTCCTCCTCACCCTCTCTCTCTCCACCCGCTTCCAGGAAAAACCTCTCTCTGAAGCTGTCGGTGTTGAAGCCCAGGTTGGACGGCCCCTGTGTGTGTGTGTGTGTGTGTGTGTGTGTGTGTGTGTGTGTGTGTGCGTGTTGTGTCTTTCCCGGTCCTCAGTGATGTCATGGCTCAGCGATGCTTCCTTGTCCTTCTCTGTGTCATGTGACCGTTGAGTAATGTCTCTCTGTGAGCTCTGCCAGACGCGCTCGGAAATGTTCAGATTTCATCACTGCAGGAGTTTTATGACCGACGACGTGGCCGAGCGATGTTGTGGAACACTCCGGAAAACACTATGAGTCACTGTTTGACCCTTTAGCGCTGAGAGCTGATTGGCTGAGGCTGAGTCAGGGCGGTCCTCTCGTGTTTACTTTTCTATTCTGGAAAAGGCGATGTATGGATGTAGGGCTGGGCGATATGGCAAATTTTCATTAAAGTTTCCCCCTAAAAAATATTTGTTGATCTTTCCGCTCAATAATCAAGTTTCAAAACCATTTTTATTTAGTCTATACAAAAATCTTGTATAGACTGTGCTGATATTGAAAGTATAATTCATGCTGCTGGAACTCTCACAATATCCTTCATTCAATTTCACGATTTTCAAATTTTTTCACGAATAAAAATTTTCTAAAGCCGATTAATTGCCTAAATTTGATTTATTGCCCAGCCCTATATGGATGTGACAAAAGCCAAAACAGAAGTGTGGAAAATAGTGACTTTTTCAATTTCCTCTTTTCAAACCATGGGATTCTCTGTTCTGTTTTGTTTGTGAATCGACAATTAACTTTGAGTTCTCCGAGACGACTGCTGTTGTGATTTAGGGCGATACGCAAAAACATTGATTGGTAGAAAACTATTTTAAGAGCGTGGAACTAGTTTTTTTATACGCTTTTTAAAGTTAGAATCCCCAGCTTTAAGACTACATCAGTGCACACATTGATTTGTGATTGTTCACTCAAAAACTGTCAAAAAGTAGTCAAAAATTGCTCATATTTGGCAAACAGTATCATATTTTGAGCACATTGTGACTGCCTTAAAACAAGATTTGCCAATGAGACAAAGCTAAATTATCTTGTTTTAAAAATATTAAAAAAAATGTCAACAAGACCCTTTCCACCGACTCCCACTGATCTGTGCTGTCGTTGTGTCCTTGGGCAAGACACTTTAACTCCACTTTGCCTGAACTGCAGGAGGATCATTGAGGCGATCTGTGACTGCCACCCGTCGACCCAGATATGGATTAAGGGGAAGAAGATGATGGATGGATAGAGTTCTTGAAATAACACTAAATGCCTTTGTCCCTTTGGCAAATCTTGTTTTAACCCAGTCAGATTGAGCACTCGATTCAAACCATTATTACCTCATATTTGATCCTTTTTTGCAGTGTAATAACTAGCTTGACGGCTCATAATGTAGAGTTGCTCTTCATGAATTTGTCACTACACAATCTTATCTGGATTTTCTGATCGATTGATGCGTCTGTGAGCTGTCGAACAAGGGTGAACAGATCAACACATGCATCATGAATCTTTGTTTTGAATGGACTTGAATCTGGATGAAACTCTTAATGTGCTGCACCAGAGCTAGACTCAGAGCTTTTTCAAAGATTTCCACGTCCCTCTTTCTCAATGTGAGCGTGTGATATTCCTGGCATCCCCGCTGGACTCCTCGCAGACCCCTCTGTGTCGTTTCTGAGCCCTGTCCCTTCTCAGTTTCCCCTCACTCACCGACATACAGGACAACATACCACAGACGCGTGGAGCCGCTTTGCTGAGGTCACCTTTTCGATACACGTCGTGGAACTTCACTGCTCACATATTCTCAGATAAAGCTTGGCTCTAATTGTCAAAAATAAAAGTGAAAGCATCAGACCAAGGCTTATCTTAGAGTATTTTTGTAAATGCCACGGCTGTTACGCTCTCTGCACATGCTGCCCAACTGTCCGCCTGTAACGCCTGATGTGTCTCTGTGTCGACTGCTGTGTGTGTTCATGTAATATTTGTTTATTATTCATGTTTGTTTATTATTCATGTTTGTTTACTTCCACTGTTTTTGTTGTGAATAAGGATCGTATGAAGGGGAGAAAAAATATTGTTTAGTGTCATGAAAAATCCACCAATAGGTTGCGTTCATGTTGTAAAGTCGTATATCAAGTGGAGGGCAGGTGCCAATTCTCGGTTTGCAGTTAGTGACGCATCAACTTCCGGTTAATGTGGTGTCAGGCCGACACAAATTGCTGCTGATATGGGAAGAAAATGTGACTCTTCTTCCGAGTATTTTCTTGCTTTTTGGATATTTAATGACACTTTGAAGCTACTGTGGTTAAAGTTCTAACTCATCATTCTAACAATATGCACAAGGCAGTATTTTTCCTCGACATGTTTTGGTAATATCAAGGTTGAAGCTTCTGGCACCGTAGCGAATGATGAGGAGGACTCCATTCCGCCGTTGTATAATATCACTTACATTCTGTAACGTCTTTGTTCTGTCTCTACCATCCACAATAAAACATGTCTGAATTAAAGACACACTCCTAGAGTGTCATTTAGAATAAAACATTTCGAGATCCATACATTGAAAAAGTCCAATTGTGTACTGGTATAGATCCTAATGCGTTATCCAAGAATTATTTGAGTTAAGAGTTGGATTTACCACACCCATAGGTTATAAATCTCCAACGCGCGGTCCGAGAATTCATTCCCTGAAGAAGTCCCCAGGTTGAGGACGAAACGTCGGGAAAACTTGCTAAGAAGTACAGATGATGGGTGAGAAACCTTTCTTTGCTTTAAGAGTTGGATGAATATCCGCCAGTTCAGTTCCCGGATATCACAAACTATCTAGTGTTACAATCAAGCTTTTGTACTTTAAACAAAGGAAGGCTTGGAAAAGCATGGATGCTACAACTGTCTGTGGGTTAAGGAACTCAGAGTTAAGGTCCTGAAGCACAAATCCTGCATCGTAAAGAGCCGTGTAAGTAACGATTGGTGAATGAACTTCATTCTCAACAAAACGATGCGTCAACATGTTTGCTGTGTTCAGGTCCAACATTCACAGTGTTTATCTAAAACGCCAACTTATCCCTGAAAGTTCATAAAAAAACTGATGGGGATGTAATAACTGCACATTGTGACTGCATGGCTGGGTAAATAAATAATCCTTCAATGTAAAAGCGTCTGCTAGTAAATTGTTAGCGAGACACTTTTCCTGCGTCTTTTTGTAAAGACGCAGGACGAAAGTTTGAGGACGAAACGTCGGGAAAACATTCTAAGAAGTACAGATGATGGGTGAGAAACCTTCCTTTGCTTTGACTAATCCCTGCTTTGACTGAGAGCTTGCACAAACTTGTCTTTTTGTAAAGTCCTCAGTGCGAGGCTCTTTATTAATCTCTTCACAAGGAATCCTAAAGTATCCATTAAAGGTTTAGCGATTAGATCGGTTAGAAAACTTAAAACAACACATGCAAGAGGCAGATTCAGACACGCTGCTCTAGTGAACAACTAGCTCGGCTGACCACCACTTTGTGTTACGCATATGTAATGAGGCGGACGTGACGTCAATTGCAAGCAAGCAATACAACGCTATGTGAAAGACGCCATTTTTAAAGAGTAGTTGAAAAAGAAAAGTCCAAATGTTTTCCCAGATCATTCTTTAATTAGATGGAATCTGAATGTTGGGAGGTCTTTTCTACAGGCCAACATTCTAGTCACCTTTGAGAAAATACGAGAAGATACTCAGCATCCTATAGTACTATTTTTGACTATAATTACTATAATAACTTAAGACAAACTTGTTTTGTCCCAGGAATGACAGATACATCAGCAGCTTTTTAGACTTAGACTCTTGACCCTTGTTTTAGCCGCCCTCCACCACAATGTTAAACTATAGGCTCTTTGGAGTGTTGTGATGTCACATGAACGCAACATATTGTTTGTGCTGGTTTGAATCTAACATGAGTGCTTGCCATATTATGAAGTTCTGACATTTACCCAAATCTCAAATCGTTCAAAAATAATCTAAGCGTTTTCTGTTTTGTGTCCTTTTAGATCCCTTCCAGAAGACAATCTAAAAGTGACGCTAGAGCCGTGTTCACAATCTGTTTCTGAGCAAGACCCCAACCCTTCTGAGTCCCCAAAACCCGACGTCAACAACCAGTGCAGCTCCAACAACTCCTCCACCCCTCCCTCGGAACCGCGCAAAAGCCGCATCCGGGAACGCAGGCGAGAAGGCCGCTCCAAGACGTACGACTGGACAGAGTTCAAGATGGAGAAGCCAGAAAAGCCGGCGAAGGAGCGCGCCGATACGGTAGACCTCAGCTCGTCGTTTTCTCCCAATTCCTCCTACAGTTCTTCTTCCAACCCTTCGTCCATGGCCTCCTCTCCGGCCTCCACCTCCTCCCAGCTGCAGTCCACAACAGAAGACAGGGTCACGGCAGCGCACTCGCCGTCCAGCTACGCCACTAGCAACACATCGACCAGTCCACTTGGGCGAGAGTGTCTGGGAAAAATGGAGATAGACCATCCTTCAAGCAAAGGCGGTAAAGGGCCTGGTGTCCGAGACGAGATCGAACAGCGGTGGCATCAAGTCGAGACCACGCCGTTGAGAGAAGAAAAACAAGTCCCCATCGCGACGGCCTCAACAGTGTCCAGTAACTCTGACCGGTTACCGCCGCACGAGCTGGCAGAACTGCTCGACAAAGAGGTGCAAATATAATTCAGAGTATTGTGGACGTCTGAATTGTGTCTGTATTTAACTTGCTTATTTTTAGTTGGGACAGAAACAAAAAGAGCTGGACCAACTTCAAAAGCAGAACGACCTTTTGAAAGAGCAACTGGAGGATGCGCTAGGCCGAGAGCAGAGCGCCAGAGAGGGCTACGTCCTGCAGGTAAACAACATTCTCTTCTACGGTTGTGTTGAATAAGTATAACAAGTGTGTTTCACTAACGGGTGTTGGTGCTTCTCTGAAACTGATACGCATGATTGTGGTGTGCATGGAATTGGGACTAACTGTTTTTACGGAGGCTCACATCTCTTGGGAAATGCTATGTGGAAGTTTTGTGGCTTGTGGTAAACTACTGCCCGAGGGACTTTACACTGTGCTTTTTCTTCCTGTCTGTGCTGCCATTGTGTGTGTCCTTTTCAAACCTGAATCTGCATGTTAAACATTTAAAAACACAAACAATACATCTAGATAGGTAAACATTTCATTATGTAGGAAACATTATGTTTGGGACCCCGCTCCCATCTCTGTGTGGAGTGAGAGGACAAGTGCCCAAAAAATAACAATTGTAAACCGCTTTGTGACTCTGGTCTGTGAAAGGCGGTATATAAATAAAGCTTACTTACTTACTTATAATGACTTGTACACAGTCTGTTGTCTCATGTCACTTGTTTGTATCATGTTCACATTGAGCAGAAAAAGCACAGTGGAATGCCTCTGGGATTTAGGGAGCACATTGCCTCGAGAGCATCTGAGATGTGGTTCTCCGTACTATGAGGTGAGGTGCTGTTTGACTAAAATTCTCTCATCAATCTCTTACAAGTGTGCCACACCCCCTTCCTCATCACCACAGCGAGTCCCCTGGCATCGATTACACAGACTAAACCAAGATTTACAAGGAGAACTGGACACCCAAAAACGCAAGCAAGATCTTGCACAGCAGCAGATCCGGACACTAAAGAGAAGTTTCACCGAAGCCCAAGAGGCTGTAGACCGGCATGAGACTGATATTCAGGCCCTTCAGGCCAAACTGGCGTCTGCGATGGCAGAAATATTAGCAAGTGAACAAGCCGTGGCTCGAATGCGCAATGAGCTCAAACTAGAACAAGTGCGCTCTAAGGAACAAGAGGAAGAACACAACTGCAGCGAGGCCACTCTGAGAGCTCAGCTGAAGGACAGTGAAGATCGACTGAGACAAGTGGAGGCCACCCTCTTGGAGCGCAGCCAGGCTCTCAGGCACCTGGAGCGGCAGCAGGCGCTCCAGAGGGACCACCTCAGAGAAACTCAGAGGCTGCAGGAGAGACTGCAGGAGGTGACTGCTCGCCTCAGTGCCACAGAGGAGGGCCAGGCTCTGAAAGAAGAGCGCCTGAGGAAGGAGCAGCAGACCCTCAAAGAAGCTCATGAGAGGGAGAAGCAGAGTCTATGCAGGCGCCTGGCTGAGGCCCAGGGCACGCAGAAGAATCTGGAGGACCGGCTTCTGGAGGCTGAGCAGCAGGTAGAAGCTCTGCTGCATGGAAGACAGAGCTCTGCAGGACAAGAGGAGCAGATCCTGAAGCTGCACGAAGAGCTGAGCCAGAAGAGCAACACGCTGGAGTCTCTAAGGGAGAGTGTGCGTCGACTGGAGGAGGAGAAAGCTCATCTGATGTGTCGCTGCCAGGAGCTTCTCAACCAGATCGCAGAAGCAGACCGTGAAGTGAACAAGCTCCACAGTCGACTGGAGGCTGAGGAGGCAGAGTACTACACTCTGGAGCACTCATATGAGAGGGCCACAGAGGAGTTTCAGAAAATGAGCCAGTTCCTCCGTGAGAAAGAGCAAGACATCCTCCAAACAAAGGAGATGTATGAGCGACTAGTGGAGCGAAAAGAGGAAGACTTAAAAGAGGCCTTTGTCAAAATAAATGCACTCGGTAACAGTTTAGAGGAAACCGAGCAGAAGTTACAAGCAAAGGAGGAACTCCTCTGTCAGATGAGTCAGAGACTGTTGGAGCCCTGCGATGCTGAAAAAGAGTTACAAGCTAAGCTCGTTATTGCAGAGGACCGGATTTCAGAGTTGGAGCAGCATCTTCATGCCCTGCAGCTGGGATACGCTGGTCTTTCCTCTGACCAACAGACGAGTCCAGAGAAGTGCAGCCAGGACTCTGTAGTGTCTAACGCACAAACCCCTTCAGATGTGTCTCAAGCTAAAAGACCAAGGATACGCTTTTCAAATATTCAATGCCAAAAATACAGCAGTGTGGATGAGATGGATACTTTACTCGACACAACACAGTCATCTGAAGAAAATGTTTCATTCCCTCACACAAGTGACCCAGAGAAGTTTATCTCCATTATACATGCCCTAGAATCCAAACTCCTCGCAACTGAAGATAAGCTAAGAAACCTCACACAAAACCTTGATCAATCAACCAAAGATGAAGACGTCCCCAAAATGGATGTAGGATTAAGTGAAAATGCATCTTGCCCTGATGGGGAGAGGGACTTTCAAGGCATTTCTATAAATAAGCACTATGCTAACGCTCTTGTGTGTATTGAAAACTGTCGGCAGAAAGTGCGGGGCATTCTCAGTGGCTCTCATCAGACCACTGACTCTCATCTGCATTCACTTTCTCTTATAGAAGGTGACTTGTTCAATGCATCACTTTGTATCCAACAAGCACAAAGCACTGAGGGCTCTGCTCCAGAGGTGGATCTGCACCAATCTCCAGAGTCTCTAGATATAGATGCAATGCAACTCTTTGCCAAAACCCTGGCTTTTGAGGCTGCTGTTTTAAAAAAGATGGCTTTACTAATACAGACGTCCAAGTCTGACCTCTCACAGGCTCTGAGCAAAATATGGGGGGATTTGGAGAACATAAAAATTTGTGATAAAGACAGTTTGGCAATAGTTTATGCTGATATGTTGATTAAGAAACTAATGCTCGAGAGTTCTTTTTGGGGGGACATGGAGAAGGCTGAGTGCCAGTTTGAGCCTCATGGAGATGCAAAACAGGCCAGAGCTTCAGATAATGATTCCAATTTAATATTTAACAGTTTAATCAAAGCCGAACTGGCCTATTCTATTCAAAATATAAAAATATCTTACAATGACAAATTCCAAATTCTTAGAAAAGAGTTAGCTGAGGCCCACAAGAACTTGCATCAAAGGGAAACAGCGTTGAAAACAATTATTGAAGCTGCGAAAAGTCCAGACTTGAAAAACATCATTAAAGAAATTAAAAAGAGTTTAGGCCTAAGCAAACATAAGCTAGCTGACGTCCGCCCCCCTGAACTGGCCCCTTACATGGAGCAGATCGAGGTTGAGGAGGCGCGAGTGATGGCGGACGAGATTGTAGAAAGAAACCTCCCAGATGATGTCCCAATGTGTGGCGTCGACTCCATCCATTCACTAGAAAATGCCCATGAGATTCTGGCCAGAGAACTCCAGAGGCAGGCAGCTATTCTCCTCAAATATGCTCAAGAATTAGAACACGGAGACAAACATCCGGAGCTGGCGAAGATGATCCATGCACTTTTAGGAAGGCAGGCATCTCATCAGGTGACCAGCACTTCCCTGTGTATGCGAGAAGCCCTCATTCAAAGCCAAGTGGCCTACGTGGCGTGCAGGCTACGGGCCATGCATGAGCAAGACCTGAGCTGGTACAAGCAGGCCAATCAGAACATGGATGCTCTCGTCCAGCAGCACGCTCAAAACATCAGCGCGATCCAGGAGAAGTACGAGGCATCCATCGAAGAGCACCGGCAAAACTTCTCACAGAGGGTGGAGAGCCTCGAACACGAAAACCAATCGCTGCAAAGTGAAATCGGGAAACAGGTCCGGCAGCTCTCTCAGCAGCGGGAACAGATGGCAATGTTAGAGGAGCGGTTTCGGGAAGAGGCGGAGAAACTGAGGCGCAGGCACAAGCAGGAGCTGGAAAACATGGAGGAGGAGCGAGCGGCGGTGGAGGAGGTCATGGAGACGACGGCGGACGGTCAGAAGCGACTGGAGGAGCAGCACCAGAGCCGAGCGAAGGCTTTAGAGGCGCAGTTTGAGCTGAAGATCTGTGAGCTTCAACGTCAGCACAAAGAAGAAGTGAGAAAGCTGCAAGAGTGCGCAGGGGACAGGTCTCCACTCAGGACAGGAGCAGAGGGGCAGAGGAAGGGGGAGGACCACAGCGCCTCCGAGGTGGACTCCATGACGGTTCTGAAGGAGCGCATTCAAGAGCTAGAAAACCAGATGGACACCATGAGAGACGAGTTGGAGAGCAAGAGCCTGGATGGAGATACGGCCAGCCTCAGAGAGAAATACCAGAGAGATTTTGACAGTCTGAAGGTTCTGATCTTTTACATTTTTACCGTGTAGTAGTCTGTAGGAGATAGTAGTGATAGTTATGTAGGTCACTGCTGCAAATTAAGACGCTAACACTTACTAGACAGTTTTCTCATTTTCTGACTAACTTAGCTTTGCTCTGAGCGTAACTCTTGCATGCCTCTAATATGAATCCTGCATGACACGTTTATCAGACGCTTTTTTGTTAGAATCCCACGTCTTCCTCTCGTTCCATAGAGATTTGTGATGTTTGATGGACTGCTCACACTTCTATCTGCAGGCTACGTGTGAGCGTGGCTTTACCGCAATGGAAGAAACCCACCAGAAAGTCATCGAGGACATCCAACGGCAGCACCAGAGAGAGATTTCCAAACTGATGGAGGAGAGAGAGAGGCTGCTGGCCGAGGAGACTGCTGCTACTATTGCTGGTACGCTCTCTCCTGGCTTTTAGTGATTCTATTTTTACATTTTTTTATTAGACTCTTATAAGATGCATGTTTTTGCAGCTATTGAAGCTATGAAGAATGCACATAAGGAGGAGCTGGAGAAAACCCAGCGCTCGCAGATCAGTGGACTGAACTCTGACATTGATGAACTACGCATTCAATATGAGTACGAACTATTTGCAACTTTTTGCTTAAATGTGATGCTAGAGACTTTACATTTAATTTACATTTGATATATACACATAAGGTGCCTCGCATATAAAGAAATGAACAGACCTTAGACATTAGTATGTGTATGAATAAATAAGATAAAAGAGAATCAATATATATATGCAGTATACTTATAATATATATATTTATTTTATGACTTGGACCGTACGCGCGCTCTGATTGGCTGATTTGCGGTCTGATATTTTCCCATCTCGGGCCGTTACCATGACAATTGGTCCGCAGCGCGTATCAATAGATATCTTTCCTTGGTAAAAAAGGAATGATGAGTGACGACTGGGAGCATTCTCCAGTGAATTCTATTTTACGGACGAATTGGAAGAGCCAGAGGAAGTAATAACAGCAAATAATGACGAAAATACAACTCCTAACAGTCAAGAAGAGATTGACAACTTTGTTACAGGCCAGAAAAGTAAAAACACGATTAGGAAAACCAAGTTGGACATGAACATACTTCACAAATATCTAAAAAGCATTGGTAAAGACACAGAAGAGATTGGAAACTTACAGCGGGCGCCTCAGTCATCTGATAAGCAAGTTCTCCATGTCACCATTTGACAGTTTGGTTGCTTGTGTTTTTGCTGGGCACAGACCTCGCCACGGCTCGGTCAGTACAAAAAAACAGCGGTCTGATATTTCTCTGTACAGACCTCGCGCTCGTCTAATAAGCTGTTAATATTGATCATGGGGATCAAGTATTTTACTAATATTTACAGTCAATATTATACAACAATAATACACCCAGTCGGATGGAGGAGTTAAACCAATGTCAATGTCAGTTTCATCTGTATAGCACGTTTACAACAACATTTACAACCACAACCAGCTCCCCAAAGTGCAGTTGAACTCAGTTGGTGTTTAAATTCAAGGCATAAAAAATGATTTATTATTTGAGGGGCCTCAAGGATTAGAATTTTTATTTTGACCAATCAGGAATCTGTGCGGCTGATTATGGGTGGGTCTGACCTCTGCTTGTCTTCAAAATGTTCAACAGTGTTCAACAGTGGAAATCATATTATAATCATCATAATATCAATTATTATATCTCCTCAATGGAGATATAATAATTATGTCTATAGTCAAACCAATTCCATGGAAACCAAAAGGTGAGGAGTCAGGTGCAAACATACAAACCCACTCCTCACAGTCAGGGCACTTTTTAATATAATATAAGTGTTTTTCAACCAGTGGGCCGTGACACGTTGATGTGCCTTGGGATGCTTTTTGGTGTCCTTTTGGTATTGAGCCAATATCAACTAATTGTTAAAAATAATGTGAGAAGATTCACATTCTAAAAAATAAATTTTGATGAAAACGACGTTGTGTTGTTGATAAATGCTATAGAAGTCACTCAAAAGCTACAGAATGTACTCTAATTTAAAAAAAAAACCACTCAATTCAAGCAGTTATTACCTCATACTTTGCTGTTTGCAGTGCACTGGTATGAGCATGCAAAAGGAAAAGAGGAAGCAGAAGCACATAGGTTCCTACTTTGCTAATATGGCGTTTGTCCACAGGGAGGAGCTGCAGTCCATCCACAGGGAGCTGGAGGTGCTGTCAGAGCAGTACTCTCAGAAGTGTCTGGAAAACGCTCATCTGGCTCAGGCGCTGGAGGCCGAGAGGCAGGCCCTCCGGCAGTGTCAGCGAGAGAACCAGGAGCTCAATGCCCACAACCAGGTCCCACAAATGGCATCAACACAGACTCTATGTATGTATGGATCTATTCAAGCATTCTGTAACCAAAGCTGTGGGCCGACAGGAGCTGAACAACCGGCTGACGACAGAGATCACCCGCATGCGCTCGTGTCTGAGCGGGGAAACTGCCATGTCACCGTTCACCCAGGGCAAGGATGTGTATGAGCTGGAGGTCTGCGTGCTTATTCATCAACACTTACAGGATTATACATGGCTCACTCCACACTAAACTGCACCAATGTGTTACAAATGGGTCAACGACACAAAAAAAGTCCAGAAATGTCTGTGGTCGTTACTGCCCAATGTTAGTGAAGGGGAGTAAACACAGATCAGGGTGCTTGCGAAAGTCTTGAAAGTCTTAACTCATTGACTGCCAGCTGTTTTTGATGATTTCACTGATTCTCAAGACCCACAGAATATTATTTCCTAAGACTATGTGAAATGTGAAACCAGATTCTGAAAGACTGGATTGTCTACTTTGATCAGCAAAAATAAGTTTGTTTTAATCCCCAGTCGAATAAAGGGTCTCAGACAAATTTGTCAATGACAGTCAATGAGTTAATTAATAAGTATGGAATTTGAAAATACTGTTTTCCAGACCTTGAAAACTCTTGAATTTTGGGTGAAAGAAAGTATGGAGAAAAAATTTATGGTAGAATTTTACAGTATGCTCAAAGGCATTGTGAAAGGAGAAATAGTAAAAGTATAGATTTATAGCCTACCTTCCTAACTGGTCACGTACTGTATTAGCCTTAGCTAATACATCACTTTTTTGTGATGTCACTGCTGAGGTCTACTGACACATAGCTAGCCTAGTGCTCAACAGAAATGGGTCGTTGCGTGTTTTCGAAGGCAGTAGGCACACAAGTATACAAGTACATAAAGTTAAGGTCTTGGGAAGAAAAAAAAAATCAGGAATTTTAATTTGGAAAGAGCAAGCGTCCTGATTATTTGTTCACATTCGTACTATTCAATTCACTTTATTCTTGTATAGCCCTAAATCACAACAGCAGTCATCTCAAAGGACTTAACAGAACCATTAAAATCACCAACATAGATCAGAGAATACACAAAAAATATAGAACACATATGTATTGGTCCATAGGGAGAGACCAATGTCCAAGAATGTTGATAAATGTCCATACATGTATTATTAGCGCTCCAGAGCCGTTTTAGACATAGCAAAAAGTGGCCGTGAAGTGTAGAGTCCAAAACGCCCAGTTTGTCTGCAGCTATTGAATATTTTTTTGCATAATGAATGTTCTATAACACTGGGTAACAAAAAAATATTTTTTGAAAATAATCCAGGGTTTTCCAGCTGAGTCTGAAAATAACCTTGGTTTTGCTCAATCAGGTCAGGATTTTTTGCTACAGAAATATTTTTTTAATTGATTTTACGTTAAAAAAAAAAATCTGCGGATCATCAGCTGAGACACCCTTGATGTTTTTTCCGTTTTCCTCAAGAAATAAAAGTCATTCAGTTTTTATTTACTCCATCAAATTTGATAAGCAGAATTCATAATAACGTAGACGTACATAATCCGTAACACTGTGGCTGTATCTCAAAAAGTTGACCTGATAGAGCAAAATGCATGTGATATTCGGACTCAGAACACCAACATTAGTCTAAATCAGTTGAGAAACCCCTGACCATTTTTTGGGTGTCAACTTGTGTAATCAACCAACCATCAACCAACCATCAGCCAACCATTAGCCAACCATTAGCCATTACATATTCTTCCCTGTCCTGTTCATTTTCCCATTCACAAAGCCTCCAACACAACACGTCCTGTATGTAAAAACCTTGTCCCGAAAGGCATCCATTTTTCTATACATGCTTTTGAGTCCATCTGAGATTATCCTTTGTATCCATAAACTACATATTTTTTGAAGAATTTTAAGATACAAACATTTTTGGTTCTTACATTTATGTTATTGCTGCTTGGAGTAAGATTTGTGGATTGTGCAGTTTAGCGGAGTGAGCCTCATGCATCTGTGCTTTAACCTCGTCTGTCGATAGGTGTTACTCCGAATCAAGGAGTCAGAAATTCAGTATTTAAAACAAGAGATCCACTCGCTGAAAGATGAGCTGCAGTCTGCTTTAAGGGTAAGAGCCACACTTTTCACTCCCACAAAGATACAGAAACACTTTAGATTTGCCCTCACTAATTATTATGCGTATTATCCTCAGTTAGAGATTTTATACTTAAATCATGCTTCTTCGTGTTGCTAAAGTTGGAGATTTAGACTCGTAAGTTTGCTAAAGCTCGATATGTTATTCTAAAATCATGCTTCTTCTTTTTTTTCTTATCTTTAATTTGGGAATAACAACAAATGGGTGGGCTTTTAGTACCAGCTTAACTCACCTCAACATTTGTGTATAAAATATGATCATACAGAAGTAATATTAAATAGAGTAAATTATATCTATGTAAAAGCTTGAGTAGTGTTCATGAGGTAAAGGGAGATAATACATGTTGTCACAAACAGGGAAGAAGTCTAAATTCTTCATGATGCTAAAGTTGGGGGAACTTCTTGCCGCGCTAAAGCTAGAGATTTTGCTAAAGTTAAGAGATTTAATTACATTTTAGTGAAGTCGTTTTTGTTCATTTATCTGCTGCATGTGTGCCGCTCATTCCTACTGTTTTTTTTTATTTTAGTTTATTTCAAGAAAACAATGACAAAGTGTCCATCATGTACAGCAATAATAACAAACCCAAAATAAAAAAATAAATTAAAAAAAACAGTGGTCGTAGTAAAACAAAGCAGTGGCCGGTGAAGAGGAGAACTTATTGATTCCCACCTGTTTTCATCGTCTAAACATTAGGCAAGGCAAGTTTATTTGTATAGTACAATTCATACACAAGGCAACTCAAAGTGCTGAACAAAATAAGAAAGCATTAAAATCATAAATAATCACAGAACATTAAAAAGAAAGATTAAAATATAAAATCCCTCAGTTGTATTATTAGTTACTTCTTTTGGTTTTTTACACTTTCTTGCAAAAACATAAGTACTTCATTTTTGTTTGCATTATCAACAAAACAAAAAAGTATTTTTTGAAGTTAGGTTAGCATCATGAACAAAGTCATTTTCCTTCATTTTTATAACGTTCAAAAATATTGTTTTGGATTTCTTCCCTAAAATGTTTAATATTTGGACATTGCTAGAGCTGCTCATTTAAAGCGGTTTAACCCCTTTTACGGAAACACAAAAACTTTTATTTTTACTGTGTACTTGTGGTAATATGAAATCTGGCTTTCCTCTCAGCACATTTGTTTTTGTACATTTTGAGGTAAATCCTTACACTTTGCCCTGTACAGAACCAGTACTGTTTGTAAATCCACCAGATCTGGAAACTTTAGTCATTTGGACTCAATGAAAAATGTATGTTCTCAAACTGGTGATGCAACACTGACATTTCCCCGCTGTGGGACGATTAGAATCTTAATTAACAGCTAATGAAGTGCAAATGACTGAACCCTAACCCTCGCCCGGACCCTCACCCGGACCCTCACCCGGACCCTCACCCACACGGGAAAGTGTCCGTTTTTACGTAGATGTTGAATAAGGGCAGTCCAATCAAAGCCACTTTATGTATATAGCACATTTCATAATAACAGTTTCCAAAGTGCTGCAGAATAAAATACTAATTAAAACAAATCCATAGTAAAACAGTGAAATCATTAAAAATCAAAGAGGAAAACATAAATATAAAAATAACAGTAAAATAAAGTATGTAAAATGTAAAATAAGTGCTAAATAAATACCAATTAAGAGCTTATTAACTATAAATTATACACATACTAGCACTTAATTAGCTGTTAATTACTGAGGGCTTATCTAAAGTGCGGCCATAAACGCACAATGTTGACGATGGGATTTTTGTTTTCATTTCTGCAGGACAAAAAGTACGCTGCGGATAAGTACAAGGACATCTACACAGAACTCAGTATTGTAAAAGCCAAGGCCGACTGCGACATCACCAAACTGAAGGAGAAGTTGCTCCTGGCGACGGAGGCGTTGGGCGAGAGGAACGTGGACGGATCGGTCTCGTCTGGATATGGTCGACCCGACACAGACACATCTCCGTCGTCCCGGGTTCCACGTTGATATTTATTACAGTTTTGTGTCGTTGTAGATATTATGAAATCCAAAAGCAATCCGGATTTTACAAAAAAAGAGCAGTCGGCCGCAGCGAAGCCGTCCAGAGGAATCAGATCCAAGGTGAGTCGCCGTGGAAACGCTGCGCTGTACGGTTTTTATCCTTGTCGTTAAAGAGCTGGAGTCAAAGTCTGTCTTGTGTGTTTGTCCGTCGGGTCAGTCTGTCACTGAACAGGTCTCATGGGACAGCTGACATCCCCCCCAAGCCCTGTCCTCTGTAGGTACCGCATTGTTAACATAAAAACCCATCTCAACCTGCTGCATGAGCTCATTCACACGACCACGCCCTGTTTTTCCACGAACGCACTTCCTGTCTCCTGTCCGCCCTCTCTGGCGTCTCATCTGAGTGTACTAAGTGTGTCGCTGGAACAGTCATACCTTACGTTCTGAAAGATTTCCATTGCTTCATTTCTTTGTTGGATATGTTTTCTAAGTATTATGTATCGTATGTATGTATTTAATCCCCTGTGCTATCGTCGGGTCGAATTCACCTGCCACAGTGATTCAAAAATACTCTAAATAAAACATTTTTGAGCTGGATGTTGATGATATTTTCTACCTTGATCGTCCCATAGTCATTTAGACCCTTTTAGATCCTAATTTAAGTATATTTTTCTTCCATTTTTATTTGTCTGTGGTGGGTAATTTTGACCCGAGGGCAGCACAAGTGTTAGGGCTGAAAGATATATTGTCAATCGATATTGATGTGAACTTATTGATATGAAAAAAGCAATAACTATAGGACGTAGATCTCTGGCAGTTACAGTTAACAGCTAATTAAGGGATATTTGGTGTATAATTTATAGTTAATTTGTTCTTAAAGGTGCAGTAAGCGATATTAGCTTAGCCGTAGCACCAACTGGAAACCCCTCCCCCCTCGCATCCCATTGGTTCGTTGGGGATGAACGAATACCATTGGTTTGTTTTTATCGGTCCGCTCCAAAATATTTTCTATACATTTTTGGAGACTATCGGAATCTGGTCAATTTCATTACTATTTGAAAACACATGATAACTTGACTAGTTTTAGGGTTAAGGGACGTTTTCCCACAATATTTAAAAAAATGCGTCTGGAAAAAAATCACTGACTGCATCTTTAATTGGTATTTATCAAGCACTTATTAGTCTGTATTCTACATGGCCTTATTCAACATCTATCTAACGACTATCTGACACTGTATCATGTGGACTAGGGTTAGGGCTAGGATTAGGATTAGGGTTAATACTAATTAGCAATGAATTAGCTGTTAATTATCTAATCTCGAGTGTTACCCATCTGTTTTTTATGAATGAACCATTGAGTCAAGCCAACCACAAACTCTATTCTGTTCAACCAATGACAAACATAGGAGGGCGGGACTTCGTTTTTTATCCTGTCGTATCGATTTTGAGATTTTCGGCATTAAAAGTGAGATGCGATATTTTGTCTATATCATTCAGCCCTGGTTTTAAATACCGTTGTTAACACGGCATGTATTTTGCAACCCACTAATGATACTTTGAACTCTTCACCGGTCTGAGCGTTGTCAAACTGTGTTGTACGGAAAAACTCAAACTTCCCTCTGTGGATCGGACTGAGATGTTTTGCCTGATGCAGGAATTTACTGAACTTTGCGTTGAAATGAACTAAATGCATGAGCAAAAAATGCCTGTATGGAACTAGCATACAGCACTTTTATACAGACTTATTCTTTTATACAGACTTATTCTTTCCCATCTGTGCTTCTGAGACCACGCCTCTCATCCCATCGTCTACAGCTTCACTCCAGTGTTCTGTGTGTAATCAGTGAGCAGCTCTGTTTGCTCCTAACGCTCCATGTTTGTGTCCCCAGAGCCTGAAAGAAGGACTGACCGTGCAGGAACGCATGAAGCTCTTTGAAGCAAAAGATTCCAAAAAAATCTGAACAAAATTTGATCAAGTTTTTGGGGGTTTTGGTCCGACTCAGCCTCATCTTCAGACTGCATTGAGATCAACTGACCCTGGAAGTGCTGCTTTGTTTCCTCTGATATATATATATATTTGAATTGTTTATATAATGAAAAATAGTTTTATCGATCAATCTTGTGTAAAGGTTATTTTAAACCAATGTCCAAGATATTCAGTGTCATATATAAGCTGTGAGAGAAATGCATAGCAGCTTTTTATTTATCCTTCCAAATGCCAAAATAGACAGCAATATCCATTATGAATAATATATATTTCCCAGTATGACCTAATTACCTGCTGTATTTTATTATTGTTACTGTTATCTACAAGACTTCTCGTGTCGAATGTTGCACCGCTTGTGTTGTACATAACTACGGGGTACTGGGTATGTAGGTTCTGGGTACTGGGTATGTAGGTTCTGAGGGTTGGCCATCTGCTGTAACGTGGTCTGAGTGTAGTGAGTGACATAATGTGATGCTTGCATTGCTTTTGAGTGAGAGTTTAGGATGGTGTGTTTGTGTGAGGGGGGGGCAGGAATGGGATTGCACTTATCACTTGACTACTTGAGAAAACTTTTCTTTCAAATTGTGGATGTGGTGATATTTCATTTGGTTTACTGCAGTGCAACCAAATATCCTCGCTCTTGTAGACCTATTGGAACAACGTGAACTGTTAGTGGTACTGGATTTTCTATGTTTCTTTCTGACATGAAATGTTTTTATTCTAATTTCTTTGCTTTGATGTGATTCCGTCGCCTCAAAGTAGATAAATAGGACTTGCATGAATAGTACGGTATGACATGCAGACTGGTAATGTTCCTCCATCCGCAGTAACACTAATAAGCTTTGCTTTGCAACTTCTACTGTTTTGGTGTAATGATTTACTGTAAGCATCAGTCTTGAAGCACTTGGCCCAATCCCTGACCTCTCACTGACATCTCTGTGCCTCAACTGAGTGAAGATGTAAACATCCATGAAACCTGTGCAGCTATGATACACTGTGGAGTATTCAAACCACGCCTTGTAAATAAGATATGCCACAGAGGACTTCTGTGTCTGTTTTCAACTTGTAACTTGCTCAATAGCTTGATATGAAATATATATGAATATTTTTTATTTTCATGTGAATGTATTATGTCAATAAATGAAGTGTTTTGAAAAACTTGAGGAAACATTCTTGTCAGTTACCTATACACAAATAAATAAACGTAGTGTATCCAGAAGCAGCCACACTGGGAGAAATATAGAAGATTTCAGTTCAACACGAATTGGACTCTGAGCAAAATCTGTCAAAGGAGAAACTCACAGAGACTATAAGTAAGTTATATCTATCTATCTATCTATAGACTTATGTGTTGATGTCTCTGACATGCAACATAAATAAAATGTACATAACTGTATAATACAATACATTATATTTATCATAAACATGTCTTTTTATTCAGTGTTTTAAACATATTAGTAGTTATTAGGTTTTTTTTTTTTTTTTACTTAAACCGTGTCCAAAGATCCTGATGAGGGAAATGTCACGTGGTGAGATGAAAGACTCAAACTGCAGGAATGAAAAATAATGATTTAATGCAGATAAAATAAATGGTCAAGGTTAAAAACTCAATATCCAAGAAAGGAGAGGAACACAGGCAAACAAAGACAATGAACCAGCAACAAGGGGAGAGGAGCACAGGTACGTCTAAAGAGGAGCACAGGTACATATAGATAGACACATGAGCACAGGTACGTACAGAGACACAGAACAATATAGACAGAGACACAGGAGCACAGGTACATATATACAGAAATACAGGTGAAACACGTATTTATATAATTTATCTTTTCTTCAAACCGACAGGCTCCATCATAACCCCTGGGCCCAGCTCCGCCCGGGGCCTTCATGGTCGGCAGGTAAGTTGTTCGTGCTCAAGTTCCAGGTTTTAAGTGTATTTTTTTAAAGACACATATAAATAACACTATAATAGATCCATGGTGTAACACCATCATTATGAACAATCTGGTTTACTCTAACGTCAAAAATGCACGTGGAGGCTTCAAAGGCTCTTGTCTGTTGAGGTTGAGGCGCTAGCTTCAGAACATACAGCTAATGTCTGTTAGCTTCAAAACACACAGCTAATGTCTGTTAGCTTCAGAACATACAGCTAATGTCTGTTAGCTTCAGAACATACAGCTAATGTCGTTGTTAGCTTCAGAACATACAGCTAATGTCGTTGTTAGCTTCAAAACACACAGCTAATGTCTGTTAGCTTCAGAACACACAGCTAATGTCCCTGTTAGCTTCAGAACACACAGCTAATGTCTCTGTTAGCTTCAGAACATACAGCTAATGTCTCTGTTAGCTTCAGAACATACAGCTAATGTCTCTGTTAGCTTCAGAACACACAGCTAATGTCTCTGTTAGCTTCAGAACATACAGCTAATGTCTCTGTTAGCTTCAGAACACACAGCTAATGTCCCTGTTAGCTTCAGAACACACAGCTAATGTCTCTGTTAGCTTCAGAACACACAGCTAATGTCTCTGTTAGCTTCAGAACACACAGCTAATGTCTCTGTTAGCTTCAGAACATACAGCTAATGTCTCTGTTAGCTTCAGAACATACAGCTAATGTCTGTTAGCTTCAAACATACAGCTAATGTCTCTGTTAGCTTCAGAACATACAGCTAATGTCTCTGTTAGCTTCAGAACATACAGCTAATGTCTCTGTTAGCTTCAGAACATACAGCTAATGTCTGTTAGCTTCAGAACATACAGCTAATGTCTCTGTTAGCTTCAGAACATGCAGCTAATGTCTCTGTTAGCTTCAGAACATACAGCTAATGTCTGTTAGCTTCAGAACACACAGCTAATGTCTCTGTTAGCTTCAGAACATGCAGCTAATGTCTGTGTTAGCTTCAGAACACACAGCTAATGTCTGTGTTAGCTTCAGAACACACAGCTAATGTCTCTGTTAGCTTCAGAACACACAGCTAATGTCTCTGTTAGCTTCAGAACATACAGCTAATGTCTCTGTTAGCTTCAGAACACACAGCTAATGTCTCTGTTAGCTTCAGAACATACAGCTAATGTCTCTGTTAGCTTCAGAACATACAGCTAATGTCTCTGTTAGCTTCAGAACATACAGCTAATGTCTCTGTTAGCTTCAGAACATACAGCTAATGTCTCTGTTAGCTTCAGAACATACAGCTAATGTCTCTGTTAGCTTCAGAACATACAGCTAATGTCGTTGTTAGCTTCAGAACATACAGCTAATGTCTCTGTTAGCTTCAGAACATACAGCTAATGTCTCTGTTAGCTTCAGAACATACAGCTAATGTCGTTGTTAGCTTCAGAACATACAGCTAATGTCTCTGTTAGCTTCACAACATACAGCTAATGTCTGTGTTAGCTTCAGAACATACAGCTAATGTTGTTGTTAGCTTTCAGAACATGCAGCTAATGTCCCTGTGACAGCTGGAGCTTAATGAAACATGGGTTGAACATGTATGTGAGCTGATATGATGAAGTTCCGACAGGTCACAGTCTTTGGTTTCAGCCCTGGGCCTTGACCTTTGCAGAGCGGGCTGTGGTCATGTGCAGGTGGCTCCTGCTTCTCTGCTGCTGTCACAGTCTATTTAGAGGTCTGTGTCTTCTGTAGATTTGTGGACATATCAGTGGAATCATCATTGCACACAGCATCATAAATTTCTGCAAAGCAGAAATGAATAATAACAATAACCCAATCATATGCTCCACAATGCATCCATCTTTTGCATGTTTGTAATTCCAGCTTTTATTCACTTTTTCAACTTGATTACAATATGAAACAAAAACAAAAATATGAGGACAACAACAAACTTGTCACACATCGTTCTACATGACCAACATGTAGCACACGTCATAATATACAAACTGTATTGATCTCACAATGCAGATATTTCTATTCAGTTGACGATCCTTTTAAATAAAGAAAATCTCAGAATTTTCAGATAAACGATTGACAAAAATGGATTTGCGAAAAGTCAAGTGATAGTGTAAAATATCAAAATGTATAACTGGTTAGTAAGTGTATAGTGGACACCTCCCTCCTGAGTTTGTGCGACTGTGTGTGTGTGCGACTGTGTGTGTGGCGGGTGATTGTGTGTGTGGATGACTGTGTGTGCGACTATGTATGTCAGAATCAGAATCCTTTTTAGTGCCATGTGAGTAACAGGAAGTCACAAACTAAGAAATTGCTTTGGCTCTCGGTGCAAACAAGTTAAAGTGCGATAATGCAAGTTGTGCTTGTGTGTACGAGTGTGTGTGACTGTGTGTATTCTTGTGCATTTGTTCTTGTGTGTGTATATGCATGTAGGAATATTAAAAACACATTCAAAATACTGGAATATAATATTAAATGTGATTGAATTATGCTTGTAAGTTTGTTTTGATATTAGCATGTCTTGGTCCTTATAAATGATTTACAAAAGGAAAATAGCTCTTTAATTTAATTTATGGTTAACAAAACATGTATAGAAAACCAGATAAATATCCCCTTTGTGCGTGTGAGTTGTGATCTTATGAATGCTGAGAAGAAGATAGAAATGACATCATACCATTATTTAAATTCTCATTTATTTTACAGCATGTATACAAGATTGTCTACTACCATGTTTTATCCATTACTATTTGCATTTAAAGACAGAAACAAATTTCCGTTTACAATTTTACAATCAATAATTAGTGCAATTGCAATCTCTCATTTTGTAACATTTCCATTCATTGTTAAGGTGCAGGTTTGAGTCTTTCAGCCTGTGTTTTGAGGCCAGTGACAACAAATGAATGGTTGAATAAAGGGGCTGCACGATTTTAGCAAAGTTATCCACCAGTCGGTCTGATTTCTTGCATTACCATTATGAGATTTAAGTTATGCATTTACCAAAGTACAACCAGGATTTGATGCGTTATTTGCCACATGTTGCAAATAATGGAAAAAAAACCCCGAATAAGGAATATGAAAGGATATTTTACCTTATCGGTTATACCTTAAAAAATTATTTAAGATTTCTTTCATTTAAGATATTTCACATTGTAATTAATCATTGTATCCCATTTTTTCTTTGCAAGGGTCTCAATAATGCGCTAATTGCATCCACTAAAACTAAATTCTGATCTGATTGCGTTAAATCGTGCAGCCCTGGTTAAACAAAGGATATGAAGGATATCCAGGACACGTCTTTAGTTGTCTGTCACGGTTAAGGGGCTGGGGGGACACTGGGCCTCGAAGCGCTGGATGGATGGGGGTCTCTTCTGTGTTTTAGCTGAGATGTCGGTAAACAGCACAGAGCGGGCGTCCGGACACAGTAAGACGCTGGAGTCGGCCTCACACTTGGTGGTTCTGCCCGGCCACAGAGCCTCCGCAGGACTCGGCCTCAGCCCGAGACCCCCCGCCGTGAGGACGTCTCCACTCATTACCGACGCGCTGCTTTGACTCATCTTAATCAGCATGTCCAGCGATTGTTTCCGACTCTCCAGAGAAGCCCTCCTCTCCTCCTCCACCTCGGCCCTCTTTTCCTCCGCGTCATCGTCTTCCTCCTCCGTCTCTGTGGAGTTGCCGTCTTTGAAGTCCAATCTCTGCAGATCCGTGGTCTCCCTCTTGACGGACAGATCCAGGGGTCCGTCGCTGGGCCGGGACGTCCGCTCCAGGGCCTGGTGGATGTGGGAGAGCTCGCTGCGGATCTTGCTGAGGTGTTCCCACAAGTGTCGCTGGGCGGGTTGGTCCTCCGTCTCCATGTGGGAAATCTTGTGCTCGGCTTCCTGGTAATCCTGCAGAGCCTTGGAGAGGTCCGTGAGCAGCGCGGCTACAGACTCTGACGATCCTTGGACGGTGGGGCGGCTGCCAGTGGAATGAGAGGAGGTGTCACTGTTGGGACTGGTCAGAGCTTCTTTGTACCACATGTCAAGAGGCTGTGTTTCATGTGACGCGTGCTGTAAACTTAGAAAAACAAAACAAATCATTATTTTTATGACTACAATAACTATTATTTATTCCGTATTCAATAGTACTTACTACTTATTCGACAGTAGTTTATTTGCGATCACGTTCGGACTTGATGCTGTCTGGATATTCTTCAGAAGGTCAAGCGTGAGGCCAACATTGGGCTTCTTTTCGACTGGTGTGTCCAGGTGTCCGAGAGGCGTCCCTGTCCTCTTCAGTCCACACACTGCTTTCCCTTCTGTGGCTGAGTGCTGTTTGTCTCTGCTCTGTTCATAGCTGTCTCTTTGGGACGACTCCCAGCCTGTGCCCTGAGCTGTGGCGGGCCGCACCGCTGGGACTTTCCACAGATTTACTTTTGGCTGAAAACCTGACAATATATTTTCTTCAAGGCTATTTGTTGAAGTTTTGAGTATTTTACTGGGCTCACTTTGGCCAAACGCGTGTTCATAAAGAAAGGGGTAGTAGAGTCGAGGTGGGAGTAAAGCTCTTTCGGCTGCAGAGTGAGCGCTGGTAGCTGGATGCATCAGCTGAGCAGCTGAGGCCAGGAAGGGGAGTTGGGCGAGCTGGTTCTGTGCTGCCAGACTTGTAGCCCCAGTGGGCATAGCTGAATTCATGTAGGAGAAAAGGCTGGGGCTGATGGGGTAACCCACCCCGAGCACCGACAGATTAAGCCCAGTAGGGTCCTGGTAATCCACCAAATTAGGCGGAGGGGGGTAACATGGGATTGAACTGCTCACTCTGGGTTCAGCTTTAGCTTTGGTGTGACTGGACGCTAGCATCCTAAACTGCTCCGAGAGGAGCCCAGGGGTAGAGAGGCATGTCTTAGAGAGTTTGTAGTTTTTGAGCTGGGCCTCCATCTCCACAGAGCGGGCTCGTAAAAGCTGATCTTCAAGAGTGAGCATGTCGGCCATGAGCATGTCAGACTCTGAGGCTTTTGTTTTCAGTGTCTCTGTGCTTTCTCCTTTGTTGATAATGAGGTTGTCTTTGGTTACGCCTGTGCTTTCGCCTCCATCGCTGCGACCTCCGTCCTCTTCCTCCTCATGGTCCTGCGCCTCCTTGTCTTCTCCCTCCTCCTGAACGCTCCTCTGCTTGTGTCTCCCCTCTTCCCTCTTTGAGACTTCCAGTTCGTCCTTGGTGCTGTTGTGGAGGCCGTGTTGAAAGGAGCGGAGCTGGTCTGGATGCAGAATGTTCCCTTTCTTATAAGGCCAGTCGGACTCGATGAGCAGCGACAGAGAGTTCTTACACAGACTGTACTTCATGTGGTTGTAGAGGTGAGACTTCTCCATACACGTGAAGGGGCACTGGAAACATTTGTAGTTGTACGGTTTGCCCCACGGCCGCGGGATGTAGTGCGGCTTCTTGGGTTTTCGCTCTTTGTGCTTGCTGGCAGATGAAACTTTACAAACGTCGTCTTTGGACATCTTTGGTGTCAGTGTTGGAAACTTTTTGTGCTGCGTTACTGTTGCTTTATAGGGTTTTCTTTCTGGATTGTGTAGAAAGAAAATGTCATTTTCTTCTGTCTTTACAACCTGTAAAATACAAGAAAAGGAGCATAAGTAAGTGTAGAACTGGACTTATTCTAATATATATTGTATAACATCTTGCAAAAGGTATATTATGTATGTTTCTAATAGTTATTATAAAACTATTATATAATTGTTACGAAATATATAGATTCTGACTCACACAAATTATGGACCTAACCTTCTTTCTTTACTTGCCTTGTTTTTAATGTTATTGTTAGTGCGGCCTGTTCAGGATGGGATGGAGCGGAGTCTTTGACCTCAGACCCTGACACCGGAGCGTGTTCAGAACAGTGGGGGAGTAACGTCTGTATTTTACTAATGAGGGAACGCGCTAATGCCTAAAGGCGTCATTAGTGACAGGACGGTGATATGGGTCAGGACAAGTTCTACTGTTGTCTTCTATAGGACTGGCCTGGAAAGTACACTGGATTCAAATGTATTTATAATTATAATATATTTATAATTGGACACTGTCAGCAACATCAGGTTATGATCAATCTATTTTTGTAATCAATAAATTAGAAAAAAAACAAACTTAGATATACCCGGCCTGGCCTGACTCTTATCTGACTTGGATCTGGGCTGTTGGGTGCGTTATTTAAAATGACAATATACATAATTATACACTTTTAGATGTAGTTTAGAAGTAAACCTCTGGAGTGTGAGGACATTAGGAGCCGTAGCACCAGTGACGGTGGCGTCCTGTCACCGGCACGAGCCTCTGCTCAGCGCCACATGATGAAAGGCCCGTGTCTAACGAAGAATTGCAGCCGTTTCCTGTTTGTGTTTCCGATTGGAGCGTCAGAATTGCCCCGTTACTCACTGACCGTTTGATTAGCTCTGGTGTCTGCCCCAGGGCTCTGACCCAGGCTTTAAGCTCATAATGGGGCCTAACAGCTGCAACTACGAGTCAATCAATAAAAATCATTTTTACAGTAGATTTTTCCCTCTCAGGGCTTTGATCCACGCGCCTCCCACTGCGCACAGCACTCTGCCCCCTCACTGTCCCGTATCTCACCCCTGCGGTCTTGTTTTGAGCTTTTAGAGCTGATGATCAAACAAGCCAATAACCACTTGAACATCTACTGTCACAATTATAGGCTCGCTCTAAAAGCTCTGGCAACTTCCGTTCAGCTGAGCCTCCGCTGGTGTTTACAGCCGGTTACAGTCACAACAGTCATGTATAAATGATGCAGTCATTTCATTAGAATAATCATAATCATAATGATGATCATCATTATTATTATCATTAAATATCAAGTACAGAATCATGTGTTTACCTCGTCTGGTACAGGGCAGTTTTCTTTCGTTGGCTGGTTTTTGTTTTCTGAAAAGTACATAAAAAGAGTAAATATGATTTAAAATAAATACAGTATTCTCATGTTAATGTTTATTTAATATTCATCATGACAAATAAGTATGCACTCAACTACACACTAAATTAGAAATATTGAAATAATCTTAATAATTTAAAAAATGCAATAAATATCCAACTGTTTCCACAAAGCACTCGCTCAATCTGTTGATTTTGATTAATTTAATTAATTATACTTTCCATTCCAACGATTCAATAATGATGCTTTCATAAACGCAGCAGAACTCTCCCTGTGCAGTTACTCGTGCAATGATGATAATCAGCATCAGGAAAGTCACATAAGGTTTAGGCAACATCATAATAATAATAATAATAATAATAATGAAATATGTGGGACTTACCTAAGTCCAGGTTCTGTGTGGTTTTCCTGCTGATGCTGTCCTGCTGAGGCCACGCTGATGCTGTGCCGCTCAAATGTGAGCGCAGCTCAGAGTGCGCTGGATATATACTGACTGGGAGCAGAGCCCTGAGGCACTACATACAGCAGCTCCCTCTCCCCCCCTCTCCCCCTCTCTCCCCCCTCTCCCCCTGAGATCAGCCCTACCTTCAGCCTGCTGCACTGGAGACTCAGCTACAGATCGGACTCTTCCAAAAGAGCATTCAGGGTGGGACACAGCGGACGTCACTTGGGCCAGTTACTGAGTGAGATTGTTGCTTTATTCCTATGAACGCTCTTTTTCCAACAACTAGATTTTCTAATCTGCTGTTAGCATCAGTTTGTAAAGTCCGACTGTTGTTGAGACTGTACAAAATACAAAAGTACAAAAAATATATATATATATATTCAGCTTGATTTTTATTTGTTAAACTAAATATCCTCTTGTTGTTTGAATAAAAATGACTCTTCCACTTCCACAAGCTTCTGAATCCTGCAAACTTTATACAGCGACCTGGCTTCACACAAACACATCTTTCAGTTATTTCTGTTATTGATTTAAGATTAAGAGATCCTTTATTCGTCCCTCAGCGGGGAAAGTTACAGAACAGTAGGAATGAGGAGCACACAGCACAAGATAAATGAACAATAACTTTACATTAAAAACAAAAAAATCTCTTTTTAGCTTTAAAAAAGTTTTTTCTATATTCTAGTGCAAGAGTTATGAACAGTGTTTGTGTTCATCTGTGCACGCAGCACGAGGGTCTGGGACACAACGACAGAAACACATGTGGTTCAGTCGTCCTCATCTATGCAGGTTTCAGAGCTCCACATTTTGTCTGTTTCCAAATATTAAAACATTTCTGAATAATTGTGTGCACTCTAAAAATGAAAAAATGTCTTTGCCATGTCTACATTTTAGTAATGCTATATTGTTTTAATAAATTCAATGTATTCTTGTAAAGCCCTAAATCACAACAGTAGTTATCTCAGTTGACTTTTCAAAACCGTTCAAACTCAAGAAATGAAACTGAAAACACTGGTATTGGTCCATGAGGAGCAGATGACCGATGTCCATAAATGAATAATGATATATCCCTTTTGTAAGTATGTAAGTAATCTTTATTTATATAGCGCCTTTTACAAACCAGAGTCACAAAGCGGTTTACAATTGTGGGCCTCTGTCTCTCACTCCACACAGAGATGGGAGCGGGGCCAGTACAGGAGGCACATGCCAGAACCATTGTACATGTTTTTAGTGGTAGGAGAAACCGGAGCACCCGGAGGAAACCTACACAGACACGGGCAGAACATGCAAACTACACTCAGAAAGTCCCTGTTCCAACTAGGATTCGAACCCAAGACCTTTTAGCTGAGAAGCGAGAGTATATCCTCTCAGCCTCTATTGCACAGCAGAAGTATTAGTATTCACACATTTTACAAATCAGGAGGTGATTTCTCATTCTTGTAGTTGGCTCACTCCACACTAAACTGTACCATTGGGTGATCTAACTTCAAGCGACAATAAAATAAATGTAGGAACTAAACATGTTTGCACCTAAACATTTTTTAATACTATGCAGCCTATAGATATGGGCTTGTTCACACTAAAGGGTACAAAAGTGTGACAAAAGGCCAAAAATTAGATTTTAATAATCAGAAGATATTTTATGTTTTTCGTGTTTCCAAGCACCTCCTCTGTTCATTAGAAGTTGCTAGAACATAACTGTTTTATACATTAGACAAGTTTCCTATAGCGGCCCTGTTTATTTTATGTAACGGCGTGATGATTTGACGGAATGAGCTTTGTGGAAGTTTGATAGGTATTTTCATATTTTCATATTCATATTTTCAACCAATTAAATGTGAAAACAGACCAGATTTTGATTTTTCTCAAGTTTAAATTTTAGAGAAAAGAGGACCGTCCTCATCACGTCCGTTATACATTTTTCAGGGGTAATTTAATTAATTAATAATTGTTTTTATTTTTCACGATTCGTTTTTATATCAAGTGATTAACTTATGTTGTGTTAACCATGTTCTAATTTTTCAGACTGAGGACATTTTATTTTCTATGTAACTGGCGTCACAGTAGAATGGTCCAAATCAGGCTGATTTGGTCGTTTAAAATGTCGCTAAATTTTTTTTTGTCAATCTTTATTTTTGATTTTTTTTCCACACTATCTCTTCAATGTGTCTGTGTTTGAAATCTTTTTTTCCAATCTATGAAAGTAATTTTAGTTTTTAAGTTATAACCTTTTAAAGTCCATATACTTTAATTGTCACTTTACTGTGAACACTCATATTACATGTCTTTCAAAAAAATTATTGAACTTTGGGGTAGGGCTGAAACAACTAATCGATTAATCGACGACTAATCGATTATTGAAATAGTCGACAACTATTTTAGTAATCGATTAATCGTTTTCTGGTTCACACGGACTCAAACAGAGCAAAAATGACATGAAAATGTAGTATTTTTGATTAAATCCGACTTTGTTTTTATAATTTCATGAATATCTGTCTGTCTCATCCAATCAGATAGCAGAATTAGCACAAAGAGCCTGTTACAAACATTTACTTTAAGTTTACGCCATCAATACGTCCTCGAGTGTTGCCACTTTAGCTTTTTGTGATGAACATTTTTTTTTTCTACACAATTCACAGCCAAGCGATTACTCGATTAATCGTAAAAATAATCGATAGATTAATCGTTTACAAAATAATCGTTAGTTGCAGCTCTACTTTGGGGACATAATTGTTACATTTAGGACATGTCGTGTTGGAGGCTTTGTGAACGGAAGAATGAACAGGACAGAGAAGACTATTTCATGGTTAATGGTTGGAGATATAACTATAATCAATATGTAATTATAGATTTTACATTATGCAAAAAAAATATTCTTCAATAACTGCGGACAAACTAGGCGTTTTGGACGTAACACTTGTGTCCACTTTTGTTGGAGTGCTGTTAATAATACGGGCGTGAACGAATTGGTGTTTAAGTAGTTCCCCCTTCACTGGACAAACAGCTGGAAACAAAACAAGAGTGGGTCTGTAACGGCCACGGACATTTCAGGAGTTTTTAGAGTCATTGGCAAAAATGTAACACATTGATACAGTTCAGTGTGGAGTGAGCCAGATACGTATACCCTCTATTACCAAATCTCATGTACATTTCTCTTTGAATCCGTCCGTCGAGCCGTGCTCCCAGAGCCTGTGGCAGACTGTGGGTCAGCTCTGGGTTCCTGGTGGCGCTCCTTTGCCTGGGCGGGAAGCATGCCAGCCCCTTTGAGAAATGTCAGTGTCCGTGTGGGGAGCGAGTCGGGGGGCCTTCACTCGCCATCAGGCCCACTGTCACACCGAGGGGGCCAAATCCAGACTGACAGGCCACTCCATAGAGCCTAACCATCTGTACCAAATGTGACAGGAGGAAAAGAGGATGTCTGCTAAATCAGGAGGAATGACAGGAGTCACTACTGCACGAGCTCAAGTCCACAAGGGTTTCTCGGCGTGGCAGAGGCACAGGGGAGACCACGTCATTGTCACGGAGCTTCCAGAAGACCACTGAACCATCTCTGTGCTAGCCTGGTCCTACCACACCATTGTACTAATTTCATTTCGTACTAAGGTCTGAATTTGCTCTATGACGCTCTGTTAACAGGTGGGAGGGGTTAACTCCTTTTGCAGATTGAAACGATTGGATCTGAGTTTACCGTGACGTATGTAATGAGCCCGAGTGAGTGAGGCATTTAGCATTTAGCCTAGCTTTAGCCATCTCCTTTGCCGCTAACGGAGCCTGGAGTAGAGCCACAACATATTTTGCCAGCACTGAAAACTGCTAAACATTCCTCTTGCTCCATCTTCAATTTCTTATTATTTGGAGCCGAACGGATTGAAGAGCTTCCTTTACTATCGCATTCACCGCCGTTGCTGATGCTGAACTACTACCAGCAAATTCGGCACGATCTCTTACCGTCACTGACACCTACCTACTGCACCTGCCTCCCCCGCTCGCTGATTGGTCGGATGGGACACAACAGAAGTATCCTAACCCTGCTAGGATCATCACCCAAACAACATCTACAATCAAATCAAAAGCTCCCCATAACCCGCAGAATCCAGTTCAAACTCCTGCTTCTTACATTCAAAGCTCTCTATAACCTGCCCCCTCGCACCTGAGTGACCTGCTCCACCCATACACCCCGTCCCGCTCGCTCTGCTTTTCACCTGCTTCTCTCCTCACTGTCCCCACCGTCAAAAAGGCCACAATGGGGGCCAGAGCATTCAGCCACTCTGCCCCCGAACTCTGGAACACACTCCAATCTCTACCTTTTTAAACGGGCTTTTTCTTTGTGATATCTAAATGTGTTTTCATCTGTACCTTTTCAATATTGTGTGTGATGTGTTTAACGTATTGTAAGGCTTCCTTGGGTGTCTTGAAAGGAGCCATGAAATAAAATAAATTACTGTTTTTATTTATGTTGTCATTCTACTCTTCAAAGTCTGGACACGGTGACATCACAAAAGAAACATTTAGCTCAGCACTGGACAAACATCGCAATGATCAGATCCTTTTTTCCATATTTAGTAAACTGTATATCCCGGCGAGAGAAAAAACATCTTTCAAAATTGGAAATGGAAACAGATTTAGTGCATTACAAAAATAAGCACTTCCAACATCAACCAATGGACTCCTTATAAAGTGCAAGACGTCTCTTTGTTTCCCTTTTGCTTGTTGAAGTTCAGCTCAAACAAATATGTCTCAAACGTGTTATTCCCATATTCTAAATGACTGTGACGGCCTTGTTTGCCTTCGGAGGAAAGAGTGGAGATTAAAATGTCAGTGCATCGGCCAAGGCTCCAGCACAGAAGTCTGCTGGAGAACGCAGAGAGTATTGAGGGTCCTTATGGAGCAGCATCTGGGGAGGCTGACAGCAGCACTCTGTTAGCACTCACAGAAAGGAACCGCAGGGATGCAACAACACCGCTACCAGCCAGACCCAGCTGTGCCCATGCCTCCCAAGGAAAACGCAAAGAAGCACTCCCTATACGCCCTGACATGATGGGAGACGCACGCACCCAACAACATGCGCTAGACTTTGAGAAAAAGGAAGATTTATGAGCAATATGAAACTCAGCCCCCTCTGACCCCTGCCTGCTGCTGCTGCTGACTTTTAGGCCTGAGGTGGAACGGCTAACAGCTCCACTCTTAGCTTGTGCTTCTGGGCACATTAACTAAACTCATATCGCTCTCAGCCACTATCAATTATTCACCACACCTCCACTGTTCCCTGCTCCAACTCATTTTCAAAGAGAGCAACTCCTGAAGCCATTGCAAGCTTTCCAAATATACTTGGGCGACAAAACAGCCCAATTTCGTTGGATTTCTCCGAAGTTGGATTTCTCCGAAGTTGGATTTCTCCGAAGTTGGATTTTGAAAACTTTGTTACCGTTAAGTTCCTGACGCGTCCCCTTCTTTTTTACATTTGCGTTGGACTTAACTGTATTTGTCCTTCTTAAAGCAGCCATTGAGCCAGTGTGACATCAAAAAGACCTGTGTTTTATTTACTTCATTATGTAAAGGTTTTAGGAGAATAATAGTGGATGTAAGAGAACGTTACCATGAACAGCGGATTGTTAAAGACATAATACATATCCTTCAGACAGCCAGGTCAGCCTCTGTTTCACTTCTGTCAGTTTCTGTAAAATAACCTAATGGTACGAACAATAAGGTCCTCTCTGACTTTGGCATGAAGCACACGAGGGAACAGAGCCCTCAGCGCTCAATGAGACATTTTGAGCTTTACACTTAAATGAGCACTCACAATTACACAGATGAAGGCGAGATGAGCACTGGCCGCTTTCCAGAGTGAAAATGCTGCCTTCAAAGTGAGCTGGGTGGATGTCTGAAAAGGCCAGATGTCAGAGTTCACTGGTGACTGGCATTCTGACTTTTAGGAGCCTTCTCTGCAGACATCGCTGCCCTTCACTGCAAACCTCTGATGTAGAGAGATGGCACTGACTGTCAGGCGTGAGGAGCTGGTGACAGAGGGATTCATTTGGAATAAGCCCCAGCTGATACCTCTCACTCTCTGTTAATCACACACACAGGAGTTGGTGTGTGTGGTACAGAGAGGTGTGCTATGGGTCAGTGACAAGAAGCAGCTGGTGCTTTGCCTGATGGCTTTCACTCATCGTCTCAGTCTCTAAATCTCTTGTTTCCACAGCTGCCCCCCAACGCAGCCGCGGGAGGTGGGGTCTCTTCTGCCGAAGCACCTGTGGGTGTCACCTGATGGGGGAAGAGGAAGTGGAATTGAAAGCAAGCAGTCGTTTCTGTCAGAGGGTATCAAGACTCCTGTCCATCACACGACTGACCTTCAGGGGGCTTTTGTGCACATGCGCATGGACGTGTGAGTCGCTAAACAATCGCATTCTGCAAATGTGTGTAAGTCTGTGCATATTAACTCACTGACCCACAGGGAGAGTGTGTAGTGTGTGCATATGTTTTTCATCAATGTAGCCGAGTCCATGTGTGCACATTAGCGACTGTGTCCATGTACACACTGCCCTCCAGGGGCAAACAGGCTTCAACTGTGGATCTCTTCTGCTGCACTGATATGTCCTGTAGAGCTGCTTTGGTTTCTTTACAATCCATCACTCCACTGCAGCTGACAAGAGTCTGACCAAGAACTATGTTAGGTCTAAGTAGGATTCTACTTCTGTGCTGCCATTAAGTCTGGAACACATGACTGAAAAAGTATGAACTCACACCTATCTTGAAAGGCCTGTGTATAGAGGCCTTATGGGCGTCCCAGACTTGGATTTGTTGGGTGTAATTTAGCCTAATGATCTGTCGGGCGAATAACTTTCACCCTGATTCAAGCCCAAGAACACTATCAGTTTGTTCAAGGAGCTTTAATGGCATAAAATAGTGAATGTAGGGGTGACTGCAGGAGAAAGCTGCTCTGGCTGTCCAAGCGGGAGGAATTGAGGCAGACAGCAACCAAAGCCCTCAGCTCCATCCCTTAGGGTCCCTCGGCCTCCCCAACTACAAGTCCATGTTTTAGCAAACCATATGTTCACCCTGCGCCCAGCCCACACCCTCCCTCCCACCCAGTCAGAAAATAAACAAGTCAGGAAGCTATAGCTAGGGGGCGAGTCTTGTTCCTCTCTCACTCGCTGTCTGTCTGTATCACTGATGTCTATCTCACCGTCTCCTCACACTTCTCCATCAGAGGCTCCAGCTCAGAGTCAGAGGACACCAACAGCTCTTAGTTATGAAGCAAGTGAGATTGAAGACTATATTTGTTATGTAAACAGAGGAATATGATCTTGTCCTCATTAGGGTTTGATTTAGAATCATTTTGAACCAAAAAAGAAGGGTTTTGGCAGCGCTTGTTTATCATTTTGAGTGCAGTGCTCAGTGTCCAGTGGAAGACAGGCAGATGGTCAGTGTGTGCACAAGGTCCAGCCAGTCCTCCCTTTGGGCAGAGAAATTGTCCAGAGATGGACAGCTGTGCCTTGGGCAGGGCATATATGTAAAAGTGAAATCAGACTGTGTGTTTATGGCTCCCTCAGGGGCTGCAGACTCACTGACCTGTCTATCCTTCAGCAGCCACTCTGCACAAGGTCGCACCACTTTAACTGGATTGGATTAGCTAACCCAGATGAATGTGTTGAAAATCATAATGACTATCATACAATCCAGACTGTGAGAGAACTGATTAGGTCATTGTCTGTTAAAGTCAGTACAACAGTACAAAAAATGAGGAAAACAAGACTCGACTCAAATGTCACATTTATTATCGTCTGCACTTTAACTGAAGCAAACACTGAGGTGGGAAGTGCAAAAACTGACTCCACTTTCAGGACACAGGACCTTATTAAAGCACGGGGTTAGCAGACTATCAGTAATAGAGTAACAAAACAGAAAAGTGAAACAGAAAATCGAGTGAAATATTGCAATACTTTGCTCTCCTGTAGTTGAGGGTGCAAAAAATCACGATACTGTAGAGAATTGATTTTCTTTCCCACTGCTGCCACTTCACCTGCTGAGATGGTGATCATGGTTATCATACATAATATGGCCATGGATCTACATTAAACCTTTTTGCAGAAAAGGCCAAATATGATGTGCACATTTGGACTTGTACTATGTGGGGACACAGATTAAAGATGTATTTTTTTATATTGTATATTTAAACCTCATCAGGTCTGTGTCTCCTGCTGCAGGTCCTGCTGCAGGTCCTGCTGCTGCCACCAGTGATGTTCTTACAGATCCATTTGTTTCAGATGTAAAACTTAACAATGTTGTGTCTACAATGACACAATCTACAGCTAAGAATGAGTTTAGATGGTATTATAAATAGTATTTTAACAGTAAGTAAGTAAGTAATCTTTATGTATACACCGCCTTTCACAGACCAGAGTCATAAAGCGGTTTACAATAGTTATTTTTTGGGCATTTGTCTCTCACTCCACACAGAGATGGGAGTGAGGTCGCCAGTATATGATGCGCATGCCAGACCTATTGTACATGTTTTTAGTGGTAGGTACCCGGAGTACCCAGAGGAAACCTACACAGACACGGGGAGAACATACAAACTCCACTCAGAAAGGCCATGGTCCGACCGGGATTCGAACCCAGGTCTATATGAGGCAGTTTAACCACAGTGAGTGACTCTGACTAACACACTGACCTTCTGTGGCTGTGGAGTTGAAGCCAATTGACCAAATCAGTGATGTTTAGAGCCTCCGCCCATCACATACAGTACAACAGTAACAGACACACTCCTCATCCACCTCGCTCTAATCAAGGAGCAGGACTTGGGGTCGTCGTGGCGACACTAACGAGAGGTGACAGCTCCTCGGCGCTCGGGGCAATGACCAGCTCGGCTGTCGAGACCGCAGAGAGAGTCCGCCAGGCACGCACTCAGGCAAGGTTGAGTATTTAGGAGGGGGGAAGAGGGAGGGGGACTGGGACCGAGCTGGTGGTATACATGCATGGAGACTTTTACAAAAGAAAAACCAATCAGAAAAACAAGACACCAAGACGATAAGTTAACTTTGCGATTTTTAATTATAATTGTTTTTTCTGAAATATGTAATAATGAAAGTGCAGTGAGATGTATGTAGACTGACGTCAGCCGACTCTGATCATGGAGCCCTGGGGCCTACTCCCTCTCTGCTGCCCCCCTCCACATCCCCCTTCTCTGGAACACAGTTTAACTTCTGTCATTTAGATGAAGCGAGTGAGTCAGTCTCGCCTCCTCGAGATGATGTGACATGCTGGTAATGGACAGGACAAAGAGGGGACTTATGAAGTATTAGTAAACCTTAATAATTCACTAAGAAGAAGAGACCCCAGGAGTCCTCCTGAATAGACCTGCAGTCTCTGGCCCTGCTCCCAGCTTTAAAAGTGACAAGAAGAATTATTAACACTGAATATGACCATAAACAGATTAAATTGTGGCTGCGTTATCTCTCTTTACACAAGTCTTGAATTGAGAATCCATTTGTGCACCTTTTCTGAAGCTTGTTGTGGCTTCTTCACAAATGTTCATGTTTGGAAAAGGACCAATAAGATAAGATTAGATATATTTTATTGATCTCACACAGGAGAAATGTACATGTCACATCTGTCATGGATAGAAACACTCAAGATTGTGCAAAAAGAAAGAAATGTGCAAACATGTTAAATGCAGGATATGATGTACAATAAAGTGGAAAATTAAAATTGGCAATCAAGAAACAGTGTCAAAAGTAGTGCAGGTTTTTTTTCAGAATGTTTGCATTTTTTGGAAAAAGCCGGCTGCATTTATGTGGTTGTGATTCTGTGGAGGCAACGCTCAAGTGTTGACTTTGACTCTAGTCTCTGTGGTCAGCTGCTTTGAGGCAGACACAAGCCCAATTCTTCAAATTTGGGATAGCTGACTTACATGCCCAACTAGTCACCAATTAGACACTATAAAAACCAAACTGGTCTGGATCCTCTGGACAGCAGCAGTGCTGAAGGCTAGACCGCCCCCACACCTTTGTCCCGCTGCGGTGCTTTCACGAAAACAAACTGAGGTTAATTCAGTCTTAGCTCTCATCTCTGATGACGGCGGCGGAGCTGTTGAGTGGCAGCCACACTCATTACTCCCCCTGATGCTGCTCTTTTTACTCTGCTCTGTGTGTGCGTTGTTCTGACAGGACAGTGGGCTCGTGGACGAGAGGTGATGGTTGTCAGCATCGAGGCTGAGTCCAGTCTGCTGTGGCCTGGTGTGACAGCACTACTGTCCGTCCAGCGCACTTCTGACCCTCTCCCCCTCTCACTGCCTTCATGGCCTCCAGAGACGTGGAGGCTGATGGGGACTGGCACCGCAGGGCGCTCCTTGGCTGGTGCTTTGCTGGTGGTCTCTGTGGCCTATTAGTGTCTTGCTATAGGCCTGTCAGACTGACAAAACAGGGGCCTGTCAAATTAAGTAGGGGCTGAATATCGGAGATATGTATTCAAACGCACCATGGGGAGGTAGAACCGAGGAGTGCTGAAGAGAACCAGGATGAGGCAAGCACCGGTGCTAATGTAGACACTAAGTGAGAGTGACAGGTCAGGAGCTGATCGGAGAGCGCGGGCAGAGAGAGAGGCAGCAGGAGGGTGAAACAGTAGCTCCACTTGATAATGGTGGTGTGGTTGTCCTGAGGAGACTTGTTAAGGGCCAGTCCAGACAGCCAGACAGCCACCATTCCCAAGGATCTGAACACAGGTAAACTGCTCCAAGTTTGGCCAAACAGCTCCGAGTTACAGCACTTCTCCTCCTAATGAGATCAGACTGATGAGTGCTCCGTGTGTCTGTGCACGTGCCTCCAGAACGTCCCAAACCACTCGAGTATTTACTAAACAATATCTGCCTTCTCTGGTTTTAACTGCCCCAGCTCCCAAGGCTCTGCACACATTACATATACATACAAAATAAGCATTTATCTCAGCACCGAAGGCATCTTGCACAATCTTTCTGTGTTATTGCGTGAAGAATATAACATTTAATCTTTTTTGTGACTTTACCTCTTGAGAGATATAGGTGGCTGCTGCTTAAGGGCAGGTCATTATGAAATGTTACAGCTAAACTCTGGTCCCAGCTCTTTTGCTGCACACAGATTCTCCAAAATAAACTTTTGTTTGTCTTCCTGCGATGAAAGGAATGAGACAGATGTTGTGCAGTGGACAGTGGAGGGTCAGTGTTGTGGAGATGGTTGTTTGGGAAGGTGCAGAGGGGAGGGACAGTGCAGCGCGGCCTCTGTTTGGTGTGTGCGCAGAGACAGGGCCTCTCTCATGTCGCGGTGCGTTGCTGAGACTGAGAGCCTGATGCACTGTGGCAGCTCCCCCTCGCAGCCACGGGCCTGCCCAGAGCCACTGCAGATGATAGTTTTAATTGCTTTCAATCTTTCAGGCTAGTCCCTGCCCAGTGGCGCAGAGTGCTTGTGTGCTTGTGTGTCTGTGTGTGTGTGTGTGTGTGTATGTGGGTGTGTTTGTGTGTGTGTGTGCGCGGGCCGCTTATTGTCTGAATGCTCCACACATATGTGCTGTGTATTTGATGAATGTTTGTCCATTAAGTGGAAAATGAAGACAATAAAAAGCTTGCAGTGCTACATCTGACTCCGACTCTGAGAAAACATCTGTTTGTCAAGTTCATCCAGGAGTGTGCGGAGGAGAGCGGAGGTGATTAAAGAGAGGGCCTCGCTCCATGAAAGGCATGTGTTTATAAATATTAAAGTGTAGCCTTTTTATGCAAAGACCTCAAAACACTCTCATGCTCTTAAAAGCATTTAGTGCGGTGAACGACAAAACCATGTCATCAATGATTTACCTCGAGAGCTGACGTAGCATCACAACATGCACAACAAACGCAACTCAAAAGAGCGCTTCAGGTCTTCACTTCAGAGAGGATTTTACGTAGCTGAGAACAATGTGTTTACATGTTGCAAAGTGGTGGGTTTCGTAGTTCCTTTTTTAAACTAACAAAACACAGCTACCTGTGTATTTACACAAACAATACTTTTGGGCCCTTATCAAGTGCTTATTTGTGGATTTATAGTCCACTTACTGAAGATTATTGAAGCATCCCCTCAGCCTCATGCTGCAGATGCTTCAAATATCCAAAAAATCAATATGTATACTGTATATTTTTTAATATATCTAAAATATGTCAATATTCATCCGTTTCTTTTTCTTTTTTACTTTGTTTCGCACTTGTTCTTAATGCAAAGATTAGGATAACTGTTTCTGGGGTCTCATGCTTTTCTACCTGGTGCTGTATATGACCAGTACAAAAAATAAATGTATAAATACTACAAAAAAATGTTAAATATAAAAAAGTCAATATTACAAAACATCTATTTTTTATTTTTAAATATAAATATTTATATAAAATCGATATTTTAAGCACACCCCTTCTCTTTGATGATGAGTGTATGTAGGCTCACTGGTGCCTCATGCTTCCTCACACAATGCTGTATGTTACTGAATTAAAGTCATCTCAAATCAACCGACTCCCGGCAGAAAGTCACGCTTTGCTCTTTGTAAGAACTGGAGTCTTACACCAGACACACACACAGACCTGGACTTGCTCAGAGGAGTCAACGCCCCCCCCCCCTCTGACCACCCCATAACACAACAACAACAACACAAACAGCACCACTTAGAGCCAATAGCAAAATGAAACAAAACTCTCACATTGTCAAAAATTACATTTCTATTTTTTTATGACAAATAATATCCAGCAAAAACCTACACACACACACACACGCACACACACATACGCGCACACACACACACTATGTGATAGCTGACACTACACCCAGATTAGCAGCCCCCCTTCCCTGGTTCTTTTAACCGTTCCATTATAATGTATTGTGTGTTATTTAAAAAATAGTTTTGCATTGTTTCTCTATACTGCAAATTGTCACCTGATTTATCCAAACAAAGATGATAAAAATCAAGGCTTAGGAGGTTTTTTTTTTAATAAGACAAAACCTTTGAATAAGCTAGTATTGCCTTATTATCTTCTTAAAAAAATTAAAAGAACCTCCTAAGCCTTAAACATAACACCACAAAATTCACTTTTTACATTCATGATACAAGAAATCACCTCAAATACTGCTCTAAATGTCAAAAACTGCATCTTGATTAGCGTAATGAGGCTTCCTGATACTTCTACGACGCTGTTTTCGGGTTTTTGTCATACACCTTCGCTGCTCAGATCCCAAACCACAGGACTGACCCAAGGTGAGATCCATGTTGTGCATTTACACCGCGGCCCGTGTCAAACATCCCAGAGCCTCCGCGCCACTCCCTCCTCTCGCCTCCACACGCAGCTCTTTTGGCCGCGGGGCAAATTAAGCCCTAACATTCCCACAGAGGCTAATCTCCATCCATTTAGAGGCCTGTAATATTTAATCAGCAGTCCCCTCCGCTCGCTGTGGCGGGGCTCATATGTTCTCGCACACAGCAGCCCAGGGGCGAGACGGGGGGGAAGAAAACCACAACCACACCAGACCCTCCGCACGCTTTTAAGGCCTGGGCTGGATCGGTGGGACTGGGAGAGCGAGGGGGAAGTGGATGGATTTTTAACACGTTTATATTGATTTGAATTGAAGTGATATGAAACTGTTTCAAATCCACATCCAGTTTGATACAACAGTGATTATCCATAAAATGTATGTACTTGTCTGGTGCACACTGGGGGCTTTAGCGGATGTATTCCAATGTGGTTTTACTGCAAATGTCAAATTAATGAATCTGAATCCGAAATTTGCTGCTATTTTTAACCCAAAATAGCTCTACCTTTTATAGGGCCATAAGGTTTTAGACAAGTGTTCCCGAGATAGTAGTAGTCGTTTATTTGAGCAGTTTTACAATGTATTTTTTTACTATTTAATTTCAAGAAACGAAGCTCAAAAGGAGAAGGCAGACGCAAAGTATAGAATGTATATTTTACATATTAAATAAATGCCATATTTTATCCTGTTTATGTATGTTTTGCTCTTCACCTGATCTTCAAACAACCCCAATTCATTTGAGATTTCTCTTTTTTCTTAAATTCTAAAATGGTATGTTTCCTAACCTTTGTGTTTGCCTCCACACACTATTTAAGATCGCGTAATTACTCTGGAGCTCCCCACGACTCTAAATGGTCTTACTACATCGTACTCATTTAATTCATACATGTAGGGAAAGAATAATCGACTGAAGTTTACAGATGACTAAGGCCAGGCTGATTTACTGATCTGTGACGGACTTATCACACACACAGCGAGATTATATCAAAATTATAGACAAAGACGCCAAAGAGAAATTGAATTAAGTAGTAGTAGTAGTAAGTAAGTAATCTTTATTTATATACCGCCTTTTCACTGCAGATCTGAGTCTCAAAGCGGTTTACAATTGTTAATTTTTGGGCATTTGTCTCTCACTCCACACAGAGATGGGAGCGTGGTCGCCAGTACAGGAGGCGCATGCTAGAACTATTGGACATATTTTTAGTGGTAGGGGAAACCGGAGCACCCGGAGGAAACCTACGCAGACACAGGGAGAACATGCAAACTCCACTCAGAAAGGCCCTGGTCCGACCGGGATTCGAACCCAGGACCTTCTTGCTGAGAGGCGAGAGTGCTACCCACTCAGCCACCGTGCCGCCCAATGATCTGTTAAATGATTAAATGATCTGTGAGCCACAACCACCACCAGTGCAACAAACAAAGGCATATTTCATTTTGCATGAAGTAAGTCTGTATCTTAGATTGGTCTTTAATCGCAAATCTGAAATGTTTTGTTGCCTCTAAATACTGATCCACACCTAATGTTTTGACTCAATCCACTTATTTTAAATTTTAAAAGATTTTAACCAAATCTCATCTCATTTACCCGATCTGTGTTTCAGAGTGATGCACGTTTGAGTAATCTGTCTTTTATGGAGCTTTCCTTTTGTGGTCGGCACTTTGTTGTGATCTTTACAGTGACACAGCCTAAAGGGAAAGCTCAAATCTAATGACAAAGTAATTATGATCCTTAGAGTATAGCTGACAATAACTACTGCTGCCAAAAGTGGGTTTGAGAATGAAAAAAATAGGACCATTGCCTTATTATTGGCATTTTTTAAGTATTCAGAAAAATAAATGACTTCCATCAATTCAATGATACATAATAAATACAAAATAAAGGTTGAATTAAGAATCTCTTATAATTCAAGTTTATTTACAGAAACGCTTTTTTTGAACGACTTAACAAATTTTCTGCGTTTCACCTGTGTGTGTTTGTTGTGTGTTTTTTTGTGTTTGTAATTCTCCGTGCCGGTGTCTGTCGGTGCAGGTCTGTCTCCGGCGCTGCAGTCCTGAGGTCCCTGTGCCTGGAGCCTCCACCTCAACTCCAGCGCCTCTCTCCCTCTCGCTCTCTCTCTCTCATGGTCGGAGTAAAAGGTCAGTACTCTCACCCTCAGTGTGAAAAAAGGCACGTGAAAAGGGTAGGCTCCGTCTGTGTTTATCGGGGGGGACTCGTGACCCCCTGGTGTGTGTGTGTGTCAATGCATATACCTCTCACTGCACAGGCCTGAACCTAGTGCGCCTGGACACCGGGCATCTGCTGTGATTTCTGTTTACTAAACATAACATTTGCGCTGCTTAGTCTCGAGTGATAAAAGTGTCAGGCGTGGATGTGCTGTAACGCCGGCGCCCTGATTCGGACTGACTCTAATGGCGCGGCCTGGTGAATTTTTCATACAGCCCAGAGGGGAGGACCGGAGCCCACACACCACAGAGCTCCAGAGAGGGACGGTGACAGGGTTAAAGACCAGGCTGCCATACAATGTTCACTTCCCATTCACCTGCAGAGGGATCTTGACAACATATATTTAGTGGAAAACAAAGAGGAAAAGGTCAGAGGCACTTGGACCTAAGATTTAAAAAAAGAATATATATATATATAGCATTTTTATTTTACGTCAAGGATCCTGGAACAGCACCTGACTTCTCACGTCTACACATATATTTTTGCTGAACATGAAATAACCCAACGTTTTAAAAGAGACAGATCATTCCAAATTTTAAAGCTTTTAACCAAATCTCCTCTCATTTACCCAATCTGTGTTTCAGAGTGATGCACGTTTGAGTAATCTGTTTTTTATGGAGCTTTCCTTTTGTGGTCGGCACTTTGTTGTGATGTTTACAGTGACACAGCCGAAAGGGAAAGCTCAAATCTAATGACAAACTAATTATGATCCTAAGAGTATAGCTGACAATAAGTACTACTGCCAAAAGTGGGTTTGAGAATGAAAGAAAATAGGACCATTGCCGTAGTATTTACAAATATATATTGTGCAGTATATTTTTGAAAGGGCAGCAGTTCGGTCCTTTTAATTGCTTAATGAAATCTGAAGCACAAAAGACAAAACTGAATAATAAAAATTAAAAAAGTGGAATTATGGATTTATCTGAGTTTTTCTTCAGTTATTCAATCGGTTGTGTGGGATCTACAATCTCCTGACCTGGTACCAGAAATATGAGCATATTCTTGAAGCTGAACTGATTATTATTGACCAAGACTCAAATGAAGTGACCTCTTTCCACAGTCAGCTGAATCGCCTAAGATCTTAATTTATTTTCTGCAAGGAAGCTCTGCAAAAATCACCCATCTGTTCAGTGCACACGCGCCTCAGTCGGACCCTCAGATCGCTCATAGCACTGTCTTGCGTATGCAAATATGTTTTGCCTGGAAATCTATTTGGAGTTGCTCGAAGGAATCCAGAACGGCCCTCCTTCTGTCCGCCCCGGCCGCCTCACGCGTGGCTCCTCTTGCCGTCTATGTCCTCTCGTGTGGAAGACATTTCACCAGCTCCACATGCGCGCCACACATACACAGTGCACTGCTCCGCCTTCCAGCACCGTGGCCAATATGCAGATCTGGTAGGCCCGCAGACTGCCGCCCTGTCCGCCAGCGGGACAAGCAGACCCGCAACTGTTTGTGCACTGGGATTATACATGCAATGCACAGGGGAAGAATTTTCCACTGACTGAGCAGTGATCTGAGCTTCCCATGCACAAGGATCAAATCTGGTGATAGCAACTTGTGTAGGGACTGAAGACTGGTGAGAGACACCACAGAAGGACTGTGTTTGGAAGAAGTCTGCAGTGTTTTAGCTCAAACATGGAAAAGATGATTATTTTCTGCACTATTACAATGACACATATTTAGTGTAAGCATTTGTCAAATGTCTCTCTAGTTCTGTCAAACCGTTTTAAACAAAAGAAATGTACACAGAATAAGCACAAGGAGTGTGTGTGTTTGTGGACTTGAGGGCCCAGAAGCCGCGGCTGGGGCAGATGGTCCACAAAGGTGTTGCCACACAGTCAGTGGGCACCGCGATTGATTCATGTGAACATCCAAGAAGGTGGAACATTTGGCTGCTGACCCGCAGTCGGAGCTTGTCGGCCCTGCTTTCACTTCTCCTCATTTAGCCGCTGCTGCCAGAGAGAGCCGTCGGTGATTTTCGCTCAGAAACAGTGACTTTCTCAGCCTCGAGGGATGCACTATGGAGGAAAAACTTCTGTGTTTTGTGCAAGGAGGTCACGAGAGGAGGAAGTCTGAGCTGCTGTGCTACACTTGGATGGAGCACATTTGACCCTCAGCTCATTCTCAAGGCATTTATTAGTGTACGGTTCCATATGACTTGGTTTCTGCAAGTAACATGTAACACATCCATCTCATTATGGCTCCTGCCCTCATTTCAAGAACTCTGCCTCTGCTTTGATTACATTTCTGTATACTTAAATAATGAGAAGTGTATAACGTTATTATTTCAAAGTGTGTTATGGGGGATGATTATGTTAAAAAGGGAACCCACACAGTTCAAAGAAGAGCACTTTACTCCCATTACAAACACTATTTTTTATTCATCCTGCATTTTATTTCAGACCCCAAAGCATTGTTACATCATCTCGGATAGAAAACATTCATTAACCGCGTTGGGCTACACTTTGACATTCTCGAAAAGGATCGACCACGGTGCATTCGCATTTATCCACTGATCAACACATACAGTAATGCTTGTTGTAGCGATAGTAAAAGTTAAGGTGCCTCATTGTTTGCAGTCAGACACAAATAATATATTATAGATACAGCTCTGTACCTGTGTGAGCAACGACCGACGCAATGTTATGGAGAGAAGAAAGGCATCAAAAACATCCTCTGCAAACGGAAGCGTATCAAATAATCTGCAATATAATATTTAGGGTTAATCGATTCAGTCCATCTTGAATTTTCATCACAGTTCTTAATGAAGGGGTTTCCTTAATCCTTAACACATACATGCGTAGTTTTATGTCCGGTTCTGATAATCCACTAGTCACTTTACCTGCTGCTATTACTACGATTGTTTATTCTGGTCGTATTTGTGTTATTATTATCTTAATTATACAGTAGATCCTGTTTGATGTGTGCATAATCTGCATGCTCTTTTTTTTCTCCTTCTATTCTGCTGTAATGTGTGCAGTTGAAATTTCCCCACTGAGGGACGAAAAAAAGATTTATTTTATCAATCCGAAAATGCAGAGCGGGCGCCACACAGACCGTTTTAGGCTCAAAAGTGAGATTTGATCTAATTTGCACTGAAATGTCAAATGCCAGAACATGTAGAGAGCAGTGTAAGAAACATATTTATGCAGTTTATAAGTTAAAATAAAGTTGATTTGGTGTTTAGTTGTCCTTTAAGCATATTTTTGGTCTATATGTATGGGCTGTTGTGTTCTGTCCTGAGATCTGCACTTTGGTCTCTCGCCCTGGACCAAGCCTGCGGTCAGTATTCCCGCACCACCATCACATTCCCGCTGAGCTCGTAGCGAATGGAAGCCCAGTCAAAGATGTTTCCTTTGGGGATCCAGGCCTCCCCGTTGTGCCAGCCCTGGATCATAGACTTGGACAGAACGTAGTCCCACATGTTGAGGTCGGTGAGCTCTCCCACAAAGCTCTGCTCCGCCTCCAGCCCCCCCAGGTGCTTGTCCGGGTCCTGTCCCAGCAGCACGGAGCCGTTGGGGCGGATGGTGTGGCCCGGTTTGTACACCTGGTATGCGCTGCGTCTGCCTTGAAACCAGAAGGCTGCGAGGCCGGAGCCGGACTGCCAGGTGAGGCAGAGGCTGGTGCGGAAGGTGCCCAGAGGAGGCAGGTGGAAGAAGGCCCCGTCGCCGCTCATGTAGAAGGAGACGCGGCCGTCCTTCTCGCGCCACACGTTGAGCTCGTCGTAGTCCGGAGTGCGGTAGGCGAAGAGGATGATCTGCCTCTCCTCCGGCAGCTCTGTGGCCACACGCAGGCACAGAGTGAAGGCCCTCAGAGACAGCTCCTTCTCAGGGATCAGGGCCACGTAACTGAAGTCTGTCTCGTAGGGGAAAATCAGCACTTGATCCCTGAGGCCGACTGCCACAACAAATAGTGAAATAGATTAGTTTGTCATGATTAAAGTGCAATTAAATCTTAAATGTTTGACCTACAAGTCTTACATTGTGCAGCTGCGTTACACGTCCAACACAACGCCAGCACCGAGAGCCCGACAAAACTCTGAGGAGATACAATAATGAATGATCAGGATAAAAACTAAGATCAAACCAAAGTAAACATGTTCTCACCATGTTGTTGTTGGTGCTGCTGTGTCCTGTGCTCAGTGCTCTTCCCTCACGGCACCAACTCTGCTCTGGACTCGCTCACAATGGACTCAGTGTTAGATCCCAGAATGTGTTTGTAGTGATTGTGTGTGTGTGACTGTAGCAACATCAGGCACCCTTCAAATTGATCTATATTTTATAACATGTATTCCTTGTGCTACCCTTGGGTTAAATTGACCCGCCACAGTGATTAAAAAATGCCGTAAATAATTATAATTCAAGCTAAATTTTAATGACTTTGATGACTACTTGAGTATTTTTCCTCAACTTTTAATAACCTGTGGCTTGTCATTTTGACCCAAGGAAAAAAATATTGTTCAGAACGAATACATTTAGCCAGTATTTTATCTATTTGTCTAGCAATTAAGCCGTAAAGATGGCGCCGTGGCAAGAGCTCTGGTGTGTGTCGTCTTCTCTGTCTGGTGCACACTGGGGTAGTCTTGCACAGTTTTTCCAATGTGGTTTTACTGCAAATGGCAAATAAATGAATCTGAATCTGAATTATCTACAACTCTGAGTGTGGGCTTCTGTCTGACCTCTTCTCAAACTGTTTTTATTTTGTTTCTTGTTGAATGTGTCCACAGGTTTGAATATATATACTTATACATATTTAACACACACACACACAGATGTCACCGTTTAATAAGGATCAATAAAAACAGAAGCAGGAATTGGTTATTGACATATCTACATTTAACAGTTTCTCACACTAGAGAAAAGGAACCCTTTTTGTAAGAATGGTAATGTCACAATACACGAGCAAATTATAATAGTTCCATCTTTGTGAAGAGCACATTCCATCGTAGACACTATCGTAAAGAGGTGAATGAGATCAGTTCATTAACAACAGAACAGCACAGAAGAGGTGCGGAGAGTGCTCCTTCCAGCAAATAAACTCTTGAATTTCAACAAAAGTAGATTGTTTTCTGAAGTCGCTGAAACCCAGTTCACCAGAAGTTAAACTATATTTGTATATTTTTAAAATGTCCATAGTGCGTAATCACTGGCAGGCAAAGGCAATGTTTAGATATAAAATCTTTTCATTTTCACAATATGAGCAGCTTTTAAAGGATTGTAAACCTGGGACCGTGGTTATTGTCTGCGCTGAGGCTTCACAAACCGCTTAATACATCAGGATTATAACTGCATACATTCTGTTACGTCTGAGATATTTTGAGTCTATGGAAACAGTACACAACATTAATTTTGTAGCCCCATCTTGAGGCAGAGAAGGGAATGGTTGATTGTTTGAGCCTTGTGACCAAGTAAAAGTAATGATTTGTTGGAGGAAATAAATGAATATCACATGTGTGCAGGAAATGGACAAATATTTGATAAATACAGATTGTTGCTGGCCCCGCCTCCTTTGTGTGAGTGCATACTGTGGGCTTCGTGAAACACTGCCGTGCAAAGTCTTTGCAAGAATTGTGGCACTAGGAAACAAGGAGTCAAGAGTGCCCTTATGTAAGTCAATGTATAACAGGGCTAAGAAACAAGTTGAACAGTTCAGAAGTACAGGAACTGGAGACGATTTACAGCTTCTACATTATAGTCATCCAAAGTGTCGCTTCTCTCCATCGTGTAAATGTAATTTCGGGTCAAGGCTCATGTCAAACATTTGAGGCAGAGATCCTCAGTAGTCCTCCACCCATCCATTCTCCTGGATAAAGGCATCGATCACTTCCTTCATGGCCAGGTTCGGGATGAGCTGGTCCTGGGTCAGTGGACTCCTGGTGACAGGGTCAAAATGGCCGACTCGCTGTGCACAGATGGAGAAGTTTCAATGTCAAATATAAAACAGATTTATTTATAAGACTATCATTTCTATATTATTATCAATGTTTTCATTTAAATCTGAATATTACAACAATTGACGACCTACATAATGCCTTTTATTTAAAGCCACTTTATGCTAAACAGCACATCTGTTCCTGAGCAACATTTAAATGTTTTTCCCAAAGTTTATGCCACACCATGTTCAGCTGACAGCACAAGTACAGATTTAGAAGGGATTCTAATTTGTTTTAATTTATAACTACAGTATATTTGGTCTCAGCAGCGCTTTGCTCATATGTGCGCATGTCGTCAGGTCCAAAAGTGCAAAAGGAAAATACATTTCTCAGGTCAATGTTGAGCACTTTCCATTGAAAAAGTGTCTTCATTTTGTGCTCAGCTCCCAGATGTCATTAAACTTCTATAGTTCAGTGGCCTGTCCATAGAGGCCCCCAGTTATTAGCAATAGGGGGTATTGTGATAGTCTCTGTGTGTGTGTGCCACAGGTGCTGCTGCTGTCAGCCCTGTTCACAGCCTGATACCACCTTCCTTTACATTGTGGATCATTTGTAAAATGAGGAATTTGATCAAAGCAACTCATGAAAATACACTGAAAATCTGGTAGTAGCCAAATTACTGCACAGGGAAAAAGAAGAACAGCGGCGGGCGACGTTCAGAAGCGCTGGGGAGAACCCGGAAACTGTCAAACTTATGAGGAAACTAGCATGGAGCAAATGAAGGAGATTCATTCTGGGAAATGAGAATGTGTCTCCCAGAAGAGACACAACTGTGGTGGATTCAGGAGAAAATGGCATCAATGAGACATGCATGAATAAGATCTTAAAGAAACAATACTTAATTTAATAAAAATGCGTAATAACCTGTAAGTGCTCCTCGATGTCCTTCCGGTCATAAGTGATTCCACTGGGCGTGATGCAGGGCTCCCTCATCAACTCAAAGCTGATTTTACCACAGAGATAATCTGGGATCTCTCGTTTCTACAGCACAGTAACAAACCAAGAAGAATTTACAACATGGATTTGCTCAATTTGCTGCTTTTGATTCTGAAGTTTAAACCATAGATCAGTGATTTACTTGTACCGATACTTACTTTTCTCTTCTCATCCACTTGAGAGAAGAGTTCGTCCATATCCATTAGATACTTGTCCTTAAGATAAATTAAACAAACAATAATTCTTTGTTTTTGTATCTATATAAGTATACACTTACATGCTTTGTGGCGATTTTTGTTCCATCTCCCTCATTTTGATTATCATCTTGGTTTTTCTTAAATTCATCCATTTCTCTGAAAGGACATAAATATTAAATACATATTCTGTGTCGTTGTTGATGTTCTGAGACGGGGTTGAGCGTACCTTTCCTTCTCAGCTAAAATAAGTTTTGTCAGATAAGCATGAAGCTCATTCTCCTGATTAATTCTCTTCTCTTCTATACTATTCCAACGCTTCTTTTTGGCAATGCGTAAAGCACTTGGAATGTCATCTCCAAAGTTCAGCCTTTGTTCTTTAGCCAAGTTGTAAGCTACAAAAGAATAAAAAAAAATCATGAAGATTTGATTATAAAAAGGTGTGTTTATTTTACATTTTTCTTTCTAACCTTTTTGCAGATTTCCAATGGCCTCATCGTAGTTTTCCAGCTCCAAGTGACATTGTCCCAAAAAAAAGTGTGCCTTGACTGACTGTGTGTCCAGCTCCAGAGCATGTTTACAATCTGCCAGAGCTTTGTCGTACTGCTGCAGCTTCACATGGCACAGTGCTCTGTTGGTGTAGTAGACCGCCACCGAGGGATTACGGTTCTGGTGAGACAAACACACCAGAATTATGAAAATACATTATAACAATAATAACACAATAACCAATGATGTGTCAGTGATGCTGCACTCACGATGGCCTTGCTGTAGCAGGTCGCAGCCTCCTGGTACTTGCGGCAAAGGAACAGTCTGTTCCCCTGCTCCTTCAGCTCTTGTGCGGTTGAACTCTTTTCCGGGCTGCCGGCCATCTTCTCCACCGGCTCCGCGGGGCCCGTTTCTCCCTGTTTCCCTATCCTGTTCCCCGTCTCTTCGGCTTGCTAACAGACTGGGTCAGGAATCCCTGGTGTGCCCAGCTGGATGTGGCTGCAGGACGGAGACAATATGTGAGGTTTATGCCTCATCACCGCAGTGCACCTGCAATGCGCGTCCAAACACAGCCGCAGCTGTCGTTACGTCTATAATGTATAATTAGGTGATGGCACAGAAAGTACAATAATGCAGAAGAGGGTGGAGGGATAACGTCAATAATCGGAGGCAGAGAAAAGCTCATGTTAATGAGATTTGTCACCTACAAACAGAACAACGATACACTATGACTAAAGAGCTGAGACACGTAAATTTGTGAAAACGTCATTTTAACAATTCTGAGAAGTGAGGACAGACATGACGTCGGAGACTGTGGAGGAATTATTTATTTAGCAAATTAGAGGTTTCTACTCGAGCGTTAGCTCTGTAGCTAAGCTAGCATAGCTAAACTAGCATGTCAGGCGGACTCTGCTGGGAGATTAGAACGTTAATATCATCTGCTGACAAACTTAATGCAAATGTCAGACATATTAGAGCCCAAACACTGATAAACATGACATTACACCGGGCTGATCGTGTACATTTACGTCCTAATGTAGCTAAGTGCCAAGTCGGGAAAAGCGCTAAAGCTAAAGCTAGCTCAGCCAGCGCTGTTATAATGGTTTAAAGCTCATGTTTTTCTCCTTAAAGCTGCTGCTCTGAGGCCTCACCTCTGAACACAGATATTCACATGTAGAACAGACCGAGGAGCGTGTGGATCTTTATCCCTGATGGTTCTGCCGAGCCTCAGACACAGGGACACACAGCGCCATGGTCAGAACAGGTTGTTGTTGTACTGACGTCAAACGACCACGCACAAGTACGGAAGCCGACATGACACTTAAGACTTAGTTACAGCATCTACCCCCCAATAATGTGTTTAAAGGTGTATACTTATTATATACACGTTTAACACACAGAACGGCAGAGCTACGGATTGTGTTTTGCTTCGTTGTATTCCACCTTTGTAAAGGAAAGTTAACCATAGAGAAAAGATTGTAGCCAATAGAGGGCGCTGTGGGGCAAGTTTACACACACCAGGGGTCCTCATGGTCCCATTTTAAAGTGAATCAGCACTGCTTCAAAATATTTTTTGTATTTTGTTTAGTAGCTACGACATGTTTTAAATATATACATGTTCTGACTGTGGACACGTGTCCATATGTGAGGGAAAATACATTATCACTTTGTCAAATGCCAACTAAATAATGCCATTGGGGATTATTCCATTCTCAGTGTTGGGAGAATATTTTGTTACGGTTACAGAATACTGAAGCATTAAATAGTATTATTTTGTTAATTCCATTACAGGGTTCAATCAGACGACTGTCTTATGAATACATTAATGTAAACATATTATGTTTGCTTCATATTATAGTTTAAAAAGCAACACAGGGTTATAACCATTGACTGTAAATAGTTAGAACATTGTCTTTGCAGTAGATCTTTTACAACACACTCACACTAAAAGTGACGTTTTCACTTTTTGCAGTTAGTATTTATTATTAATTATAGTTTTCTTGCCAAAATAGTGAAATATCACAATTTATGTTTTCTGAATAACATAAATTGTGTAGAATTAGTATTGTGAGTAACTAGCCTTGGTGCATGTATTAAGTCACTCCAACAGTCTATAATCAGTTCTTCCCTTCAGGCACAACTGGGACTGACAGCCAGAACGTGGCCGCCAATCTGGCCAGCTCTAAAACAATTGGCCACCGTCACATGGGACTGAACAAGCAATCTTTGTTGGATTTATTGGCAAAACCTCCACCACGTAGCACCAGAGCCACCCACATAGCTTTAGCCACACACAGCCTGATCCATGCCTGACCCCTGCAGTCCCATTAGCCTTCATATTAAACATTAAAACATGTGTCATTATAGTTGCTCCTCTGCAGAATTAGCAGCACTGTGGCCGTACACAAGGCCCTTTAATCCCTGCTTGTCTGATGGCTGTGAAGAGATCAGAGCTGCAGATTAGCACACATCCTCTGAGTAAACAGTGCGATGGCAGCAGCCGCAGACACCAGCGCTGCTCTCCCCAGCTGCGTTTATCTATGTGCCCCTGATCTCCCAGAGCCTCACAATACCACACACCCCCTGCCGGACGCCATTCAGAGCAGACTTAGAAAGACGCACAAACAGAACGGTTTTTAAATGTCCATTTGCAGTAACAATCCCTGAACAAAAAAACAAAGTGACTAAACTACCGTCACTTTACTAAACTGATAAATGTCTATTGTGTGTGTACTTCGTGTGCACTTGTGTATAGTAGTCATTTCAAACTTTCAACAAATTTTATGAAGATTTTTGTGTGCATGACTTTACCTTTTACTCTTACAACTTGTTTGCACTTTGAGCCAAAGCAAATTCCTATTTTATGACTTCCTGTTTCATCCAATGGCAATTCAGATTCAGATTCTAAGACATGATGACTGTTAAAGCTGGGGTACATTACTAACCCTTACATGGTGTGGACAAACCCTTCTGCAGCTTCTGCAGCTTTCGCAAACTTGTAAGGAAAAACCCTGTCTTTGGGCTGAGAGCAGATTGTCAAAATGAGCTCTCTCTCTCTTTCTGTCCGACAAAGTGACAGAGGTCAGACCATACATACTGCTTGTGGAAACTGGTGATGGATCCAATGTTTTTGAGAGATAGAATTTTACTATGTAGTTCATTTTTTATGGTTTCAAAGTTTGGTACTCCAGTTTTAATGCATTGCGTGGATCGACTTCATGAAATTGCTTCTTATTTGGTCTCTCACTTGTTTTACTGACTTAGAACATTTAATATAATTATGCAATGAAGGTTTAGGCGTTTATAAGTGTTTTTCCTTCTGCCTTCTTTTGAGCCCTATATACAGTAGCCGCGATGTCCAACCTTTTCTGAGCCAGTTTACGGTCAGACAATAAATGCAAACTAAAATGAACTAAAATGATCATGAATCTGTGGAGATATGTTTGCGGTCGTCGAGCTCGAAGCATCCAGTCCGTAAAACACCGTTTGAATCAGCAAGTGTTTTCTTTTAAACCAGTCCCAACCGTCACCCACTGCACCAGCTGGCTCAGACTCCCGTCACCCAGGAAACCAAACCAGGAAGTTGCCCGGTTTCCCTGGCACGACTCAAAGGCTGCCACTTCCTGATTGATTCTGCTCTTTCTTTCTGTCCATGTCGTCTCTTTCCCATTTGGCAGTGGGCTCTGACGGTTGGCGCCAGTGCATCTGAAAGGACAGAAAGGCTCGACCGCGTTAAGGGAAGCCCGGGGTTCAACCGGCTGAGACAAAACCAGTATTTATCCACAGCGGTGGCCCTTTGTGCGGGAGCTTGCTCATTTGGAGACGCGAGAAAGCTCATAGACTTATTGCAGCTTGTTCAAGTGGACCTGAATGAAAGCAGGAGAAAAAGGGAAATGGCTGTACAGATCATTACACAAACTGCATCAACATAACAAGTGTTTACAGTTACTTTCAATTGACCAGGTCTTTATTTATGACTGTAGATTGTGTGTGTGTGTGTGTGCGTGTGTGTGTGTGTGTGTGTGTGTGCGTGTGTGTGTGCGTGAGTATGAGTGTGTTGGCTAAATGGGAGGGCGTGTGCTCAATACTCAATACTAGGGCCTTTAAATCCCAGTTTTTCACAAACTTTTTCATCTGCTGCTTCTGAAAGTCCACACCCAACTTTATCTCACAAGCATCACAGCTAATTGAACGCTAACCACTGCGTCACCAACGCAATATGGCAAGGCAAGGCAAATTTATTTGTATAGCACAATTCATACACAAGGCAACTCAAAGTGCTGAACAAGACAAAATAGCATTAAAATCATAAATAATCACAGAACATTAAAAAGAAAGATAAAAATATAAAATCCCTCAGTTGTATGCACAGCTAAACAGAACTGTCTTTAACCTGGTTTTAAACATTTTCAGAGAGGAGGCCTGTCTCACATCTTTAGCAAGATTGTTCCAGATTTTAGCAGCATGAATCTGAAAAGCAGCCTCCCCATGTTTAGTTCTGACTCTGGGCACTAAGTCCAGTCCCTGTGCTCCTCAGAGTCTGGGCTGGTTCATATGGGACTAACATGTCACTAATATATTTTGGTGCGAGGCCATGGAGAGACTTGTACACAAGCAGAGCTGTTTTAAAGTCTATTCTCTGAGCCACAGGAAGCCAGTGCAGAGACCTGAGGACTGGACTAATGTGGTCGTACTTCCTGGTTCTAGTCAGGACTCGAGCTACTGCATTTTGAATGTACTGCAGCTGTTTTACAGCCTGTTTGGACAGACCTGTGAGCAGGCCATTGCAGTAGTCTAACCTACTGGAGACAAATGCATGGATAAGAATCTCCAAGTCTGCTTTAGACACTATGTTTTTGATCCTGGCAATGTTTTTTAGATGGTAAAAAGCTGCTGATGTTACTGATATGATGTGGCTATTAAAAGTTAAGTCTGAGTCCTGTATGCGTCCTATATCACGCAGTGGTTAGCGTCTGTACCTCACAGCAGGAAGATTCTGGGTTCAATTCTACCTCCAGGTCTTTCTGAGTGGTGTTTGCGTGTTCTCCCTGTGTCTGTGTAGGTTTCCTTCAGGTGCCCCTATACCACTAAACATGTGCAATAGTCCTGGCATGCACCTCCTGTACGGCGACCTCGCTTCCATCTCTGTGTGGAGAGAAAAAGGCACATAACAATTGTAAAGCGTTTTCTGACTCTGGTCTATACAGATATTATTTCTTACTTACTTACTACGGCTGTTTACTTAATTACTTTTCTTAAACTGTCTCAATACGTTTGGAGTTGTATGTGGCGAATGCTTCAGAAAACTCTTGTAGTTTTGTAGTTCTGTGTAACACCAGTAAACTTGTTTTCTCTGGAGACCTGACCTCCGGCATCATTTGTGATTTTCTTCAGACCGATTGCAGTGGTAAAGGTACAAATTCCTCAAAAGGAGATCCGAATTAATGAATAAGTTCAATACTATGCGGCTCAAGTTGTAGTCTAAGCTATTGTCGTCTTGCGTGTGTAACTTTGGACCTTTGAGGAGTAAAAGCGCAGAGTGAGGGTGAGAAGTTAATGACGACATCCTGAAGCACGGCTCGAGGCGTAGCAGAGAGGCTAAAGATCTCCCAGAGGTCACAGCGGGCGTATACACCGCTGATCAGGACCAGACAAAAGGAGGAGTGGAGTTACACAGCTCCGGTGTCTGCAAAGATAACGTCAGTCACCGGGGACTCGGGTCAGTCCAGCAGTCAAGGAGTCGCGTGGACACGGAGATTCAAAGGTGTCACGGTGTCATGTTCAGGGTCCGAGGCAGATTTGTCTTTTGGAAAATGAATGACTTTTGTTGCACAATTTTAAACATTCCAGCCACTACCTTAAAGCTGATTGTTAGAACACATATAGTTTGTCCCAATCAAGAGTTTTGTAAAAGTTAAATGTTGTGAATAAATCAGGCCACTACTTTATATTTTCATTTTATTAGAACATCTTTCGCATACTTTTAAGGATAAGCCCTGTGTGTCACTTTTTTGAATTTGATTTTTCTGTCTGATAAAGCCGATCTAAAGGGGCCATAATTGGAATTAAATGGAATTAAAACCACAGAGGGAAAATCTGTTTTGATTAATTTGATGAAATAATTCAAGTTTTCCTGTTTGAAAGTTAGGTTCCCCAGCTTTATACTCTTATACTTGGGCTTGTTCACACTAAAGGGTCTAAAAGTGAGACAAAAGGCCAAAAATTAGATTTTAATAATAAGAAGATAATTGTGTTTTTCATGTTTCCAAATCCCTCCTCTGTCCAGTAGAAGTTGCTAGAACATAACTGTGGTCAAACTATAAGCTTTGCGCAAGTTTGTGACATATTTCCAGATGTCCACATTTGATTAATAGATTATTTTATTTTACACAGAGTAGTTTTTCCAACCTCATTTTTGGTTTTTGAGTTATCCCCTTTTAAAGCCCAGATATTTTAATTGACACTTCACCGTGAACACACCCACTACATGCCACATCGTAATTTGAGGATTTTAGCAGTTTAATATAATTGGCGTTGAAGAAAATGATGCAGGGTCTGGGGTCGTGTCACAGACAAAAGACGTTAAAACTACGTTAAAACGACAAGACCAAAGAGAAGTGATTTTTAAAGCATGGATGAATCAGAACGCTCAGATCCTCACCAGCTCCTGCATAGTGTTATTAGACTTAGAAGTTTAACCAAAATGGCTTAAAAGTGTTAAAATATCCATAGCTTCACACTCAACCTACTCAATACTCATCAGAAATCATTAGCTATATATATATTTTTTTATATGTCTGCTTTAGGTATTACATTACATTACTCCCACTGAATAAAAAGTCAGTCTATTGGCTTTTGTACTTTTATGGCTACTACTTTAACCTGTTTTAAAGATATCACATTCACGTTTCCCCGTCGGCATCTGATCAGGCCGTCACGGTTTTCAAAAAGTTGTTTACCCCAAAACACGTACGAAATTTCAGCGCATGTTGGTGGTAATCCTATGCAGCTCCACACATATCTTCACACTCCTTCGCCCCCCCCCCACCTCACTCACAGCCTCTTCAATAGTTGGGAGGAGTGCTGCACTAGACATTTTGGAGGGAAATCAAACAAACCCCGGGACCGCAGAGGGAGGAGGAGGCCAATCAGGGAAGTTGATTATTAAACAAGCACTAAGAATGTAGCATCTTGTTGACATGTTGGGAGCGACAGGAGACAACATCTGGCCTCGTCGCGTCCTGTATCATTAAAATGCAGTTGTTGACTTTCTATTACCAAGAGAAAAGCTTGCATTCTGGTGGAGCTCGGAGGCTGACGGAGCAGAATGGGGTTTCGACCATACAGATGCAATGAGGAGCAACCCCAGAGTACGCACAGCCAGCAGGGGCACCACAACTTACATCTACATCCCCAGAGAAGAGGACCCATCCCCCCCACAGCAATCTCCCCCAGGGTCCCCTCAGGTCAGCCTGGTTGGGGTCAGCGGGCCCCACCCAACCCCCAGTCACCCCCTCACCCACTATAACCCCCCTCCCCTCTCATGCAGCCAGGCCAAAACATCTCAGGCAGACATAATGAGATCCAGGCTAATTATGAATGAAAGTGTGTCGGTATAAACGTGATTACACACGAGCGCTGTGCTACCTGTTTGATCTGAGACAAGGGCACGGAGAGAGACGCCTTTGGAGACTGGAGAGACCAAAGAACTGTTTAGGCTTTTGAATGGCAGCCATGAAACTGAGGAAAACTCTCTGTATTTTATTTTTCCATGCACATACATTACATATAATTTGATAAAAAATAGTAATAGTTTAGCCACACCATGTGGCCTTTTTATATTGGACTATAGGATGAACAGTGACCGGAGCACAGGCCTCACTGTCCAACATTAAGGTACATTTAACTCTAAAACTCCCACAGCAGTCAAATTGACGGTGTAATTACTCAACTCATGTATATTCTTCGTCTTCCTAATTTATGACTTTTTGTTGTTTATTTATATTAAATTATTTTTACATTTTGAAATGAAACTTTACCTGTAACTCCCATTCGTTTCATTTTGTGACTGTAAAATCCCCTTTTCTCCAAAGTGCTGTTCCAGACTGGTCCTGGTTCTGGTTCATTTTGTTTATCCATTGTAAAAGAGCAAGTGTTTGTTGCCATAGCAACACACTTTTTACTTGCAGCAGTCATCGTTCAGCAGCTTTTCAACAAACTGTTTTTGCTGTAAGTTATATTCTCCAGATGTATCTCTTATTGAAGGACAAACCTTATAAACTACAAACCATTAATAAAACAAATGGAAAACGATAATCATGGATTTAAATGGAGCCGTCAAAACGACTGCTCAAGTTTCTAGTGTTAATAATAACAACATATGATCCTCTCTCAGTGCATTCTGGGACAGAAATCTTTTACTTTTCCTTGTTGTTCCATCAATATTTAATCACAATAGTGTTCATATTTTATATCGTCATTCATTTTGCACTTTGCGTTTTTCTTTTAGCTCATAAGACACAGAAACTATTTATGAACCATCTTCTCTCTAACATTTGAATGTACCGTATATAAATCATGAGCTTTATTATAGATAATTAAACAATCCCAGTATGATGGCAGGTTCTGTTCATATTAGAGTTATTTTGTTGCTTGAAAGAGCTGCAGGTTTGTCATTCCTCTGGTCTTTAGTCTCAGTAAAAGAAGTCTTTCCTCTTTGTGGAACAATCCCACTGTTTGTTGTGATGTAAAGTTGCTGAAAGCAGCTTGGTCTGATCCCAGAAGTGTGTAGTCGGCAGATCCCAAATTGGACATAATCAGATCAGTGCAGGGCGTTGACAAACGACCAGTGACAGCACTGGACCCTGGAGAAAGGCCCGGGTCAGGGCTGGAGGTCAGAGGGAGACTTTTCAAAACCGCTCAATCCAAGGACCATTAAATCCCATCTTTGTGTCATTTCTCGCCATGTTTCGAAAATCAATAAGTCCTGGATTCCTGTGCAGAGGTTTCTGCAGAGGACCGTTTTTAGCATTCTGATGCAACCAAACCATTATCTCATATGAGATTACTGAAATAAAATAAACAAACAACAATTGGAACGTTTTAGAGCTGGAAAAATATCAAAAATCTCTGATACATTGTGATGACAGAAGAGTGAATAAGGAGCACACAGGTGAAAGTCCAGCACAGACACAGTGTGGACTGAGTCCATGCATTTAGTTTTAGTTCTTCTCAAACTTTAATTCATCGAAATGAAGAACGAGTGAAATAACCTCAAGTTTGATTTGAATCCATTTTGTTATCGCCATCTTTTTATACGTAATGCTTTTTGAATGATCAGTGCGTTTGTATAAATCTCCATAACATTGCCACTTCACAAACTGAGGCCCCCTGCATCGCTGTAGAATTTCAAACCTTCAGAGAAAATACTTTTGTGGTCATTTCTCTCTGAATGTGGTGTTATCTCATGTGTAAAGTCCGCCGTCTCCAGCTTTGTTTTCCTACGCCTGCCGTCCACATTTCCATCACAAACATGTCAGACTGAGACGTGACCCCTGTGCCCCAGACCACAGGCTGATGAGCCACTGCTACACTCCCCTGTGTGTGTGTGTGTGTGTCGCTGTGTGTGTCGCTGTGTGTAGCTGTGTGTTTGTGTGCAGCGGTGAATGTCGTATTGAGAGCCCGGCTTTTTCAGTCCTCTCTCGCTCTTGTCGCTTGTGGCCGCTCCAGGACACAGTCCAGTGCAGAACTAGAGCAGGATCATCGAGCGAAACGTGTGTCTTTTATTCAAACTCTTCCTCTGCAGACGACCTTTTCATTTTCCTACAAAATCAGTAAAATAGCGTAAAGAAATGAATATGAAGTAGTGCTTAAGGCTTAAAAGGAGCACATTATTCCATTCATTTGATGCAAAATGTGGCCAGTTTTATCTATTTCTCCCAGACATGTTTTCTCTAGAGATATTTAGATTATTTAATAATTGTGATTATTCAGGTCTTAATACAAATCATACAAACTGAAAAATAATAATCGTGATCAGTTTAGAAGAAACACATGCTGTGGTGTGGTAGAGCACTGGTCGTTGGACCTAATGGTCGTGGGTTCGATCCCACCACGACCCATGTCATCTGCTCCCTCTGATGACTGCTGTCGTTGTGTCCCTGGGCAAGACACTTAGCCCCACTTTGCCTGAAGCCCCCGCTTAAAGATCAAGGCCAATGTCTTCAATGACAGGAGGAAGACATTGCTGCAGGAAGGATCAGCGAGGGACTGGTGCTTTGAGACTTGGGTAGCACCTCTGATGGCCACCCCCCCCGACCCAGAAATGGATTCATAAAGGGGCAGACGATGACATGACTGTTATTCTCAAATGTATTATTACTGACAAAACCAGTAGTTTTGAACTAAAGTCACATGGAACTCATTCCCTCAACCAATCAGAAACTCAGACTCACTACAGAACTTTAAATCTCTTCTCAAAACCCACCTGTTTCAGCTTGCCTTTTGTTTTTCAATGTTTATTTCTATGTGTTTTGTAAAGCGTCTTTGAGTGTTATTATTATTATTATTATTATTATTAGAATGCAGATTATCTAAGTTTGTTCCATATTATGATTTCAATTCACTTAAATTCATGTATATTTCTATCGCCCTGAATCACAGCAGCAGTCGTCTCGGAACACTTTACAAAGCTGTCGATTCACCAACAACAGGTCAGAGAATCAAACCCGTCAATCACAGCAAAGGTATTAATAACCAACAAACACATAGAGCCTTTGGTCCATATGCGGTGAAAAAGATCCTTAAACGTCCCGGATCATCGCTCAAAAAGGCTGTAGATCCAGGCCGGATTCAGGGGTCATGAAACAGACAAGTGGACAACGGGTGAATAGCAATGAACAGACTACAGCTACAGATGACAGATAAAGTCTCTATACGCAGCTTGATGGACGAACTGTGTTTTTTTTAAGTTCCAATCGACAATGTCATCTTATTTTGTTAAATCGTGGTGTTTTTTCCAACAACAGTAACTCTGCTGCTTTGAAATCCTGACATCTCGAGTCTCCGCTGAGGCTGGGAACACATCTTTCACTGGTCTCTTTCAATGTTAGTTTCTTTCAGAACGCACCAGCCTGAAAAAATGTTCATTAACTATACTACTTTTGTTCCTCCTCTTTTTGGCAGCAGGAGAACTTTCACTTTTGTCCCGCTCCATAAACCGGCACCTCTTAAGCCTCGGGGCGGCTCCTTTCAAATATTTGCCCATGCTTAAATTATATACTTCCATTTTGAACCTTCCAGATTATTGCTATGGTGGAGTTGAGCAGGAGTTTCAGCAACCATTAGTCTAAACTGGTCTGCATGTGGGGCTGGTTCACACTGAAGGGTACACAAGTGTGACAGAAGCACAATAAATAGATATATTATGTTTTTCATGTGTCCAAATACCTCTTCTATCCAATAGTTGTTGCGGGAAGAGAACTGTTTCATACAATAGTCAAGTTTTTTATAGCGGCTGTTTTATTTGTGTCAGACCTGAGCCTTTGACGGAACGAGCTGCGAAAGTTTGTTACATATTTTCAGATCCACGTATGATAAAGAGATTTTGTATTTTATTTTTTACACAGAGTAAAAACAAAGTGATCAATTTCATAAAGTTAACTAATTAAATGTGAAACCAGACCGAAAAAAATGTTTCTCAAGTTTAGATTTTAGAACAAAATTGACGGAAAGCTTCACGTCCGATACACATTTTTCAAGGGTCATTTAATTAAAGGGGGAAAGGGCCTATTGTTTTTGCTTGAGAGATGTCAAATTCTGCACTTAATTTGACTGCATGAAAACTCACCATATTCTTTTATTTAATATTTTTTCTGGCAACAAATGAACTATTTGATGTCTCTGCTATAAGACTAAAAATGTATTCGTAGGGTGCGCTATTATTCAAAGTAAACGACCGATGTTTGTACATGCAAAGTCTGATTTGCTCCAAATTTGATTTGATAGTTCAACTCTCGAGTTTGGGTAAACTGAAAGTGTAAAACATGAAATTGCTGCATAAGTGCCCCCTACAGACTGAGTCCAGTGTTACATGGGGAGAATAAGGTTTAGTTATTCAATAGAGACACACAATCATTGATCATAGACATTCAAAATACACAGTGTTGCTCCCATCAGGGCTTTAGGAAGATGGTGTGTCACATGGTCATCCAATGGAGACTGTATATATATGGACACACTCACAGATTGTATGTGGAAACAGGAGCACATTTATAAAGTTTGATTTGTACCACGCAACTCGCGCATGCGGTGGCTCGCGCGCTTTGGCGAGTCGTGCGGGGATAGGGAGTCGCGCAGGGGCGGGATCTCGCGGGGGCTGGGAGTTGCGCGGGGGCGGGGAGTTGCGCGGGGGCGGGGAGTTTTGCGGTTAGGGGAGTCGCGCGTTGTGGCGAGGCCCGTTCGACGCCGCTTGCGGCTTTAATTATTATTATTTTTATTTATTTTTAAATGATTCCTTTTTAAATGAAGTGATTTCCTGATGTGTCAATGTTAATCTTGTGGGAGTTCATCTGTCGCTTTGTCACTGAGGACAATTTATTTTCTGTCTCTGAGTCACAGTAGAATTATCCAATCAGAGTATTTGTCAATCTTTCCTTTTGATTTAATCCACACTATCTCTTTGATATGTCTGTGTTTGAAATCTTTTGTCCAATCTATGATAGTAAATTTAGTTTTTGAGTTATAACCTTTTAAAGTCCAGATACTGTAATTGACACTTTACTGTGAACACACCCACTTATCCTGCAGTTGAAATAAAGTCTTTTTATGACGACAAAACAAAGTCATAAAGAACGCGTTATCTCACTGATACCAAACTGACAGATAAGATACAAAATCACTTTCTGGTCGGAGGATGTTCAGCTGTGACTGAGGTCGGGACAGTAAAGTGGGCTCACCGCCGGCAAATCACAACACACTCCATATTATCATAAGATTAGATGAACTTTACTGTCCTCGAGGGAAAGTGCAGCAAACACAGCTCAACACACATTCTTCCAAAGCAGACGACAACAACAAGGCTCAGAAGGTTCTTTTAATAACACAACGAATGTAACGAAGCTATTGCTGTTAAGTACCTGTCATGTTTCGGGACAAACTTCCGCCTTCGTCAGCGGTGACACGTGATTAGGGCTGCACCATATTGGAAATTAGTACGATATTCGATATGTGTTTAGTATTGTGATAACGATATTATTGCGATATTTTTGTCTTTCACCTAAAATTGCATCTGCATTAAAACGCAAGAGACAAATAACAAAAAATAAGCACAACTTTAACGACATTCAAATGCATATGTTTATATTCTTTTTTGTTTGTCTGTTGTTCTTGTTGAATGTTGATGTGTCTGAATTTTTTAAAAACATTTTTATTGCAATTTTTTTTCGATATGGATATTGCACGCACCAAAATGGCGATAACAATATTTGTTCAATATATTGTGCAGCCCTACACATGATGCTTCTTTACATTTTTTGTCTTATGAAAAGAACCTTCTGAGCCTCAAACATAAAATTTACTTTTTACATTAATAGAAAAAAGTAGTTTGTGCCAATCTGCTTTGTCCTCGTATAGATTGTATATTAACAGATGTGTACTATCCTGTCATCTCTGTATTTTATGCTGTAAATGTGTATAAAATATAAATATTCACAGATGTTCATATTCCTGAGTACAAGATTATTCTATTCTCACAGTATTATATTATTATTATTATTATTTTCAGCTATTTTTTTGTGAAATACTGTGCAAGCTACTGTGACAACGCAATTTCCCTTGTGGTTCAATAAAAGTCTGTCTAAGTCTAATTCAATAACAAAGCCAGCTCCTGTTCACTGGTATAGACATAGTAAGTAGGTCATCTTTATTTATACATATGGCACACAACATTAAAATAGATTTTTTTTTAAATGGCATAAAAAGCAAATATATTCTGAAATGCAGCACATGTCAGAACAAAGAGAGTGTGTGCTTGTTTTTAAAGGTGTAGCGTCCGATAGCGTCTGCCTGAAGAAGGATTTCATATTCACTGTTAAAAAACATGTCAACCTTAGCAAAGAAGGAGTCCTCTCTTTCTCACTTTTCTGTCTGAAAAAATTGACAAAATACATGAAAATGAAAAGTAGTGATGGAAACAAACCAATGCAGTTTGTAGTGAGCAGGGGATTAGTTCTTACATCATTTGGAGAAAGGATGGACATTCTCTGTTGGTTTTAAGATGATAAGTGATTATTGCTGTGGCTCTCAGTGGATTCTGGACTCTGAACAGCCCGTATCGCGTCACAGACTGGATCTTGGGTCGGGAGTATATAGTTCAACACCACATTGATGAAAAACGATTACCTCTTGAAATAAAAATGGGGAGAAAATCTGTTTCTCGTTGTGACAGAATACACAGCATGAACTCCCTGCTATACTTTTGTGTAATCTGAGCTGCTAAGGTTGTACTGTGGACCTCTGTTATATCTGTATTAGTGAACTGAAGCACTGTACGCCTTTGTTTTACCCCCATAGTTCCCACAGAATCTATATCTTAAACATGTGTCATTTAAATCTCAAGTGACGACATCTTCTGTTCATTGAAACAAAACATAAAGGGCCTTGTGTCCTCTTATTCGATCCGGAGGGACTCGAGAATAAACCGGGTTACAGGTGCGATGGCTGCTGCCTCTGTCTTCATTTCTCAACAGATTGCTGCGGTCTGAGAATTTTTTTTTTGAACAACAAATCACAGCTCACAAACAAATCACATCCGGTTAACAGTGTGGTATACAGGCGAACATACCTCCAAGAATACTCAATTTAATGTATTCTTGTGTAAAAATCAAAATAGCAGTTATCTCGGAGGACTTTACAGAACCGTCGATTCGCCAACACAGATTAGAGAATCAAACACAACTATTTCCATGATAAAAAACACAAACAGCCACTGGTCCATGAGGGGCCGAGACCAATGTCTATAAATGTTGAGAAATAGCAAAACCCGCAGAAACAGCACATTCCCCGCTGTGCCCCACCTGTTGTGTATACGTTCATATCCACCTGTTGTCTGCGGAGGGTCCGGGGAGCACGGCCTCGTACCCCAGGGCCAGTGATGTGATACCCCTGTGGAGAGATCCAGGCGTGGGTACGCTCTGAGGTGGTGTTGCGGCGGGCTGTGGGAGGGGGGGGCGGCACTAAATTAATGGCAACAGTGCATTTTGGCGGTTCCCTCCAGGCTCCGGATCACACAACCCCCTTTCGCTACAAGTATTGGTTATGAAAAGGCAGGTCTCCGTGGATGAAAGCCACAGGGAGGGGCCGCCGCAGGTGCCGCGGGGAGAGATGAACCGCGGGTCAGTGGACTCCGGTGACAAACAGTGCGAGATAAAAGACGAGTGGGATTGGGATGTGCAATTATAGCCGCTTGGGGACCTCATTCATGCGGCGTGATTGTCGTCGAAAGGGCAAAATGTGAAGCTTTTAAATAAGGGATAAAGCCGCAAAGAATGGACTTTTAATCACACGGCGATGTTGGAGCCGCTCTGTGGACTAATTGTGTTAATTCCTAGTTATTTTTGCCTGAGTTCATAAATTCAGCTCATTGTAATTGACTGAAAGTGTATTCTAGATGATAAAATATGGTACCTAACCTTTTTCAAACTACCAAAAGTTTAACAATCCATGTATCTATAGTGAATGTCCAAAGTAAGGCCTGCGGGCCAAATCCGGCTGGTGCACACTGGGGTAGTCTTGCACAGTTTTTCCAATGTGGTTTTGCTGCAAATGGCACATACATTCTTGTATAGATTAGATTAGATTAGACTTTATTTGTCACTATGCACATGCATAATGAAATTAAAAGCAACTCCACCAGTGCAGGAATGTACACACAGAATAAGTTAATACACAGACACAGAAATTATTAGAGACATTAAAGTGCGCAGTTGCATCTATTGCTCAGGAGTTATAAATATAATATAAAAGATATAAAATTCAGTGCATATGAGAATTCAATAGTGTCACAGCTTTTGGAAAAAAGCTGTTTTTCAGTCTATTTGTCCTTGCTCTGATGCACCTGTACCGCCTCCCTGAGGGTAACAGGTCAAACAGAGAGAATCCAGGGTGAGAGCTGTCTCTAATGATGTTCTCTGCTCTGCTGAGGCAGCGGCTGGTGTAAATGTCCATCAGAGAAGGCAGAGAGCAGCCAATGATCTTCTGTGCTGTCCTCACCACTCTCTGCAGCCTCTCTCTGTCAGCCACAGTGCAGCTTCCGTACCACACTGTGATACAGTAAGTCATCAGGCTCTCGATGGCTGAGCGATAGAAGGTCAGCAGCAGACTAGAGTCTAAATTGTACTTCCCGAGTACTCTCAGAAAGTGTAGCCGCTGCTGAGATTTTTTTATTATTGCTGAGATGTTTTCAGACCAGGAAATATCAGCGGTGATGAGGACCCCGAGAAACTTAAAGCTATGGACCCTCTCCACACACTCACCGTTGATGTAAAGAGGGGCCAAGTCTGTGTTGTGCTTCCTGAAGTTAACAATGATCTCTTTGGTTTTCTTAGTGTTAAGAGATAAATTGTTCTCTGCACACCAAGCTGTCAACTTCAGGACCTCCTCCCTGTAGGCTGCCTCATCACCCTTTGAAATGAGACCAACCACTGTGGTATCGTCAGCAAATTTAACGATAAGGTTGTTGCTGTGGGTTGGTCTACAGTCATGGGTATAGAGGCAGTACAGGAGTGGGCTCAACACACAGCCCTGGGGTGAGCCTGTGCTCAGTGTTCGGGTGGAGGAGAGGAAATGAGGACCAAGACGCACAGTCTGAGGCCTGTTGATCAAAAAGTTTTTAATCCAGGCACATGTGATGGATGGAAGACCTAGCGTGCTCAGTTTAGTGGTGAGGATGTCCGGAATGATTGTATTGAACGCCGAGCTGTAGTCCACAAACAGCATGCGGATGTAACTGTGCTGCTGCTCTAGATGACTCAGTGCAGAGTGGAGAGCTACAGCGATGGCGTCCTCTGTTGACCTGTTCGCCCGATACGCGAACTGGAAAGGGTCGAAATTGACTGGGAGAAGGTCTCTGATGTGCTGCAAGACCAGCCTTTCAAAGCACTTCATGATTACCGGAGTGAGAGCCACAGGGCGGTAGTCATTAAGGCTAGTGATGGAAGACTTCTTTGGTATAGGAATGATTGTGGCTGATTTCAGGCAGGAGGGGATGGACGCTTGAGCCAGAGAGAGATTGAAGAGCTTTGTGAAGATGGAGGCGAGCTGGAAAGCACATGCTTTGAGCACCTTGCCCGGTACTCCGTCAGGGCCCGTGGCCTTCCTGGGGTTCACGGATAGAAGCACCCTTCTAACCTCGTGCTCCTGAACAGTGAGAGGGGAAGTGTCAGAGCGGTGTAAAGGTGGGAGCAGGGCTGGAGTAATGGTGCGTTCAGACCAAACGCGATTTCTGCGGCCAAAGCGGCGGGTCTACATTGACACAACATGGGGGACGCGCGCCAAGGAGCGGCGAGAGATCACGCGGCGCGATTCGCGCGGCCAGAGCGGCGCGAATTCGAGCGTTTCGCGCGATTCGCGCGGCGTGTTTTGAGATGTCAAGCGTTTTGACGCGCGTTTCGCGCGATTCGTGCCTCCAACGCGGCCGCCGCTAGAGTTGAACAATGTTGAACTTTTTGGGAGAATTCGCGTGTGCCGACCAATCAGGAGCTTTCTCCTCCAGTGACGTAGTGACGCATTTCACTACCGGAAAAACACTGGTAGATGACAGCTATGGAGGACACGTCAATTGCTCAGGTCGGTGCTCATTCTGAGCTATATAACACTGCGGACCACAGCTACCGGGACCGAAATAAAAAGGAGCTTGCTTGGAGGAGGGTTAGCGAGGTGGTTGGTGTCTCGGGTAAGTTATTTTAACTTTTCAATGTTGTAAATATTTCCCCGCGAAAAAAACTACTACTTTCCTGATTACGAGTTGATGTGTTTATTCAGTGGAAGTTTGCAAAAAGCGGTGGAAGAATCTGAGGGACACATATGAGGTGCTGAAGGTCGGTGTCATGCAGCAAACGGAGACCTCGAACAGTTGGAAAAAATACATTTCTTTCCTTTCTATTACCCACATTTTGCTGACTTTTACATTTATATTGCTTTCTGTGTATGCATTTCTTTTAATGCTTTCTTAACATCATGGCCAGGTGAAAATAGGCATTGGCTATTTTCAAACCAGGATAGATCTTGATCATGTGTTGTGTTAAATTTCACTTTTCCCTTTTATATGAACAAATCATTTAAATGTACATAATAATGTACATTATTATGTACATATAAATGTCATAAGCGCAATGTACACATGATATGAAATAATTGTATTTCTTGTTTTCTTCTGGCACAGACACTGCCACCACCACACAAGGTGAGACATCTTGGCCTGAGCTGCCTGAGCTGCTGCTGCTGCTGCTGCTGCTTCCTCAGCCGGTTCTTCTTCTGTGAGGGCTGGACCTTCCCCTGCTTCTGCACCTACAGGTGTGGCTTTTTTTAATCATTGTTTTATTTTTATTCTTATTACAGGACTGTTCATATAAACAAAATGTTACTGCATAATATGCCAAAATTACCCAAGGGCTGTTACATCAGTGTAGACGACAAATTTACAGAGAAACGACAAGATGTCAAGGCACTACAGGTGGAAAGAAGCTTTGGTCTGATACAACACATCTTCCCTCTTTCTTTGATAAAAACATACTACTGAAATACCTTATGCTATAAAAGTACTGAACAAATACATGCAATGGTTGCCACAAGATGGCAGCTATCCTGTTTAATGCAGACAATAGAGTATTACTTTTTTACAGCCAATTTCAAATTTCATTGCGAAATACACTTCAGAGATATTAGTTTGTAACTGTCGAAATTTGTGCATGTGTGAGTAATTTCATTGATAACTGCAATGTTCAAGTTAATTGTAACAAACACACAACTTAAAAGTGTTTTACATGTGTTTAACTATGTCTACACACTCTGGCTTTAATACAGATATTATTTGCTCTCTTCATTTTGCTTTTTTGAAATACATGTTCCACTTTTTAACACTGTGATTGCCCTGTGTTCTTTGTTGGCGGCTCTACGGACGTGGGCCTCTTCCGAGCCCTCTTCCTTGGTGGGCCTTCAGAGTGGGAGCGGGAGCTGCTGGAGACTCTACGGACCAAAGCAGCCGGACCGCCCGACTACTCAGAAGAACATCAGTTCCTGCTCTCTCTCTTTCCTCTCCTGCAAAGGGTGGCACCAGAGTCAAAAGAATTTGTGAAATTCAAAATGTACCAACTTTTATATGAAAGCAGCACCGTTCTGCTTAATTTGGAACCATTGGCCAGTACAGTTTTTTTTACCTAAGGTGACACCTTTTGCAGGGGAGGAAACAGACATGTGTCCCTTTCCTCTTCCACCGCACCTCCTCCAAGCAAGCTCCTTTTCATTTGTTTATATGTACATTTCATTTATTTTTCATTGTTTGTTACTTTTTTTATAAAGAAAATATTTTTCAAACCTCATGTGTTCTACTTCAAGCCAACCATTACTACCTTTCATATAATATTGACAGAAAATGCTATTCTATATTTGTACATTTACTTTTATAAGAGCTGACTGGGTTTTATAGAAGATGGAATAACAAACACTTAAAGAGCGATACAGTAGTTGACAGTATTTTTTATTCATTTCACCTTTTACTGTTTTAACAACCTTGTAATTATGGAAAAGCTTGAATGTGCATATGATTAACCTGAAGTTGGAGTGGAGTCGCAGTGGAGTCTGGCAGTCATTACCTAGAAACAGAAGGTATACAGGTGAATAGAATAGTGCAAATCAATATGGGTTTGGACTATGGCCAGATGTGGGTCAGTCTTGTGGTGGACATGACTACTCTGTGGGCTGCCACGGCAGTGCTCCCTCCTCACTGAAGTGGGCCATGAACACTTTCCTTATGTCCACTGCTGGCTTCCAGGCGGCCATCCGCTGCACGCCTGGAAGTGGTTCTTCACCGGCAGCAGCTCCCCTCGGTGCAGGAACCTGCCCATCTCCAGCCATCCTCATCCTCATCCTGGAGATGGGCAGGGCGCATTAAATTGCAGCGCAGTGAAAAGGCCTCATCTGCCACGAACACATGGGGCTGGGGTCCTCTGTGGTCAGCTCCAGGTATGCACTGGTCAGGAGGCAGGTCGAGTGTGCCCTCGCGCAGAGCCTCACCAAAGGCAGAGTTGGACACGATGCCTCCATCGCTGGATCTGCCGTACCCTCCCACATCAATCACCCTGAACCTGTACTGGGCATCCACTACAGCCAGGAGCACAAGGGAATGGTGCCCCTTATAATTAAAAAACATGGACCCAGAGTTGGGGGGTGCCTTCACAGCCACATGCTTCCCATCAATGGCCCCACAGCACAGAGGGAAGTTCCATCGGAACTCAAAGTCCTGCGCTATGGACCTCCACTCCTCTGCTCCAGGCACAGCCATGAACTCCTCCACGAGGCAGTCCCAGATGGCTGCCACCACATCTGGGATGAGCATGGAGACGGTGGATATGCCCGCTCTGAAGCTCCCCGCAATGGTCCTGTAGGGAGTCCCCAGTGGCAAGAAACCTGCAATTACAAAATGATATGAACATATTTATCACAATTACATTCATAAAAATCACGTGACAAAACTTGTGTAGCATAAAATACGTTAAACTAGTAGACAGTAAACATCATAGACAGTAATCATAGACACCATATTGTTGCATAATACTGTTTTCTGAGCAATTACATTGTGGATTGTGATTGAAAAATGACACACTTTGTAAGTAGTTATGAATTCTGAATGGGGTAAAAAAACACTAACCGCAGACAGATGGACAGGCGCTCTTCAGCTGGAATAGAGCGCCTGTAGTTGGTGTCCTGGTAGGTGATCCTTGCGCCAATGCGGGTCAGTAGGTCGTCAAACTGGGCCAGGGAGAGACGAAAGTACCGCTGAAAGCGACCCTCATCCGAGCGCAGCTCCCGGAGCAAATGGTGAAACTCACCAAACTCCAACCGTCTACGGACTATCTGATGAATCCAGACACGTCGTCGATTCGCCCTTTGACGACGTGTCTGGCTTTATTTATTAGATAAAGCAACTCCTTCGCTGACATCCATTTTGGGAAGCTACAGGCAAAAGAGACAAGCCCCGCCCCTAAACGCTCTCAACGCTCTGACAGCGGCTGCCCTCTAGTGTCCTGGCCGCGCGGCCAAGTTTCTCTGTGACAGCGGCTGCCACAATTTGTCACAAGCGGCTCAAGCCGCGCGATAGACGCGATTTGGCCGCAGAAATCGCGTTTGGTCTGAACGCACCATAACACAGCGACCCAATGATGGTGAGTTCAGGCCAGGAGCAGATGGGGGGTTATCAAAACGAGCAAAGAAGCAATTAAGCTCCTCTGCTAGTGTCGCGCTCAGTCCTGTAGCTGTAGCACTGCAGCCTCTATAGTTGGTAATGTTTTGGATTACCAACTATAGAGGAGGTTGGTTGGAAGAGGTTGGTTGGATTACCAACCTCTTGTATCTCTGTGGCATGTTATGTGGCCCTCTACCGCTAACACAGAATCGTTTTTGTGATCACACACCCAAGCCAACTCCAGCAAACTCTGACAAAATAAGCTGCTATATCTTGTTGTAAAGCTCAGAACCTCGGGAATCCGCTTTTTTGTATCAACAGACTTTTGCTTTTGATTGTGTCAAATATTTTTCCAAATATACAGTGATAATTAAGCAGCGGTGAGATTGTTAACGCTAGCAAAACTTCAGTTCTGTCAAATGTGAATCAATACGGACCATTGTAAAGCTCAGAACAGACCAGATACAGTCAAATCTGGATTATCGGCCCCTGGACAAGTCTGGTGAACTAAAGTGGCCTGCTGAATAAGTTTGGACACGCCTGCTTTATATAGCGCCTCGCTCTCAAAACAGTTTCTATCACTAGTTTTCTCGTACGTATTTTTGGCCTTAGCTTTTTCAAACAGAAAAGTGAAAAATGGACTGCCCTCTCTCAGCCAATCAGCTCTCAGCCCTAAGCATCACAAATAGTACAAAAAATAACTTTTCTCACGCAAAAGATGTGAGATACCCCAGCTTTAAAGGGCAACTTTTCTTTCTTGGACAATCTTCAGGCTGTACTTTATTAAGCAATGGATCCAATGGCACAATAAAATTACTTTATATGTTTGAAATATTGAGGTTATGTTGTAAAACGTGTAAAGGTCTATGAAAGTGAGAATGTCATTATTATTATTATGGCGTCTTGAGCGTCTTTATAAAAATGATTTGCTACACATGATAAAATCATTAAAAAGCCGGAGTTAATTCCAGCTGGTTTTTTGTTACACACTTCACAGGAACTAGCTTAAGCGGCGTACCACAAGTATTAACTTTATATCCTCGGCCTGATGTGCAGATTTATGGACCTGATCCCAGATTGTCACCTGTTGCAGTGTGTGTGTGCGTGTGTGTGTGTGTGTGTGTGTGTGTGTGTGTGTGTGTGTGTGTGTGTGTGTGTGTGTGTGTGTGTGTGTGTGTGTGTGTGTGTGTGTGTGTGTGTGCGTGTGTGTGTGTGTGTGTGTGTTTTCCTCCTGAGTGAAATGTGATGCGTGTGATGTTCCCGCTCACTGAGCAGAGAGGGGAGGGGCCATAAGGGGCGTGGCCAGAGGGGAGGGGCCCGGGGGTCATAGACACAGGGTCACAGTATCGGCATGTGGCTATTGTCCAGGGCCATTGTAGGAAAAGAAGTTTAAACTTTAAATTCTCCAAAGACCTGTGTGTGTGTCTGTGTCTGTGTGCGTGCGTGTGTCTCTGTGCGTGTGTGCCTCTGGTTTGTGTTTGTGTCCGGGTGTGGGTCTGCGTGCGTGCGTGTCTCTGGTTTGTGTTTGTGTGTGTGTCTCTGGTGTGTGTGTGTGTGTGTGTGTTTGTGTGTCTCTGGTCTGTGTGTGTATGTCTGTGTGTGTGTGTGTGTGTCTCTCTGCTCTATGTGTGTCCCTGGTCTGTGCATGTGTGTCTCTGTGCGTGTGTGTCTCTGGTCTGTTTATGTGTGTCTCTGGTGTGTGTGTGTGTCTCTGGTCTTTTTTGTGTTTCTCTGTGCGTGTCTGTCTCTGGTCTGTGTGTGTGTGTGTCTCTGGTCTGTTTGTGTATGTCTCTGTGTGTGTGTGTGTGTCTCTCTCTGCTCTATGTGTGTCTCTGGTCTGTATGTGTGTCTCTGGTGTGTGTGTCTGTGTGTGTGTGTCTCTGGTCTTTTTTTGTGTGTCTGTGTGTGTGTCTCTGGTATGTGTGTGTGTGTCTCTGGTGTGTGTGTCTCTGGCATGGATCTATTATAGGGTCTCTGTGTGATTGCGTTTCTGGTCTGTGTGTGTGTGTATGTGTGTGTGTGTCTCATTACATTGTGTAGCGTCCCTGTGCCCTCCTGTGACCAGGCTGAGTGCAGTGGATGAGGAGGAGGTGCTGTTCTGGTGCAGTGAGGCGGCGAGAGAAAGACTGAAGCATCTTTTTGTCGTAACATCGGGACGTTTCTTTTCGCTGCACACGCGTCGAGTGAAGCCGCAACAGAAGAGAAGAAAACCATTCATTTTCTACTAATTACAAGTTGACTCCAGTGACGGGAATGATTCTTTATAGACGTATTCACAAAACCATGGATATCGGTCAGAAATGTCTAAAAACTTGTCTGAAGAACACACAAACACAACACAAATAACCGTTTTCTCAGAATTCACATGGTTTTATACCAAAGCTAAAATAAGGACCGTCCCCTAAACATTTATTTATTCTTATTTCACGGCTCCTCACAGCAGCAGCAGAACGCTCCATTGATTTGAGTGTAGTTTCAAAACTTTCTACCAGTCATCATTTCTTGAAAACTGACCTCTCGAAACAATAATGACCCATGACAACGCACCCTCTGCTTGTGTTCAGATGTGTAGATTACTCCGCAAGTAGTTCCGGCCACTTCGTCGCTATCGGAGCTAGCCACGCTCAATGAACGCAAATACTAATCAATCAACACATTTAAATGTTAATCGGAGAATACATTATACATATACATTCTTAACACACGTGCATGGAGGTTTTCAAAATGTTTTCATGACAAAAATACAGTTTTAATGTGACAAAAAGCGATAGTGGCAAACCCGGCAGTAACATTTTAAGACACATTTGCAGAGGATCGATTTAGGTTGAGTTTATGTTTGGGTCACTCACCGCTGATGTTCAGAATTCTTTGTTCAGTTTTCATGCAGTTACAGAGAGTTCTAGTTTGGAAGTTGCTAACCTAACTGTTACTAGCCTAACTGTTACTAACCAAACTGTTACTAACCAAACTGTTACTAGCCTAACTGTTACTAGCCTAGCTGTTACTAGCCTAGCTGTTATTAACCTAACTGTTACTAGCCTAACTGTTACTAACCAAACTGTTACTAGCCTAACTGTTACTAGCCTAGCTGTTACTAGCCTAGCTGTTATTAACCTAACTGTTACTAGCCTAACTGTTACTAGCCTAACTGTTACTAACCAAACTGTTACTAGCCTAACTGTTACTAACCAAACTGTTACTAGCCTAACTGTTACTAGCCTAACTGTTACTAGCCTAACTGTTACTAGCCTAACTGTTACTAACCAAACTGTTACTAGCCTAACTGTTACTAGCCTAACTGTTACTAGCCTAACTGTTAATAGCCTAACTGTTACTAACCAAACTGTTACTAGCCTAACTGTTACTAGCCTAGCTGTTACTAGCCTAACTGTTACTAGCCTAACTGTTACTAGCCTAACTGTTACTAGCCTAACTGTTACTAACCAAACTGTTACTAGCCTAACTGTTACTAGCCTAACTGTTACTAGCCTAACTGTTAATAGCCTAACTGTTACTAGCCTAACTGTTACTAGCCTAACTGTTACTAACCAAACTGTTACTAGCCTAACTGTTACTAGCCTAGCTGTTACTAGCCTAACTGTTACTAGCCTAACTGTTACTAGCCTAACTGTTACTAGCCTAACTGTTACTAGCCTAACTGTTACTAGCCTAACTGTTACTAGCCTAACTGTTACTAGCCTAGCTGTTACTAGCCTAACTGTTACTAGCCTAACTGTTACTAGCCTAGCTGTTACTAGCCTAACTGTTACTAGCCTAACTGTTACTAACCAAACTGTTACTAGCCTAACTGTTACTAGCCTAACTGTTACCAGCCTAACTGTTACTAGCCTAGCTGTTACTAGCCTAACTGTTACTAGCCTAACTGTTACTAGCCTAAATGTTACTAGCCTAGCTGTTACTAGCCTAACTGTTACTAGCCAAACTGTTACTAACCTAACTGTTACTAGCCTAACTGTTACTAGCCTAACTGTTACTAGCCTAGCTGTTACTAGCCTAACTGTTACTAGCCTAACTGTTACTAGCCTAACTGTTACTAGCCTAGCTGTTACTAGCCTAACTGTTACTAGCCTAACTGTTACTAGCCTAACTGTTACTAGCCTAGCTGTTACTAGCCTAACTGTTACTAGCCTAACTGTTACTAGCCTAACTGTTACTAGCCTAGCTGTTACTAGCCTAACTGTTACCTACCTAACTGTTACTAACCTAACTGTTACTAACCAAACTGTTACTAGCCTAACTGTTACTAGCCTAGCTGTTACTAGCCTAACTGTTACCTACCTAACTGTTACTAACCTAACTGTTACTAGGCTAGCTGTTATTAACCTAACTGTTACTAGCCTAACTGTTACTAACCTAACTGTTACTAGCCTAGCTGTTATTAACCTAACTGTTACTAGCCTAACTGTTACTAACCTAACTGTTACTAGCCTAACTGTTACTAGCCTAGCTGTTACTAGCCTAACTGTTACTAACCTAACTGTTACTAGCCTAGCTGTTATTAACCTAACTGTTACTAGCCTAACTGTTACTACCTAACTGTTACTAGCCTAACTGTTACTAGCCTAACTGTTACTAGCCTAACTGTTACTAACCTAACTGTTACTAACCTAACTGTTACTAGCCTAACTGTTACTAGCCTAGCTGTTATTAACCTAACTGTTACTAGCCTAACTGTTACTAACCTAACTGTTACTAGCCTAGCTGTTATTAACCTAACTGTTACTAACCTAACTGTTACTAACCTAACTGTTACTAGCCTAACTGTTACTAGCCTAGCTGTTATTAACCTAACTGTTACTAGCCTAACTGTTACTAACCTAACTGTTACTAGCCTAACTGTTACTAGCCTAACTGTTACTAGCCTAACTGTTACTAGCCTAACTGTTACTAGCCTAACTGTTACTAGCCTAACTGTTACTAGCCTAACTGTTACTAGCCTAACTGTTACTAGCCTAACTGTTACTAGCCTAACTGTTACTAGCCTAACTGTTACTAACCTAACTGTTACCTAACCTAACTGTTACTAACCTAACTGTTACTAACCTAACTGTTACTAACCTAACTGTTACTAGCCTAGCTGTTATTAACCTAACTGTTACTAGCCTAACTGTTACTAACCTAACTGTTACTAGCCTAGCTGTTATTAACCTAACTGTTAATAGCCTAACTGTTACTAACCTAACTGTTACTAGCCTAACTGTTACTAGCCTAGCTGTTACTAGCCTAACTGTTACTAACCTAACTGTTACTAGCCTAGCTGTTATTAACCTAACTGTTACTAGCCTAACTGTTACTAACCTAACTGTTACTAGCCTAACTGTTACTAACCTAACTGTTACTAGCCTAACTGTTACTAACCTAACTGTTACTAACCTAACTGTTACTAGCCTAACTGTTACTAACCTAACTGTTACTAGCCTAACTGTTACTAACCTAACTGTCACTAGCCTAACTGTTACTAACCAAACTGTTACTAGCCTAACTGTTACTAGCCTAACTGTTACTAACCTAACTGTTACTAGCCTAACTGTTACTAACCTAACTGTCACTAGCCTAACTGTTACTAACCAAACTGTTACTAGCCTAACTGTTACTAGGCTAACTGTTACTCACATAGCCACAGGAACCCTTTGGGAACTATTTTATTTTCAGTCATTAAATAAACCTTTCGGCATTCATCAAAGTGGACTGAAGTTTATTCTGTGTGTTCTGTTGGGACAAAGGCGTATAATAAGCGGGATACTGTAAAGTAGGCAGGACATTATGGGAAAATAAGTACCTTCAGGGCGGGAGCAGACCCCTCCGCTGCGCACATACATTTCACATCCCCAAATACAATTGCAATTACATATTACATTTTTTGTGCGTATCATTGTGACAAATTGTCTCCTCGAAAAGCTCTGCAAAGCTTATAAACGGGTTCCCACATTGCATAAACCAATGAACTGGGAGGGCTCGAACAGAGGAAGTTTAGTTTTCACATAATAACAGAAAATAAATGCCAAACCCATGGACAAATCTGTTTTTCTCTTCGACCTTCAAACCAAAACATCTGCTGGAACATCATAGACTTTCTCTAAACGATCTGCAGTTTTTACATAACTGCACAAAAAGTTTCATAAAAGCTCTTTAAGTCCAAACAGATATTGCATTTGGAATACTTTGAGTCCAGTGAATGTGGAAATATGGGAGGAATAAAACTTTTTACAGTTGCGGTCTACATATAAGAAGGAGAATTCGCACCATAAGAGCCATGTTTGCTATTTTGATTCTGTTCAGTTTGGCCCCAAAACTGTCACGGTGTGGA